ATACCAATATATTTAGCATTTGGAGGCTCTACTCAGAGTCATTGGCGGCTCTACTCAGAGTCATTGACGGCTCCATGCGGAGTCATTGGCGGCTTCATGTGGAGTCATTGGCGGCTCCATGCGGAGTCATTGGCGGCTCCAAGCGGAGTCATTGGCGGCTCCATGCGGAGTCATTGGCGGCTCCATGCGGAGTCAATTTGCGGCTCCATGCGGGGTCATTTGGCGGTTCCATGCGGGGTCATTCGGCGGTTCCATGCGGGGTCATTCGGCGGCTCCATGCGAAGTCATTTGGTGGCTCCATGCGGAGTCATTTGACGGCTCCAAGCGGAGTCATTTGCCGGCTCAGCTGCGAGCCATCCAGTGGCTCCAAGCAGAGCCATCATACCAGTTGCTCGAATCGGCACTCCCAGCTTAATCCAAAACTCGGTTGCTCTGTTGTGAGGTGGGGGGATGCTAACCTAGGAATGGGTTTGCTCCCCACACTGGAGCTCGCGCTATTCCGTCGACTTGACACTTGACGGACTCACGACTGCCATCCAGAGTCGCCACCACTATTTCTAAACCATACGGCTAATTATTTTAGTAAGCTATCCACTTACCGGTACAGTAAAACCTGTGACTACCGACCACCCCTTGGTGCCAGCAAAAGCGGTCTTTAGTAGCAGGTGATCTTTAGTTAGAGGTTTGCACCGCGTGACCATATGTGGATCCCATTATATGATATGTATATCAAAATGCAGCTAATACAATTCCCCAGGACTTGCGCAATGTCAGAAAGACGGAGAGATGGAGAGAGAGAGAGAGAGAAGATTAATTTTTTGCAGACTTCAAATTCAGCTGCTACTTCTGAAGCCAGGAGTCAAACGTTCCCTGGGGAAGTTTCGTTTCGCGCTGGGCTTCAAATTTGTTCATGCGATCAATCATACCGACTGTCCTTGTTGTGACTTCTCGATTGCTTGAACGCGATCCTTCAGCATCAGGACCTTGTGGTGCTGCTTTGTTCCTGGATTCCTTGATGCCATCGTCGATCCGTCTGTATGACTGGGGTGACAGAGCTGCCCAGTCTTCGTTTCTCCTCCGAGTAGTAACATCGATCAGAGAGCGCTTTCGATGCGCTCTCCAAGACGTTTCCTATAATGTTTTTTCTTGACAGCGCTTGAAATTTTGACAGGTGTAGTGCAGTCCACACCGACTCCACAGCCCAAATTACCTGCATTCATTTGTTCAGCTGTAGTATCGAAAGATTCTTTTCAGGACCATGGAAAATCAGTAACATTTCAAGAAGGAGCTTCGAGCAACATTTGATTTTCTACATCGCGGTAGCTAGTTACGGGTCAAAAATTGTGTTTGGGACAGGAAAAGGCGGTCGCTGGTCGCGTTCAGAAGGTAGTCGCTAGTCACAGTGCATTTTGAATGTGAGACCTTCCGTGCCTGGCGAAGTGGCCGGTAGTACCAGGCTGGTCGCTAGTGACGGTGGTCTTTAGTTACAGGTTTTACTGTATATCCCTTACCGAAATTGTGTTCTTGAACGCAATATTCTTCTTTCTTTTTCTTCTACTCCGTTCCATCAGCACTCGGCTGATGACAGGAGATTGGTACCCACTGGGCTAGCATGCAGCAGCCAAAGCTGGGGCCTTTTCTTACTCCGTCAAACCCACTTCTTAAAACGAAACTGACGTGCATATTCACATTGCATGTTGTGAATGTCTCCATATTTGCCCCGACATCTTAGCTCGTACAGCGCTCCAGATACATCTATGCTACGGTGCGCACCGCATACTCGAATTACGGTACGGGACACATACGGGATACTGCACCAACCATGGCATGTCACGTGAACCACCCTACCAGGCACCGTGACACGCACCGAATTACAGCGGTGTGGATACTGGCTAGCGCCAGATGCTACTAAAGTACAACTGAATAGCGTCTTTTGCATAATTACGGGAATAATCTCATATCCCAAGCATTGCAGCTCTGCTAATAGAATAATTCAGGTTACTCCCACTCCATTTCTCTAGTGCTTATTTTTCTGAAAAAATATCATCTTTGGCTCCATAATGCTGCCACCAAGAGTACATTAACCAGAGTGTGCAGCCCAAAGAGAATCATCCCACGGCAAAGTGATTGTTTAGGGCATAGACTCGGAGTAACAGGTTCCCCTTTGCTGCATCTCACACCGCTTCACACGGCCATCTACTCTATCACCATGGTAATTTCTGTGGCACATTGCTGCTTGTTTAACAAAAACGTAGAAAAAACCCGAATTTCCAGGTAATTACCATGGTGATACGGTACTTTAGCTTGAACCTATTGTATGACGGGTTTTCTACGATTCATAATGACCAAGGGAATAACTAACAGTTAGCGACGCAATTCTTCTGAGGTGTAAAGTGACTTCAGGAATACATGTATGTTGCAGAAAACTGCGATGCATGCTGATTATTTACTGTGCCCTATTGTGCACAATATACCTGGTGGGTTACTCAGGGATAAAGTAGATGCACACAAGTGCCGTGCATCACGGCACAGGTTAGGTTCGCGACTAGCTGCTACAGTGTACTTGTGGTCCGAACTTGCACTCTACTCAGCTCTGCATACGCAAAGAGTGCTGGTGCCGAAATGAACCAGAAGGGTGCTGAGTGGGACGCAACAACACTGACTCTGTATACCCATGTACACAGATATGATAGGGTATGCAGTACCTGCTCTAAGATTTAACACAAACCGGGTACACGTCTACCTGGCACAACTCCTGCAACACTGGGCCAGGGCCAGATGCGTTCAAGTGCGGCTACTGTGTGTCAGGGAGTCGTAAACTTACTTCGACTTCCTGATGTACATGATTGTACATGTACATGTATGAACGTACTCGCACTGGGCACTCTGGCCGCGCGCATCTGCACGCGTATGCAGCCTGTCAGTGGCGGTATACCCTCGAAGTATAAAAAAGTATAGTACTCGACAGGACTTCCGACCGGGTCGCAGGTAACCCAGTGTTCTTTTTCCAAAAGGTCAAGTACTCACAAACAGGGTCACTGACCTGGCTCTGGAGCAGACACTGGTAATCTAGGTCCAAGTTTGCTCGATTATGTTCTGACACTTCATGTGCTTTCATAGCCAAGGTTTCTCACTTTCTTCGCAAGCTCTTTTAGTCTTGAGAGTTGACAACTGCTTATGGTTGTGTTGGCAGAAAACATGTCAGCTAATCTGACAACCGTCCAACCCCATTTTACTGGTAAGTAGTCAGCGAATGGCTTTGATGGGGCCATACTAGAGGGGAAGTTACGCGGCATATTTGTGCTTCCTTTTTGAAAACACGTTCTCGCTCGAAGGGTTTCTAAACTTTATCCCTGCGCTCATTGATGGAGTTGCCAGCGGCACTCTACAGAAGAACAATGTTGTCAAGTTTTTTTATGAAAAATTGTCAAACATTTTCAAATTGCTATAAGTTTGGTTAGGGCCGGGTTCCACTGCGGCTCCGCAGCTCCGCTGCTCCACGGTACTTGGCTGCATGCAGCAGAGTGGCGTGGTTCCAGTGACACTCGCCATTCACGGTACCGCGGTCGTGCTCGACGTTTTTTGATGACATTTAGCCTGCCTGCGCGCGCGTGAAATCCAAAAAAATCCTCTTGTTCTGGCCTGTGCAACGAATTAAAATTCCCCCGAATAAAACAATTAAGTGCGGAAAACAATGCAAGCCGTGACCGCGGCTTGCATTTTTTTGTATCAAGCAGCGAAGCGAAAGCTGGTGATGAGCCGCGGCCTCGCTGGACCAGCTCGTAATGATGACGTTTCATGCCGTGGATGATGTGCGGCGGAGCGGCAGTGGAACCCAGCCCTTAGGCAAAGGAAATTTGTCATTAATTTGTTTATGCTGCATAGATGGAGAGCTGCACACTCTGGCTTATGCACTCTCGCCTACAGTGTAGTCGTACTGCTAGTGTACTGGCATTACAGAAGACACGAAAAACGAGAACATAATTATGGCGAGAAAGTAATTACTGGCTAAGAATTGCCCTAAGACTTACCGCTTCTCAGTGCTCCATACCAGGAAGTAGTACAATACCTACTCCCTGCTCCATACGAGTGTTTTCTCCTCATTCTCTGCATCCTTTACCCTAGGAGTCTCGTCCATTTAGCGGCTCAAATGCTTGAGCTCCGGATAGCGGAAAATAGCTCGTCGTCCATTAGCGGCTCTAATAGTACCTGGTCTGAAGTGTCGCAGTCTAGCAACTATGATTTTTTCCAGGAGGGTAAGGGTTGCAAACCCAAAGAGACCCTAAGCTTCGTCTATCAAACAAAACAATTGCCCTAAAAAATGGAAGAGGAAAAGAGTGAGCGAGCTGGTCTGAGCGCGCTACTTTTCAAAAAATAGAAGCTGAAAGCCATCAAAGTCAAAGCATTCTGGCTAGCGCGTTTGTGTATGTCACGAGCGCTAGCGCGCTAGTCGCAGCAAACGCTCGCAGGCCAGAGTTAGCGCTATTTGGGCTGTTTGCCGCACGCGCGGCAGCTGGATGGATCACGTGATCCAAGCTGACAAATAAGGTCCGATGGTTCAGCTACATTGAGCCACAAGCATTATAAACCTATTAATTGATATGAATCATGACATCGCACGCTTCATCGAGATCATCGTCATCTTCATCACGCAACGAGTTACGTCGTTATGTTTGGTGTTACATTGTACTGCACCACGCAGGTACTTGTAGGTATCGGCCTGGTTTCCCCTCCCAATTAATTCCCAAATCAACAACGATTGAGGTTGCTGATGTCGCAACCTGTACCTGGAGAGCAATGACTAGTCGACTATGGTATGATGTAAGTTAGTTAGGTACACCATGGTACACGTATCATTCAAGCAGTGGCCAGGGCTCACCACTTCGGTTTGGGTTTCCAAAAATACACACAACACCGTGAAAAATCGGTATTTACGTCATGTAAATATGCAATGACGTTATCTCCACGTGCGACTAGCTGGACTCTTCAGCAGTTCAGGTCAATGAAAAAAGGCAATCCGGATCGCCTTCTCCGGCATCACGGGTACACCAGGTGGTAGATGAATGAAGACGGCCGCCCGACCCTCCTTGGTAGTGTAAGAGTCTGCATGGTATATAATTGGTGGCAGATAGCTTTGAAAATCAGAAACAGTCGTCCTCTCTGAGAAGAAATCAAGTCAATAGCGGCTACTCTACTACTACTAGAAATCAAGGTCTGAAGCATCCAGCGAAACTACTTGCAGCGAAAAGAATTCTACTAGTAAATCAATTCTCTAATCCGAGTTAAGCTGCAGCTACTTACTGTAGCTGTCCGGACCCAACGGTGTATCTCTATTCCTAAACTACCTCATAATTTACCTCCGATCGACTGTTTTTTCAATATGGCTTCAACGTCGAGCGTAATTGCCCCGGAAAGTGTTCCGCCTACGGTCGCCGAGGTAACTGTGTATGAGAAAATCATCGAGCTGATGAACACATTCAAGAAAACGCACGCGTTCCGGAGTGCAATTGAGCTGGGTGTCTTCAAGGCTGTGCATGGAGCAGCGCGGAGCGCACATGACATTGGTGCTAGGTGCGAGGTTCACGATAGCACAAAGCTGATCGCGCTCTTGGATTTGCTAGCGGCCGAAGGCATCCTTAAACGCTGCACACGGGGAGAAGGCGAGGAAGCGGTAATACTTTACGAAAACAACCCCGGCGCAGATCTTCTACTAGGCGACGAGGCGCTGCCAAACTATGCAGCCCACCTGGGAACTATGCTGGGCGAGACACAGGCTGAGATGGCGCGATGGGCTAATTTGACGGAGATCTTGAAGACGGGTGCAGTAAAGGAAAAGCCGCAGCAGCATTCCCACAGCCACGGGCACAAGAGCACGGCTGATGACGGAGCGGAGCATGGTGAAGAAAAGAAAAAGGTCCGCAACTGTCATGCTGTGGATGACAATGATAAAGCAACAACCGAGGAAGAAGAGGAATGGTCCAAATTGTACGAAATGTTTGAAGGGTTCATGCGAATTGGTTTCAACGTAGTTGCCGAGAAGTTCGACTTTTCCAGATTCACTCACGTTGTGGATATTGGCGGAGGCACTGCACAGCTCTCCCGTATCCTGTGCCGTCGCTACAAGAATCTCAACTGCACCAACTTTGATCTGCCGCGCATGCTCCCTTGTGCCGAGAAGCGGATGGCTGAAATTGGCGCCGATGTGGCTGACCGAGTTCGTCTGGTTGGCGGTGACTGCTTCAAGGATGATCTGCCAACGCCTGTTGATGCTGTCATTATCGCTAACGTCATGCACGGCTTTGACAACGATGAGCTGAGAAGCCAGCTCGTGCAGAAAGCACATGATGCACTTTCTCCGGGCGGTGTGTTTATCGTGATCGAGGACATCATCAATCCGGATCACTCGAATGAGTCCGCCTTGCTCTGGCAGCTGAGTATGGATGTAATGATTGCCTCGGCTGACCAAGGACACAAACATCATCACACCATGCTCACACTGGACGGCTTATCGGGGTGGCTCAAGGCAGCCGGATTCCATCGACAGCCTCAAGTGATTCCCCTTGTTGGCAGCATGCAGGCTGTTATTGCCACAAAGGCTTGATCTACTTTCTTTCGCTTATGCTTATGTTACATTGTAGCATTTCCGAATAGTGTTACATCCGTATCATATTTGATAACCTCTTTAGAAATTTGGTGCAGTTCTTGTACTTGCTCTCATTTCAATAGCTGTCAATTTGCTGATTGCTGGTGCTGATAGAGTATTTTACCTGGCCGTCCTATGTTCAATCTTATCACCTATGCCATTCTGATTTGGCCTTTTTTTCTTCAGCCAACTCCCGGGCCGTGCATCAAGAATTTTTTCACTGAATGGATGAGTTTTTCTCCACCGTAACTGTCTCTATTGAACGCCTCAGCAAGTTTCCACCGCAACCATGCCATCTATCTCTTACTGACATGTGCCATTTCCTTGCATGCCACCTATTTCATAAGTTTCTTTTCCAAACATGTCACATTCATGTGGCGTAGACTACTAGTTTTTTCTGTATTGCAAGTGGACTTAACCTGTATGTATCTCAATGTACAACTTATATCCTGGGCAAGCCAGGTATTCAAAAAAGAACTTGAAGCGATCGATGGAATGGTAGCTGTGAATGGGTAGCAATCGGCCATGGCTCAAGACCCGAGCCATACATGAGACCACTACTAGCTACATCCGTGGCCAAAGAAATCCGAGCCGTGAGTCAAAAGTAACGCCTCGTTTCCTTTTCCATTACGTCATGCACGTTCCAAAAACCGATGCCAGGGCAGCATGATGAGGCTTGGAGCCGCTACTCAGTTTGGCAAATGGGTTTGATTTCTTCATTTTCTTTGGCCACACGGACTGTACTTCTCCAGGCCTGGCTAGGACAGACACCAACATAATACAATGTCTGAAGAAGGGCCACCCGAATTCCTTTCATATACAGTCAGACCTCGCTTAACCGCACACATCCGTTTCACACGAAAATATCCGGATAGGCGAGGGAACCGGATAACTGAACACCGATTATGTTGGATGCATCACGTACGCTGTAAATCTGTAACCAGCTATTTTCTTCCGGATGGCGAGGGATCCGGATAAAAGAGGACCGGATAAGCAAGGTCTGACTGCAATACAGTGTTTGTTGCATAATATTATTTTATACATGTAAGCTGTGATGCGCGGGCAGAGGCCCGGGGGCCCCAACTCTGGATCAGGTCACCCCTGGGATTCGCCTAAAACCGGGGAGAAAATAATTCTGGGTACATGATTATTATCGATCATGCATACATAATTTGTACATGTTCATGCACCCATAGTAAGCCATACATTGTAGATATACATGTACATTGATGATGTCCATGCAAAATTACTCCCTGTACTGTGAGTGGGCTCTGAAAACTTGTGAAAGGGCCAAATTCCGGCTATTTCTGACCGGATTATTAAAAAAATGCCCGGGAGAGATCCCCCGGACCAACTTCGCCCGCCTTTTGGCGGGCCTGCTTTATGGCAACTGATTTGATTTTGACGTTGGTTGTTCCAACGCGTCGCATGCAACTTCTAAGTTTGATTTGATTTGTTTACACATTTGCAGTAGCTGAGTTTTAGTCTTGATTGAAACGTACAGCCGCAGTGTTTCTGCTACGTCATCTCATTCTGGTCATTGCGTTTCAAAGCATGAGTGTGCAAACGCGGCTTCTGAAGTTCTGTACGGTTCTGCTTCTTGTTGCAGCGTGCGACTGGCTCCGTCCTTGATGATTGCCAGTCCACTATGCAGGACCAAAACCGCTGGTGATTTTATTGTTCAGCCACAATCCATTTTGATTCACACGTGCACACAACTTCACAAGTCTGTAGCTAGCTGTCCTACTGTAGCTGTGCCTCTAGACCATTGTAGACTAGAGCGCTAGCGAGTCTCTCTAGACAGACATGACAGTACGTAGTACATGCGTCATGTAGATAGCGGGCAACAACAGCATGCATCTGGCACCATCCCACCGACTGGCTGTTCAACATTATTATGGAGTCCTGCAGAGCCGCATCCAGGTGGTTGTGTTCAGATTGGCTTGCTAGTCACCGGGCCCAGTCATTACATCGCGCGCTCATTCACAAGACAGTTTTATTTCCCGAAGTTAGTTCGGAATGGGTTAGTCTGGAGTCGACAGACCGCGACGGGTAGAAACAGCTGCTGATGGCAGGCAGCATCTCGCGAAAAACCGGTTGTAGCTAGTTACTGTCGAACCAAGACGGCAAGAGTGCACTGTAGTCTACTTTTGGTCCAAGTATAATGGACGGAAAATGTGCCAGATTGGCAATATTCAATAATCGAGATTACGACATCAACCTCCTTGTACTTGAGCTGAGCAGTGAGTGACGCAGCGATCCAGCGGATTCCAGCCAGCAAACTACAGACTACACATTTTCTCCATATCTCCCCCATACCATGACCTTGTCAGATAGAAATCTTGCGCACAAACAACTCCTGTTCAACCCAGCTGCTAGTAAGTAGTATGGCACGAGCCGAGTAAAACAAAACACCCACGCGTATGTCGATATTGACAGTGACGTCATAGAAAGTTTCACATGCCAATATCAAAATGCGCAAAACGGGCCATGGATTATGAAGCTCGAAGTCGAAGACGTAGGCATTACATGGTAAACGACGATCGTACGAGTCGTGCAAGAGGTAGCTCAGTCATTCTTTCGACTTGCTTTCGCTTCCACTGTTCCCTGTTCCAGCCGGTTTTCGCCAGCTCACTCCCCTCTACTCTGACTCACTGGGCTCGATCGGACTATAACTAGTATAAGTACTCCGATTCTAAGCTTGGAGCAGCAGTCCTTATCGATCTGTGGGCGATATTTCTCTTGAGAAAACTCCTCAAACATTGTTGTAGTACGTGGGACAAATAATTTACTTCAGTATGGCTTCGACTTCAGAATCTGCGAAGCCTTTGTCCGCAGAAATCACCACTTTTTGCAAAGTGTTCGACACACTGAACGCATTCAAGAAGACGCACGTCTTCAGAACTGCAATGGACCTTGGCTTGTTTAAGGTGACACGGGGCAAGCCAATGAGTGCTGCGGACATCGCAGTTAAATGCGGTGCACAGAACAGCAAGACTCTCGCCTCTCTGCTGGAGATTCTGGTAGGCGATGGCTTCCTGGTGCGCAGTGTGCAGGACACCGGGGATGGCACCACCGCTGTGCCGCTGTACATGAACACTGAGGGTGCAGATAGTATCATTTGCGGCACCGACTCCTCGTCCTGTGCGTTCATGGAGATGATGGTAAAGGAGACGAAAACAGAGATGGATGCCTGGACACAGTTGACTGATTTAGTGAAGACGGGCACTGTGCAGCATACGCATGAGCAGGAACACGATTCACATGAAGGTGAACACGACCACAGCCACGGGTGCAGCACGGACAAGAGCTCGTCGGAAGTGCGCAATTGCCATGATGCCAATGACAAAGACGAGGCGTCAGCTGAAGAAATCAGCGAATGGTCCGACCTGTACAATATGTTTGAGGGCTTCATGCGTATTGCTTTCAACATTCTGGTTGAGAAGTTCGACTTCTCTCGGTTTACGAATGTGGTGGATATTGGCGGAGGCACTGCACAGCTCTCCCGTATCCTGTGCCGTCGCTACAAGAATCTGAACTGCACCAACTTTGATCTGCCCCGCATGCTCCCTTGTGCCGAGAAGCGGATGGCTGAGATGGGCGCCGATGTGGCTGACCGAGTTCGTCTGGTTGGCGGTGACTGCTTCAAGGATGATCTGCCAACGCCTGTTGATGTTGTCATCATTGCTAATGTCATGCACGGCTTTGAGAGCGAAGAGCAGGGCCTGAAGGTGGTGCAGAAGGCGTACGATGCTCTTTCCCCGGGTGGTGTATTCATGGTCATTGAAGACACGATCTGTGGGGATACCTCTACCGAAGCCGGTCAGCTCTGGGAGCTGGGTGCCGAGTTGACGAAAGCAACGTGCGACCACCAGCATACTAACCACCTGACACTGACGATGGACGGACTGAGAGGCTGGTTCCACGCAGCTGGCTTCCAGCAGGACATCCAAGTCGTTTCGCTCATCTCCAACACCATGGCACTCGTCGGCACAAAGGCCTGAGCCGTGACACGCGTAATCCTGTTATCACCCATGCAGTCAAGTAGGTTTCATCTAGCTACCAATAGTACCATGATTACCAGTAGTCACGTGCATTGTGTAGTTATCTGGTTGTCGCCTGGCAATGCCTGTTGTCGGTTTTGTATTGTTTTAGAATTATTTTGTTATCGTTTGTCTATGAATGGTTATGCAGCAGTTAGCTAACCTTTTCCGGTCACTGTATAGCATTTGGCAGTTCCCTGATATTTTTGGCTAAAGCCATCGCCTACTATTCATATTCATTATTCATTATTTCGCAAACGAACCATTCCTAGTTCCACCCATTCACCTTGAGATATTCATCACACTGTCTGTCCAATACACTGTCACGTGATGCCTCGCATCCCATGCATTTTTGGTATGTGCTGTGTCGCCAACTTGCTTGCTGCGAATCTGCATCTGAGGCCGGGTTTGCTATGCCATTATATTGCTGTAGATGCAGCAGGCGCTTCTATATCCATAACGGCACCCAGGCCAGAGGTGCTCAGTACTTTGAAGGAATACATCGCGTACCTGTGTCGGTCACTGCGCAAGGTACGCAAGCATTGCCAAAATAATGTGGAGTGCGTGTGATTGATGCATGTGAGTTTCAGCGGATCAGTATCGCACCGTTGAACACCCTGTAACTGTTAAAGACTCCTAACGCCAAGAGTACATGTTATCAAGAGTACATAACCCCCCAGAGTGTGCAACGCCTGATCCAGCTCTGCATAGGGTCTTGGTCAAGCGTAGTTGGATCTTCTGATGTCATGCGTACACTTCACACCAGCGCAAGCCCGGTCTCGAGGCACGGCACCGTTCTTTTTGATCCGAGTGTACCCGCGACTCCCCGGCCGGGTTCCCCTCAGATGTGTATGGTATTATGACGCAACGGTCCGATTACACTCGACCAAGACCCTATGCAGAGCTGGATCAGGCGTTGCACACTCTGGGGGGATATGTACTCTTGCTAACACCCTACACCGCTATCGATGTGCCCAGGGTTAGGCCTCCGCGGAATGTGCCGGCATAATTTCGGGAATTATCGGTGTGATTTTTAAAACGGGAATTATTGGCAATTTTTGTGGAATAATCGGTAAAATTTGAGCAATGCCCCCCTTTTTTCAATTTTTTCCATTTATAACACCCTGATTTGTACCAAAAAGCTTGTGATCCTGAAGTTGATCGCCCGGTATTTCAAAAAAGAAAGAAAAAAAGCTTCCAGCCGAGTTTCACGCGAACCGTGATTTTTTTTGCACGTACAAGTGGCAAAAAAACCCGTATGCGGTACGGTATCTGCAAAAAAAGGGAAGAAAAAAAGCATTATTGTGAGAATTAATGGTGGAATTACGGGAATAATCGGTCGAAATTTTGAGCAATGCTCGAAGGAATTATCGGTAAAAATACGAGCATATTCCGCGGAGGCCTACCCAGGGTGCCCTGGTTTGGCTGGTAGATCTACCCCCTCCCGGTAAACTGAATGCTGTTCAAGATACAATCATGTATGTTACTGCTGTACTCCTGGGGCCAGGGTACGTATGTACATGTAGAGGAGACGGCTCGATACCGGAACGTTTTGACAGCCAAATTTGTATAGACCCAAAACGATCATCAACGTTGATTTTTCACTCGAAATATGTTTGTGGAAGGAAACTGGCATGTTGAAGTTTGCTCTGGGGCCAGAGTCAATCGAACTGAGCCACTCCTTTGTGTTGACCCATTGCCTCCAAGTTGCCCAATTTTTCGCTTCAAAAAAGTTCAAATCAGAGGTGGCTCCAAACCGGACACGTTTTAGAGTGCCCGTCAAATTCACTCTGGGTCTGAAATTAGGTAATTGCTATCGCTCCACGACGGCCAGTACAGAGTAACAATAAGCCTTGTGTGTGCTTCCATTAGTTTTGATTGGTATGCGGTGCTTTATTGTCGAGAGGCGAGCCGCTGTTTACCTGCGACAAGAAGTTGATTTTTCGAAAGTCGTAAAACTCAAGTCGCAGTGCGAAGCAACACGTCAAAAACTCACCTGCTTGATATGGCGCTTCTGGTCATCGCAGAGCCATGAAATTTTGGCTCGGAGTATAACACATCGTAGTCTCACTGTGACATATGTTTTCTAATCAAAATACCAAGAGAGAAAGTGAATATTGAGTCCGTTCCGGTTTGCAACCTATTTCCTATTTGAAACCGTCGCCTCTACATGGTCCAGGGAGTAACGTTTAGCCTGGGGACCTGGCAAATATGCCGGAACTACAAGTAATCAAGCATTTTATTTTTAGGGTGCAAGAATCACTTCAACACTATATCGCTAGTGAAAACTTAGTAAATAGCCTGAAGTAATTGTGTCCTACTTCTACAATAACTAAATAAGCATGGTTGTAACGTTAGTACAGTACCAAGACGACAAGCTGAGTAGTATTATTGCCAGTAACCATGGTAACACATACATGCCACAACTGAGTCTGTGCCATGGAACCATGGTATCAAGAGTTCATAACCCCCAGGGGTTATGAACTCTTGATGGTATTAAGGGCGCGTTTGGTTGGTACGAACTAGAACAGGATTCACCAGAACAGCGCGTTTGGTTGGGACTGCACCTGTTCTGGGTCGGCCAGAACATGTTCTGCTTGCTCCGGCATCGAGGCCGGAGCAGACCGAGCAGTTTCACTTTTTCACAGTGAAACCTGGCGGGAACATCGATTTTGGTCCCAAATGATCACGTGCATACGCTTTTGGGTTGGACTCGTCGTACCGTACAAAGTGACCATGGTGACCCATACACATTTTGAAGAATGCACCAAGTTTGGCACATTTTTCCACAAAAATGTGCTCTGTTTCTGGAGTAGCGTTTGGTTGGCATGAGGCTGCTCCATGTGCACCAGCTGTTCGATCCTGTTCTAGATCGTACCAACCAAACGCACCCTAAGGAGGTTCGCGACGGTTAGCGCCATGTTGGATTTCCGAATTTTTTTCGAAAAATAATGCCTTTCGGAGTGGAAAAATGGGACGCGATCATGCACAGAAAATGGTTTGACCATGACTTCGCAGTGCTCGAGTCGAGACAAGATTTGAGGAAGAAGCTCAGCCACTAGTGGACTTGCGGATTTGTTTTGACATTGGCGGTTTTTGGATAGCTCGGTTCTCCTGCCGACGTGTCGTGGAGATGAAGACGCGGGAGAGTAATCCGTCACCCACGACGCGGCCTCTCATTCTGCGTACTGGACGATGCAAGAAGCCGAGGAGGGGGACGCTTCGCAAACTCAAACGATCGATCGAGTTCCTGAAAAACGGAAAGGGCGATCTCCATCACTAACGCCGCTGGATTCGACTCCCGCGAAGAGGTCGTTCAGTGCCCCTCTTCACGGTCGACGAATCGTTCATCTCAGGTATCTGGCTGTGGGATTGTCTGCGTGCCAGAATCCTGGATGTGGCAAACCTCTGGCGCTCATTGCTTGCGTTGAAGAGAAGAGGTACGACCTGGGCAGCGTACTTGTCATTCCGTGTCAGCAGTGTGGGATGGAGAATTTATAGATACAGATAGCCCTGTAACTGCTCAACACCCTGGCCCCCGTGCTTCCACAAGCAACACCAAAGCTGCTTTGGGTAAGTGCGTTTTTCAATCTCATAAGATTTACTCATGATATTTGGGAGTCATTGCCACCCTATGGCTATGGAAATGTATGAGCACACTGTATGCGCGGCGGCCGCGAGCGTCTGTGTGTTTGCATAGACCTGCATGTTTGTGCATGTGTGCACCATACGCATGTATGAACATGCACATGCATATGCGCCTCTCTCATGTGGACGTGCCCTCGCACACATACTATACACACGTGCATGACCGCTCCCAGGGCATGTTGGTGTTACATGTGTATGCGGGCATCTCCACTCATGCACATGAGTGTGCACATGCATATGGGTGGGTACGCACACGTGCGTGAATGTATGTGTGTGTGTACGCGCGCGTGTGTTCTATTGCATGTGAGAGCATGCATGTGTGTGTGCGTGTGCGTGTGTGTGTGTGTGTGTATGTGTGCACGGATGTGTGTGTCGATGGTGTGCATTTTTGTGATTGGTGAACACTCTGATCCCTAAACCGCGATACCGGAGCTCCCAAGCTATAGCCTCAGATTGATTTATAGTTCATCGTTGGGAATGAGTTCGCTGCTCATGATGCTGTTGCGGATGTTGCGGCCCTAGCTGAAATTGTCGAAGCTCGCCCTGATGCCAGTATCCTGTAGCACTCTGTCACTTTTGCATCAGCATGTTCGGCGATGGAGTTTGCAGAACATCAGCAAAAGCGGCTGGCCACCCTTCAACCGTTGGTCCAAGCAACGTGCTTCTCTAAATCAGTTGCAGTGCGGGCAGCTGCCAGTGGGTTGGTGATGAAGCACTTTGTCTTGTCCTACAAACGAAGTGGTGAGCCAGCCATTTCCAGACTGATGAAGGAGCAAGTCGGAGGTAAGAAGCGGGTGACAGTCTCAAGGAAGATTATATTAGTGGTGGCTGAACACCTAGCGAAGAACCAGCAGCAACCCAACTGTAAGGAACGCCCTGTGGCACAGTGCTTCACTTGTTTGTGCGCACCGTAAAATACCATCATTTTTGCCAGTGTGGGATCACATTCTAGCTCGCATAGTTGAAGAACAAGAGGACTCAATGTTGTCTGATTCGTTCCAACATGTCAGCTTTCATTGTAGTTTGATATGGGGCAGTGCTAAGCGCTATCATAGCTACATGTACACGTATCACAACCAAGTGCCAACAGGAGAGTAATCATGGAGAAAAGTACCTATCGATAATGCGTGCACCCAGGGTTTTCCGGCAAATTTACTAGTTCAGCTATTCCATCATTGTATTGTTCTGAATGCCGAGGGCTCTAGTGAGTTTATGCAACACCTAACAGCCAAAAATCCAATAAGTTATGACCAAAGCAGCAGCAGAGAAGTACAAGCAATATAGATACGTGAATTTACCAATTTTAGGCAAATTTTGACAGTTTTTTGGATTTTTCTCCAGAATATGCACGGTGACCCCTATTTTCGCCGCGGTAAACCTGTTCCAACCCACTTATAGAACGTGTTTGAAGTATCCACATATGGGGCAAACTCAAAAATAAGCTGCAAAAAATATTCAAAGTTTCATTTTTTGCGTCTTTTTGTTCTTCTCCAGGAAATGATGACCTGGATCCCATCGTCAACCAAAGTGTACATTTTTCGGTGTTGATATCATCTTAGTCAATACCTCGAACAGTCTGTAAAATTTTATGTCATATTTTTTGTCCTAACTGATGTTATGGACGATTTCTCATCAATTTTGGGATTTTGTGTTATTTTGTGTCATCAAGGAAAATTGTGTTTTTGGCAAGACCTATTCGGGCAATTGAAAAACTGATGTTACTAAGCGAAAATATAAGGCTGTACCTATTCAAACCTGATGTCAGATTGGGCTGATGTTGAAATTAAATTTTTAGGGCTAACTGTCCCGAACCCCCTTAAATACTGATAATTTATGTTAGATCTAGTAAAAGTAGTATCATCTACCGAAGCCATCGTTGTTTCGGGTCACCAGACCCACCGTCTTTTTTCACCCGACCGCAAAATGTTTTTTTTTTATAGTGCATGCAAATGTACAGACTACTACTACTACTACAAGCAAGAGTACAATAAACCTCGGGAGAATGAATTTGAAGACACCACTGCAGCTGTACTTATGGTTGATAAATATGGTGGTAAAGACACACCTGGCAATATGGCGGTAAACACACGCCTGCCCACACACGGTCTCTAGGCTGCAAAGTTCTGGCACAGAGCTCTCCTTCTCACCACCACCACCATCAGTTCGCGCCTGGTCGATGCATGGTTGGCGGCATCACACAAAGTCTCATTTAGGGTTCCCAGTAAAAAGGCAACATTGCCTGTTGGGAAATCCCTAACAAAATAAGAAAAAATAATAATAATAATAATAATAATCCGGCATAGCAGGCTGGTACATCAAGGAGTGCATGGCACATAGCAGATGACACAGCAACGACATAGCTCGATTGCGACGTACGTTTCGTCCCCGCTGGACTCATCAGGCAATCTTCTTCTTGGATGTCTTCACACGGAGCTTGACTCGGGAGAATGAATTTGAAGACACCACTGCAGCTGTACTTATGGTTGATAAATATGGTGGTAAAGACACACCTGGCAATATGGCGGTAAACACACGCCTGCCCACACACGCTCTCTAGGCTGCAAAGTTCTGGCACAGAGCTCTCCTTCTCACCATATTTATCAACCATAAGTACAGCTGCAGTGGTGTCTTCAAATTCATTCTCCCGAGTCAAGCTCCGTGTGAAGACATCCAAGAAGAAGATTGCCTGATGAGTCCAGCGGGGACGAAACGTACGTCGCAATCGAGCTATGTCGTTGCTGTGTCATCTGCTTTGTGCCATGCACTCCTTGATGTACCAGCCTGCTATGCCGGATGCCGCCAACCATGCATCGACCAGGCGCGAACTGATGGTGGTGGTGGTGAGAACCTGAGGAGAGCTCTGTGCCAGAACTTTGCAGCCTAGAGAGCGTGTGTGGGCAGGCGTGTGTTTACCGCCATATTGCCAGGTGTGTCTTTACCACCATATTTATCTACAATAAACCTTTATGTCATAAAGCTATTAAAGGTCTATGTACTCTTGCTACTACTAGTACTAGTACATGTACTAGTAGCAAGAGTACATAACCCAAAAATGGGGTTATTGTACTCTTACTAGTAGTATAGTAGTAGGTTTATGTACTCTTGCTAGTACTAGTAGTAGTAGTACTACTGTACTAGTAGACTATGTACACACGCGACCCTAATACTAGCAGTCCAGGTATCGACCTCAGAAGCAGCCATGGCTAGCCAAATGACAGGATGCAGCGCCTGGTGACGACGTTGTACTTGTCTTCTATCTCCGATCCGCAATCGGTCCTGAAACAGCATCAGCTCCGCCACCTTGTCGCTATTTACAGAAGTTTTCAAGGTGAGAGCTGCTCGTCAGACTCGTTTGCCAGCGAGGCCAAGATCTGGTCCTGGAGGAGCTGGAGGGGACCTGGATCTGATGGGACAATGACTGCGCTGGATTGTCTACACTCCAGAGTACAGTCAGATTTGATCGACTGGCTAGATAATGGACAAAAGCTATTCGATGTACATGTACATGTATGCACATGGACGTAACCAATATTAAAAATAAAATAAAATATAAAATAAACCCGACCGACCGACGCGACCCTGGTACGGATGAGTGAAGTGACCCGAAACAACGGACTAGGTGGCCTTAGAAATATTACTACTATAGATGCCGTGCAACCGCTAAGCATGCAAGTAAGTGATGACTATGTACTCGGACAACATCGTGCACCGTCACTCTTGAGAAGCTGAGTCTTGATCAGACGCGGGCAAAAAGTCGACGAATGCGTCGGGCAGCGAAAGAAGAGAGCCTTTCTTGCCGGCCATACTGCCACGAAGCTGGTTTGGAGCGGATGTGCAACTCCGCCTAGGTCGAACCAGGTGTTCACTGATGTTTATTTCGCTCGTCCCTCGACCGGTATCAAACTATGGCCAGCAAGTGGAGCGAACGGAGGGACCTGAAAGAAGATTGGGAGACCATCTCGGCGACCAAGGGCAAGGAGATTGTAAAGGAAGCACTGACGGGACACGTGGGCATGTTTTGCGGGCCAGGCAAGGCGTACGTTGCGGAAACTGTCATCGGTCACGGTCACTTCGGCACCGTGTATCAGGGTCGTGCAACGTATACTAGAGAGACAGTCGCTATGAAGGTGCAGGACATCTACGTTCGCGGCTGCTTGAGCGTTGAAGTGTCGATGCTGGGACAATTAGCGGGTACCACGGGCATTCCCAAGCTATTTTGGGATGGCACCAACAAAAACATTCACGTGATGGTAACGCAGTTGCTCGGCCCGAGCTTAAGGGATCTGATGACGTATTACAAGACGAACGCGCCGTGGCATCCGTATTTTCCGGCCATTAGCGTTGCACGCCTGAGCGTGCAGATGATGGAGCGTTTAGGTGACGTGCACAAGAAAGGCATTGTGCATCGAGACGTCAAGCCCGACAACATACTAATGGGACAAACATACAGCCAATCCGACCAGCTGTACTTGGTGGACTTTGGCATTGGCAAGAAATGGGTGCGCAAGGACACTCCGTTTCCCAACCCGGGCGGCAAGCGGAGCGACCCGCTGCGCAACGCTCACGGCATGGCCGGCACACTGCGCTACGCCAGCAAGTTCATACAGCTAGGCTACTTCTACAGTATGCGTGATGACCTCGTGTCCTACGGCTACTCGGCTATCTACATGAGCACGGGAACTCTTCCTTGGGCAGGCGTCAATGCGATGTTCGCACGCGTTAGAGGCGACATGGTGCTCGAGGCTAAAATGAAGGCCACGCCGGAAACACTGTGCAAGGACATGCCCAATGAGTACCTGGCGTACATGAACTATTGCTACAGTCTCGACTACGGGGATATGCCAAACCATGAGAACATGCGGACGCTGTTCATGCAGGTGTGCATGGCCAAGAAGCCCAAGCTTGACGATATGTGGCAATGGGAACTGGTGCTGGAGGCTGGCAAGTGTGACTGTGTAGCCAAGGGCAAGATCGATCCCGACTGCAAGTGCTGCATACCACCAGCAGAGACTGCGGCAGCAGCAGCAGCAGCAAGCCCTGTCAAGAGCAAGAGCTACACCATGGCGGCGGCAGAACCAGGTAAAGGAATCGCACCGAGGAGGGAGCCCGGCTGGCATAGGAAGCCTCGGACGTGATTTGTGATCCATGCAGCCTTGAATGCCGCCGTCAAACTGCCCAAGTCATGCACCGTAAGGACATCGGATCTATTCTAACACTATCCCGGAAGCGAGGTGTGTGACAAGCAGTCATGGCACAATGGGTCATTCATATTACCCTTGAGTCACTGTTTGACCTCATCTAACATCCCGCCGCCAAAACACAATTGGATTGACACCGTTTCCTGACTACAAAAACAAACAAAGTCTCTTCTTCACCGCAATGTGCTCTATGTTGATGAAATATGCAGTGATACTCCTGTGTATGCTTCAGTACATGTTTCAACGTTCCTGCCAGGAGGCAAAATAGAGATTGGCTTGCCTGCAATGGTTGTCCACCTTTCAGCTTGATCAGATTGATGCGGCACCGAATAGTTATAATTATTCAGGAAATGCAGTCTTGACTTGACTTAACCCTGGATGCTTTCAGCATCACTCAGACTAGCAAGGTAAATCATCTCTAGGTGTTATGACTGCAAGTTTTGTCCAACAGCCCTGTGGTGTTCGGGGTAGAACAGATCGATGCCTAGACTAGTTGAATGACAAAGTCTATTGTCCGCACCATGCACAAACTACAGTATACAGTCTTCAATCTGATAATAAAATGATTGCAGTTTCTCGCAGCCCCAGTACATGTGATTGTGCTCAATAACGTGCCTTCTACTGCCGCACAGCAATTATTGTCAACTTTCTAGTGCCGTTTTAGCGAATGCAGATTATTCCGTGGGAGGCTACTGATATCGTGCTACAAGTACTGTCTTTACTTCAGACTAAAGTTGAAGTTTAGTTCTTTGAACATCCATGTATAACGTGCGGGCTTTGTGCTTGCTCGAGCAGGATTTTGGTGTGTGTGTGTGTGTGTGTTCGTATCCATGTGCACTGTGTGTGCACATGCACACCCCTGCATGAATGCACACCGCCACAGATGGGTTAGGTCACCTATCATGGTGTGCCAAACTGAATTTGAGACCTGGTCATTAGCAGTGAGAGGGGGGGGGGGGGGGGTACTACAGTCATGTTCCGCACTGCGACCCACGTGCAGGTCAAACCAGGATAGCAATTGATATTGGCCTTACCAGTGATAAGGAAGTGGAATATGAATACTCCTACTCCGGCTAACGATAGAATAGTCTGATAATGAATCCTACACATAGTTTCAATATGATAAACATCGTACAAATGCGCATGTCAAGTTTTAAAGCAAATAGCCAGCCTGCCATACGCAGTGGGCAGAGAAAATTGTGACTGCGGCAAACAGCACGGCAAGTCTAGCCTTGCCTGATCCTTGCGGTTCGCCGGGTCACGTGGACACAGCTGCCTGTTTCAGGATATTGCTGTTAACATGCAGAGGTGCAGGGCGGTACACCCGGTTGTTGCCGAGCCAACACTTGTAGCGAGTGAAGTTATGACTAGTACCACTAGAAGAGCCAGCTTCTCATGAGGTGCTATTAGCCGTCACGAGTCTATCCGGCACAGAGCTTGGTCTATCCTAACAATTATTAGTAGCTGGCGCATGGCTTTATCACCCAAAGCAGACTGTCACGCGGACAGCATTTGCGGTTTGTCAGGGAGTGAAGCCAGCCAGTTGGAGCTACCCTACTCCTAGCGGCTATCGTCATAGTTGAAGTCTGCTGACTCTGCACAGGTTATATCATCTCAACAACCTCCCTGGCTGTCTGCTCGCTCTCATCACTACAGCCGCTCAGCGGCACATGTTCACCATGGTTGCGATGTCGATGGCCCACGGCGCTGGTGAACATCCGTGTGAGCATTGACACTGACGTTCGATTCGGTGAGTAGTCCGTCATTCTCCGATTGGGTGATATGACCTCGGGTACAGCTGCAGCAGAAAGCCACCACGGCACCGACACATGCGAGCGCGCATAAACACACACACACACACACACACACACACACGTATACATGTACACACAACACATCCACGCATAAGTTCTCACGTGACAGAGTGGCTAGAATCAGGGCCGGCGCCACTGGTATGGCCGGTACGGCCATGGCCGTACCAACTTCCCAAAAAGTCGGTCCACGTGGAACGTCCAAAACCGGGGAGGAAAAGTTTCGATGCATGATTTTGTACAGGGAGTCGCCCAGAGTGCAGGATTTGCCATCTAACTTCCAACATTTTTCGGGGGGAGGGCCCCCAGACCCCCCTTAAAGATGGCCCTTCGCCTCACCGCTCCGCGGAAGCTGCCTCCGGCCCTGAGAATGATAATACCAAGCAATGGTTATGTCAGGTGTCATTGTCGCAGTCTGTGGCCGGCACCAGTACTGCAATAGGCAATGTGAAACCAGTCGTGTGTACTAATAACAGTATCATCACACTATACACACCAGATGGCCTGGTCTAGTTGTCACTTGTCAATGTTGCTTAGCAATTGACGTGGAGCTAAGCAGTCAGAACTTTCCCCATGAAGTGACAGCTATAAAGCTAGTTACGACGAGCCCAGTCTCCACAGTCCCATACTGGTCATGGCTGGACAAATAGACAGCCTGGGAGTGGGATTCGGAGGGCATTGCACGTCTCTTGAAGTAAGTTGAGCCTACATCATAATCATGTAGGTTTGGCTTGTCAATCAACGAGCAGGGTCAGCAAGTACAGTGTTGGCATGTTGTCACAAGACATTGCACAGTAGCTAGCGGCACGAGTGTAAACAGAGACTGGACGTCGATATGAAGTGAAGAACCAGAGGAGCCCCGGGACTAGCACTAGCAGACATGATCCTACCTTGGCTTGAAAAAGATGCTCAGATACCCATTCCATGTCAGTGTTGCGTCGATTGGTTGAAGTCGCGTCCAAAGCTGGTGTCACAATGGTTGGAGGGAAACACAACCACGAGGCGTGCTATCAAGGTAAGGCTAGACTCCCTTGAAGCCCAATGTTATGAGGCTGAATGTGATGTCGCCTGGCCAGGCGTAGTTAGAAAGACTACCACCATAACTTCCGATTCATATCATCAGTCCGCGATCCGGCCAATGTGGAAACGTTACGTCTTTACTTGCACATGGTGGCATTATGACGGTCTGTTTTGGTGCGTGATACCTCATTACATACACCTCCGGCTCCATTCGATCGAAGAAGATCGAAAAAGGTGCGAAGCGAACGTGGCGTAAACCTTTTCGCCTCGTCTTTCAAAAAAGGGACTGGCGCAGCCAGCTGTAGATTATGTTCTACGTACGTAAAGATGTCGTCACGAGAAATAGTCGCGAGTCGTTGACTTACACTGTCTTACACTTTACAGTTACACAAAGTAAACTTTAGTTCTTCGCTTGCTTCGCTGTCTTGAGGGAGAGAAGAGTGTTGTTTGTGGCGACACGCCAGTCGTAAGGTAGAATGAGATTTTGTTGCAGTCGAGACCTAGGCTAGTGCAGGCCGGCATAACGCGCTTTGCGGGAGAATGGACAAAAAGTCAAAAACATTGCTTTCCTCGTTGGCACCGACCTTTGTCCACACACTGTGACTACAGCATAGAGGGTCTGCCTGTTGACTTTTGCAGAGTTCTCAAGTACGTGAATCATCGGCACCATGCTACCCAAGCAGAGAAAATCGCCTCCGGGTAGGCAAGTGCAGAGTCGGGCGGCCCCTGCTGCCACTACCAGTCACCCGTCCAGTTTGCTGCCTTCAGCAGCAAGCCGAGCAAGTTCACAAGCATGCGGTAAGGCCAGCAACAGCCAGTATGCTCACTGGTGTAGAATTTAAAAATAATTGGAATGCTCAGCTGTGTGTACATGTAGGTCTACTCCTGAGTCAGTTCCGATACATGCACCGGAGTCTAGGATAACTGAATGCAGGCTGTCCAACCTCATAGAGTCGCCACTGTTCCGGAGACCAAAGCAGCTCAGATATACATAAACTGATAAAGCATACAAAGACAACTGTCTCTTGTGTAAGCATGTCTTGGTCCTGAGCAGGACTGTCCTGCTGAGGATGGAGAGGTTGGACAGTCTGTAATGCACTGCATTTAACAGCAGAAACCGTGTCGGTGACGACCGTGAACAACAGATATCCGAACCGAAATGGCAGACGGCGATCCAAATCATTATCTCTGTTGCTCCACATGAATTGAAGTTCCACGGACTGTCTATGGCGATAGTGTGCCTACTGCAATTGCTACCATTTGAATGCGTTGCATACCTACCATACTGTACATGGCTGCTACACTGTACATGGCTGCTACAGACTAATAGTGTACTACAGTGTACACGGCTGTGACACTGTACATGGCTGCTGCAGTGTACATGGCTGCTACAGTGTACACGGATGCAGGACGCCGGCTGCACTATGAACATGACACTGCCTTGGACAAATTACACAGGGTACATGGATGTGTCTGGTGTGTGCTTACATCTTTTTCCACAGCTGGACCAGTATTCCCGTCCACACCATCCTCCACCGGTGTTGAAATCCAGTGGGTATGGTTTTTTTAGTTTTTTTTTACATAACGTGGCATAAGAAATGATCAGAGCAGATGCCGCTCAAGAAATCCTGCCTCAACTTCTCGAGGGTTGTGTCAAGTTAGTTGTCACAAACCAGTGTTCTTTGTTGTACCCGAACGCAACATTGGATTTCTTTGACGACAACGTGCAGTCAGATCTCTGCATGCATGCATGGTGCGATCAAATCAGATTGCAAGCAATAACTCTCTCAGCTCACGGGCATGTTGGGGACCAGGCTCTCGTAACGTAGCCATGCTGCTTGCCTGCAGGTAACATACCTGACACGTTTTGCTTATAAATTTTCAACAATCTTGCCGTCATTTTTCCCTGGACTGCCAGCTATTTTGTGCCGGGCCCAGCCTGAGAAATCCAAATGTTACCAAGTAGACAGGAGTGCTTGGATCTGGGGAAGTGTGCAGCTCTCAGCAGGGTCAAACACACCTTGCCACATCGAGGACAACAGTCCGGCTCTGGTTGCTAAGATGCTCCGGTGATCTGTTCAACGCATGCCAATCATGAAAGAATGCATTAAAATATCCATTGCCGCAGACTACATGCCATATTCGTTTCCATCCGATCTGCATCAGCCACCGTCACACTCAATGCCATATTACCTCATTATGTGGCAAGTCGCGAGGACTCTTTTCCTATATTTTGGACCTTGCCGTCGGTGGAGGACACAGCTAATGGGATGATGTTGGGGTGGTGACTGCATGAACCTTAGCTGGAACTGCCTGTGGCTGACTGCATTCAAAAGACCCAAGTGGAATACGACATCCACCTGCTGGGTTGAACTCGATATGCATGAAGCTGCCGTGACCCTCACGTGAGATTCTGTTCAATCCAATTTGCAGCCAGCTGGCAACCCACGCGATCGGCTGAGAAGCAGGAGACGAGATGCAGCCGCAGCGTCGCAAAGTGACCCTGGAACAACATCACCACCGTCATCGGCATTTGATGTGCAAGCGCAGCGGGTGAGTAACTTACACCTACTTGTAGTATCAAGGAGTACTGGTAGTTTACTACTATATACTCCCTACCTAGTATAGTTGGTTGAATATCGCACCTGGATTGATGAGTCATCTGCACACTCCAGAGAGCGCATGTGGTGGAAGTGGAATTGCTTTATTGATAAACAGGTCGAAAGCTGGTGCTTACCGTTTTAGTATATCCACACTCCAATACATGTACTCTTCCACATGTGTGGATACTGCACACAACGAGTCCTATACTTTTTCTTTGTTGATTCGTTTTGTTCTCCCAACAGGCATATAGCTCGCAGCAGATGCTGAGGCCAAGCAGGAGCATTGGCATGGTAACACAAGGCGAGCCATCATCCTCAGAGCTATGCGTTAGGACTTCTGGACAAGTATCACCGCCTCGGGTGCCAGCAGGACCCGCGCCGGGTTTGTTGCCGGGGCGGCGTCAGTTTCTCGCGCTTCCCACAACAATCAATGAGCAGACGGTGCCAGCACACGTAAATACGCTGGCAGCGGCACTATCGTCTCGTACAGCAACAGTGCAGTCGTCTCATATGGCAGCCGTCCAATCACCCCACACAGCAGCTGATCAATCACATCATCGTGCAGGAACTGTGCAATCACCTCATATGGCATCTGTGCAATCACCTCATATGGCATCTGTGCAATCACCTCATATGGCATCTGTGCAAACACCTCATATGGCATCTATGCGATCACCTCATATGGCATCTGTGCAATCACCTCATATGGCATCTGTGCAGCCATCTCGTGGAGCGGCGGCACATTCACCGCGCACGGCCCCAGCAGAAGCATCTGGCTCTTCATTGCCGTCCAAAGGCACCGGTCTCCCAGAAATGACCAAGACACGTTTCCGTGGTGCACCAAGTACATGGAGTCAACCGAAGCTCACGGCCAGCCAGCCGAAGCGGTTAGTCAGGTTCTTTGCTAAAACCTATACTGTGCACTGCAGATGTTAACAGCAGTTGTGAGTTCCCTTGGGAACGGAGACAAAAATGTATTTAATTTAATTTTAAAAAATGAGAATTTAACTCCTCCCTGGCTTATACATCGCTTATCGGTACAGTGAATACACCAAGGCCTGTCTAGCCAGCAACAGATGGCACATGTACAAGCACGTACATCCCAATCCTTTGCCGGGCTATTCACTTTCATGGCTGGACTGTGTCGAGCTCCGTGCTCTCCACACCAAGCTACTAAAGTTACAGTGCATGTGCTAATGTACTGGACTGCATTACAAACACTTGTGGTGCCATTCTAAACCAATGCCCTCTTCCCACCCACCCTGATCATCTATCTCACCCTCTGCAGGATAGCTATCACGAATCCGAAGGCCGCGCCGACAGGTCCCAGGCCTCATTTCCCGTATGGCGATCCGTACGCAATCCGAGACCCGCCGAACGATCCTGACTTTCTTGCACTGCAGGCGAGAGTGCGCGCCATCAGCAAACTGCAGCTGGCGACGGTGAAATTGGAGAGTGAGAGAAAGCAATCGCGTCGACGCCGGCCGCCCTCAAAGAACTCGGTATGGGCACGCCTTAGTTCGTGCAGCTCCTCAGACATGGAGTCAACACGCAGACAGCTGCAACCTCAACAGCAGCAGCAGGGTGGCAGTACCAGTCGAGAAGTGCACCGTGATGCTCACCAGGCACAGGCGCTGAACGACGCTCAAGGACTTCTTCACACTCTCCAAATCCAACCGCATCGACCAGCCGCCGCACTTACTACCCCCGGCGGCACACAGGCTCCAGCACGACGAAGACGCAGTACGGGCATTGCCGGTCCAAGCGGCTCTGTGCGACAGACTGCTCGCAGGGCATCTATTGCAGACCCCCTGTGCATACAGCGTAGTCCGGCGACAACACTGGCTCAGAATCCAACTGGAGCGGCTGTCCATGGGACTGGAAGCGATCACGCCAGCAGCGACACGGAGCGCGGTGCTCCACGACTGAGGAGATACTCCAGTCAGCCACTCCGGCGGTCTTCTCGATCAACTACGACCAGTCTGCAGCGCCGTCGGTCCGTCAAAGAGTACTCTTCAGGCTACCGTATAGCTGTGGACGCTCTTCCATTCAGCTAAATACTGTTTGTTAAACAGGCCGCATGGATTAGTCTTGATTCAACACCACTCCAGTCATGGACTTTTGTTATAAGATACATGGATGTCTTCAGGAATGGACCCAAGACACAATGACCGTGTCACACCCCATCTCCATTGACTTGATATAAATTATATATTGCACATAGTCGAGTTTTTAGGTGTCTGGTTTGAATAAAGGGCTTACTGTATTGTGACCATGTTACGTTGCCACAGTGCTTTGTAATACCCTTTTGTTTGTTAATAACTCGGAATAAAATCAAGCAGCTTTTTAACCATCCCTGCAGCAAGTTTGTGATGATGACTCTTGAATTCTCCTTGATGTGTTAGCAGCATGTTAACTTATATCATGTCAAATGTTGGCAGCCTATCACTGCCACTTTCTTGCTGGTGAGTCTTTCAACAGTTACTCTTACACAACGGTATTTGAGTGCAGGAATCCACAACGACCAGGTCGGCGGTCAGCAAACCAGTATACAGTATGTCCTGAAACCATTGGTTATCGGTCACGGTGCATTGCATGCTGTCTGCTGTGGGCCATGACCTTGAGATTGGTTACCGGTGCATTGCATGCTGTCTGCTGTGGGCCATGACCTTGAGATTGGTTATCGGTGCATTGCATGCTGTCTGCTGTGGGCCATGACCTTGAGATTGGTTACCGGTGCATTGCATGCTGTCTGCTGTGGGCCATGATCTTGAGATTGGTTATCGGTGCATTGCATGCTGTCTGCTGTGGGCCATGACCTTGAGATTGGTTATCGGTGCATTGCATGCTGTCTGCTGTGGGCCATGACCTTGAGATTGGTTACCGGTGCATTGCATGCTGTCTGGTGTGGGCCATGACCTTGAGATTGGTTATCGGTGCATTGCATGCTGTCTGCTGTGGGCCATGACCTTGAGATTGGTTATCGGTGCATTGCATGCTGTCTGCTGTGGGCCATGACCTTGAGAAACGATGGTGTCAGAGAATGTCCACTTCCTGCTTCTGCTTGTGCTGCTGGTGCTTGTGCTGCTGTGTGCTCATATGTTGTACTCCGGTTTAAGCAAATACCCGTACCAGGAATCATTACATTCCCAAAATATACAAGTGCTAGTATCCCCCGGAAAAACTGGTATCTGGCGATCACCTCTGGGTCCACATAAAAGTGATCACTAACGGCAGGTGATCCTTGCTTGGAGGTGTGTGACCATGGGATCACATACATGGACTCCGTCTAAAGAGTCGATACGTCGGGAACGCAGCCTACCCAACTCCCAAATCACAATGCTATCATTACTTATTGCACTATTCCGCTCTCCTTCAAATGGTGTGGAGAGCATTCTCAAGGCGGCATTGAAGAAAATCGTGTTATGCTTTTCACTTGAACTGCCTTCACCGTGTGCAGTCAACTGCTCGATGAACTGGGGTCAGTAGAGGCAATATCAAAGGAACCAGAGATGGTTGGCTGCTTTGAAAATGCTTGGCTCGCTTGAAATCATACAAAATCGACAAGAAAGAGCTTTGATCGGCCATTTGTTTTCTACATCATAGCCGCTAGTTGCGGGTAGAAAATCAACCTTGGGACAAGAAAGAGCAGTCACTGGTAGTGGACAGGGAAGGTACCGGTACATGTAGCGCAACTAGTCCCAGTCAAGTTGCATATGTGAAAGCGTCGCGGCGCATAGCAAAGCAGTCGGTAGTGGCTAGTTGCTAGTTCGGCACAGTGTAGTGCCACGGTTTACTCGTTCCGTACTTCAAGGATCCTCGAGACTGCAACAAAACCAAAAGTTACTTTCTTATTGTTTGACTAGGTAGTGGAGTTGTGAATGCACTGCAAAGCTCCACTAGTAACTATGTTGACTCCTGGTTGAATTTGGACAAGATCTTTGCAACATTTGACAGTGAAGAAGGACTGTTAGAGTACTTAGTGGCTAGTTCAGAATAGCAACAAAAAAGCAGTTTGTGTGTAGACAGTTGGCGTGAAATATAACCCATGACAGGACTACAACTGCATGGCTGATACTGAACTCAAGCACGCCTACACATACACGCCACCTCTACGCACACCATGTACCATGTACTGTAAAACACGATATTTCGGTGTAACTTTAATTTCGGTGATTTCGGTAGTGAAAACCAGCACCTAAATTTAGATTACACCTTAGGCACCAGAGTATACACTGTATGTGAAGGGAATGCTGGTCACCTAACTCTAAATTACACCTGAAACCTGGCAGGTCCCTAGCACCGAAATTTTGATGCACCTAAAATTACATGTTTCACAGTATGCTCGTCACAAGAGCAGCACACCAATCTGCAAATGCACTGGATGTACGCCCACCCATTTTCCCCTTATAACAATGATCGCGGCCAAGATCTGAATGAAATGGATCCAGGCTTGCGCCAGGTAGCTGCCCAACGCACATAACTTGCAAAGCCATGTGACTCAACCTCCAATGCACACATCAGTGACCTGGTCTACACCACGCAGAAAATATCGGAACAGAATGGTAAAAACAGTTACCAGTACCTATGCACACCTTACACTTGCTGGGATAACCAGTCTAGACAGCAATGCCTGCTACGTTGATGGAAGCAGACACTGGTACCACATGTTATATCATCCGTATCATGCCTGTCATGATTGTCTGAAGCTATTGTCTGTGTTGTGGTTGACTTCACTCTTTAGCACTATTGACTGGCCTTTCGTACAATACCTATTGATGTCTAGAGACAGACTGTCTAGCCTTCCCCTAGTGCTCTTATTGATACACTATCCAGCTGTCCATCGGCTCTCCTTCCACGGCTCTCTATCCTGCTACACTCTTCTTCACACTCTATAAGTTCGTGTCTTCTTTACAATAAAATCAGTTCAGTGACTGACGAGTTCGAGATCACAACACCACATGCACGCACACATGCGCGTACACACACATGCGCATACACACACATGCGCGTACACACATACGCATGTACACACACATTCAGCAAGATACACATATTATACGAGCACACACCCTTACCACTGTTGCTGCTGAATGCAGTTCTCCAGGAGTTGGACATGTTCGGCTGAGCTATTCTTACATCCGGTCTCAGGGTGAGAGAGTGGGTTGACATTGATGATTGACTAGCATCGTCCGGTGCTCGTGAACATCCACTTTGCTCAGCTTGCTCAATGCTAGGAAGCAGAGATGGACTTACTAAAGAATCGTTCAGGTTGTTTGAAGCAGAGGAAGCGTTTGCAAACTCGGGCGTAGCGGTGTGTGTCCGCTGCCCCGACTGTAACACAGACGCTGCCCGCGAGCTTACCATTCGTTCGCGCTGCAGGCTGCTGTCCAGGAATCGAGATAAGCGTGACGGCGGTAGAGGCAGGGCAGCTGCTTCTTCCAGCACGCTGTCCGGCATGTTACCGAGTGCTATCTCTGCCGCTGCATCCTGCACATCCATTTCTTCATCTTCCTCTATCGTCTAGACATAGTCAGGTGAATTGGAAAACGCACATCAGAGCTTCAACTCCACAGTGCACATATCAATGTGAATGTCGCCCGGAGCATAATTTAAAAATTGTTCTTCCAAAGTTCTAGTGTACTTGTATACATGTTGAACACGCCACCAAGACAGCCATATAATTATTGTAGTCAAAACCTGCTGAGATTCTTCAGCCCTTGGCAAATGTGAATGTACCGAATGTATTGATTACTGGACTACTGTACAGTGCCCTAGACTAGTGCAGCTTACCCCGCTGAGGATGTTGTACTTGCAAAGTGGACACGTCTGCCGAGCTATCAGCCACCGGTCGATGCAGTCCTTGTGGAAAACATGACTGCACGCATAGATAGGTCCAGAAAACAACACGAACAGGCCAGGTTCTGAACAAACAGCCGGGACAGTTGAACCGCACTGGGATGAGCGTACTCTGGAGCACAGTACCACTTCCCAATTGTTACAGTATGGCTACTTAATTGCACCCATAGCATTTGTTGTCCGTGCCCCTTTTAGAACGTGTGTGCTGGGTCCGCGGGCGGTGTGCATTTGTTGTGCATGCGGACTGCGCAGGTTGCGACCCAGCACGCATGCGTGCATTTGTACACATTCTGGTTCTTGTGTTCCTTGCCTTTTTCTTGAGACTCTCCTTGGAGTAAGACTACTAAAGTAATCAGTCCTCTGGGTGTGGTGTACGTGGGATGTACATGAGATCGGGAGAGAAATCGGAAGGGCCTATCGTCCAGGATAAACAGCCCCCGACGACAGCCATACTCCATTGACCCCCCCCCCCCCCCCTAGATTTGTCTTTGAATCAATCGCTAAGCACCCACAGAGAGAGAGAGAGAGAGAGAGAGAGAGAGAGAGAGAGGGAGGGGGGGGGGGGGGTGCAGCAGGGAAGAGTAGAAATGAATTTCCTGGTTGTGTGCACTGTGAGTTGGATAAGTCTGGCGCATTGTATAACTGTTACACTACTTGTAATAAGATGGTAGTAATAAGCATTGCCGTGTGCAGGCATATTCAGAGCTTACTTGCAAGGAAGGGTTCGTATCGTGTCTCCACTCTCCAGATTATCTATGCACACCACACAGGTGGCATATTCCTCATCCTGGAGGCATGCAAACAAGGAGAAGCAAGACAACAACTCTCTTGTTGATCACTAGTAGTCACTGGTGGGAGGTACAATGAGAGGCCGTTCACCCTAACAGGTATGTACATGTACACTAATAAATCTATGGACAATTGGATAATTGTAATGTAGTAGTAACCTGGATTCTTGTTCTGACTGAAAAGGGACAAGCAAACATTTTTTTGTAAAGTGCTGGATGAAACACTTGGGGACTATAATAAGTTTATAATAAAGAAAAGGACCAAGGAACTACAAGTTACGCTATAATGTCCACTAACACCACCAGTTACTTTTAGTGTTAGTGGACATTGTAACTTGTAGTTCCTTGGTCCTTTTCTTTATTTTAAATTAATCATTGGCTCTCCATCCGAGTCTATACTATAAGTAGTATAATTATATAGTAAGTATTTAAAATAGCACATGTTGCTATAGTCCTCAAGTAATGTTGACTGGGATCAGCAATAGCAAAAGTTATTCCTACCTACCCCACATGTAGGCTTTTAAACAAAACGAATATAAACTTTTAAAGTGAAAACTTCAGAAATCGATCGCCTTCAGGATCCCCTCCTGGAGCTATGCGATCCCATTTTACAAGTTAGGTATGTATGTATGTGTCTCCAGTCAACATATGTATGTATGTATGTATGTATGTATGTATAACTCATAATCACAAGGTGATCGTAGAGGCATTAATCAGCGAGAGAATTGTGAATGATGTCTCTGAATCCAACTCTATTGTGTGCTGCATGAGAGAGAGCATGCAAGGGAAGACCCGTCCAACTTTTAATGTTAGAAATCCATGATGTCGCGGGCCTTCCTCTCGGTCGAGATCCAGGAGTTGATCCTTGCAGGAAGGGCTTGGAGAAAACATCATGTCTCGTAACATGGCCAAACCACATCAACTTAAATTTCTTGACTTCGTTCGCTAGCCGCATCCTTGCTCCGATGATGTCATTGATTTCTTTAGGTATCTATGTGCATATATGGATAGCCTCGTGTTGGACCGGGAAAACGCTGGCCGTATTTCTGCACCGTTTTGGGATCATGGTGTGGTGGTCGGAGACCAAGGTTGTGCATGCGTTCGGGTTGACACTGCAAAACACTGCACTCGGGGATCATTTGGATCAAGTCTGAGCAGTCTACAGGCAGGCCAAGCCCCCACTGCATGTCGAGAAATATATCTGACAAATGATATTGCAGATAAGCACACATATACTAGCAGAGGCGGCTGGAAATGGCAGGCACTTAGCACACCCTCCAGCCAAGTCTCACACGAACCGTGATTTGTTTTAGCACGCCCTGGAATTGGTCCAGTCAACCAAATCTGCCCAGCCAACCGTAGCTGACCCGGCCGCCGTAGCTGATCTGGCCGACCCAATCTGGTCCAACCAATCCCCATAGTGCATGCTAACAATTTCTTCACTTCTTTGTATATCTATCTACATGTATATTGGCTGGTGCATGAAGAAAAGGTTCAGCAAGCGCTTCACCAGCCAGCCCGGTTGCTCCATCTATGTTTTGATAGAGCAGTGTTGAAAAGAGGAGAAATGGCTGATGCGAAAGTCATCTTGCGACTTACATCCATTATGGATTCATCAAGTGTTCTCTCTGGCAGTTCGTCTATTCTTTCTCTGGCTTGATCTGCTCTGGACCTCTGTCAGTGGTTCAAAACGACACACAAAACTCAGAGTTAGAACCAACAGCAGTGCATTAAAAAAAAGAAGTTCACACCTCACTCCACTATGGCAATGCAGCAGCAATACAGGCCTCCAATGCAGGTCTACAGCCAGGCCCTGGTCAGGTTATCACCGGACCAACTTTTTGGCTGCCAGCACGTGTTTCCTACTGTGGAGGGAATGTGCATCTGCTGGATCATACACATAGTATCATGAAAAGGCTATGATACTACCGGATCAATCGAAAACTGCTTCCGGCGGTCCTGACAGCCTAACCAGCTGCAGTGCACAAGTGGCTGCAGATAGGCCCTACTCTATGTATGGCCTGGGCCACAAAAAGCCTGAGCAGTTCACCTACTAGAGTACGTTGTACTTCAAAAGTATGTATTCACTATCTCCACTAGTTACTGCATTCTTCTGAACATACCCGAACGATCAAACCACTGGCCTCAAAGAGAATTGTATATCAGTTGAATTTGACCCATTGTTCCTCATTATTTGCACCTTTCCCAACTGCATCATGCACATATGAGGATACGATGCAATGCAGGTTTCATGCACCGGTGTACATGTACTTATCGACGTTTTAAGACACTGGAGTAACCATGGTAACTAAGCTTCGATTGTCCGAAATCCTGTACTGCTAATAAAGTCGGAGTATTCTCCAACACCCCCCCCCCCCCCCCCCTGCCTGGTAAAGACTGCGTGTAGATCGTCACTATGCTCCTCTATCTCTATCTCTCTCTCTCTCTCTCTCTCTCTCTCTCTCTCTCTCTCTCTCTCTCTCTCTCTCTCTCTCTCTCTCTCTCTCTCTCTCTCTCTGTCTGTCTGTCTGTCTGTCTGTCTGTCTGTCTGTCTGTCTGTCTGTCTGTCTGTCTGTCTGTCTGTCTGTCTGTCTGTCTGTCTGTCTGTCTGTCTCTGTCTCTGTATGTCTCTCTCTCTCTCACCTGATTCAGTGTCACTTGACGGGTCTGGATGTGCAGCTTGGCATACATAAGAATAGCTATGGCCAGTAGGCTCAGTGCCACAACGCAGAAGCTCAGCTGAAGAAACATGGCATGCTGCAGTTGCTGGGCTTGCGGAATGTAGTCCGCACGGGGCTCAATCGTCACATTCAGCGTTTGGTCCTGTGCTAAAACACTGCTCATGTAGACTCCGATTTTTCTCGATATGCCAATTGTCTGTATCCTGCGGTTGGATGGGCTCAGCACTCGCAATGGGTTATCGACATCTGGCGAGAATCCAGTTGAAACAGGTCCAGGACTGTAAACCAGTGCAACACCAGCACCAAGCTGTTCTGCTTCCATTGTGGCAACCTCAATGCTGCACTCGTTGTATTGCATCAGAATGGCAAAGGGCCTCTCTATTTCTGCCCCAGGCCAGTCTAGGGATGCATGGTCCACACTTGTGTTGCACAAGCCATTCAAAGCTGTGTATTCCACCAGTTGATACTCTGCGATCGTTATATCGTGCGTCCTGGTTGTCGGGATCAAGCTATCCTGGCTGTAGAATGCAGCGACATAGGTCGCCTGGCTGCTTGGGTACGTAGCATTCAGTAAAGCCTGCTTCCAATATACTCCAGAAAACGCTCCCGCCAGAAGAAATGTGTTTTGCGATGAAAGGCAATAGATAATTAGTATCCAACCGAGCAAAAGTGCCATTACTACTGCTGCCACCACTCGTCAACTGATCACTTCCTACTGGCAACTTACTTGTGCACCACTTTCAGCGTCGCTCCCCACACACAACCAACAACTCCACAGATCTTTCTTCTTCTTTTGTAAACCTGTAACAATGTTCTTCCATGCCTACCTTTTGCAGGTAGATCTAGAGCCTCGGAAAGAAACGTTCAGCCATGCCAAAATGAGCGACCATGAATAGCTAGCTGTTCGATCTGTTGAACCCGGCAACAACACCGTGGTACGGCAACAGTGGTGTTTAGCAGTGGTAATGTCATCATGTCAGTGAGTTCCATAATCACTGCCACTGGTAAATGATGTGGCGGAAATATGGGCCACGCCTGTAGAATGCGTGAGTCAGTGCAGCTCAGAACGACTTGAGTTGCGAGAATCGTTCAGTTCAGGTCATAACCTTTGACCTCGATGCAAGCGTGACCGAGTTCGAGTCTGCGCATGTGGACAATGTGGCAACCGGTGGTGCACATGCAATGATTGATGTGTAGACGATATAATAGATCATGGTGGATTTACCTTCTCTTTCCAGGACTTTTCCCACTATGCCTACTGTAGGCTATGGCAATCTAGCAGGAGTCTGGACGGCGGCTTCTCTGGAGTGATGAGCGGCCGTCGACAAATTAGTGGGGGGTTCCTTTACGGACTCTTGATCTTGGTGAGAGCCCCACCCTACCACGCATATCACTGCTGCGAATACAGCTCCAGCGCTTTTTGTGGCTTCTCATAGCTCAGGGAGTCCACAGGCCACACTTCACAACACCATACCGTTGAAGATGGCCCTGTCAAGGATCATCATTCCTGAAATAAAAGAGAGGTTCTGCAAAACGAAAATGTGTACGAACTTTCGCTCTACGTCACGAAGTGAGAAACTTCGCACGAACTTTCGCAACTTTGGACGCGAAACTTGCAGGGAACGCGAAATGAACTTTCGTAGGAAGTTTCGTGAGATTGGGTCATGTCGTACGTGCACTTGGCGCGTGCAAACTACGAAAATGTGCAGAACACAAAGTTCGTGCGAAAATTCGTACACACTTTCGCAAGGCCTGTCGCGAAACTTCGTTCGAACTTTCGTTGTGCAGAACCTCTCTAAAGACTATTATTATTCCGTGATCATGCACCAGCACAACTGTCAAGCTGGTGTGTGCGTCCACCTACCGGTAGATCTACACTGCTACATGACTTTGTGTAGTAGAGGAGACGGCTCGATACCGGGACGTTTTGACAGCCAAATTTGTATAGACCCAAACAGATCATCAGCGTTGATTTTTCACTCGAAATATGTTTGTGGAAGGAAACTGGCATGTTGAAGTTTGCTCTGGGGCCAGAGTCAATCGAACTGAGCCACTCCTTTGTGTTGACCCATTGCCTCCAAGTTGCCCAATTTTTCGCTTCAAAAAAGTTCAAATCAGAGGTGGCTCCAAACCGGACACGTTTTAGAGTGCACGTCAAATTCACTCTGGGTCTGAAATTAGGTAATTGCTATCGCTCCACGACGGCCAGTACAGAGTAACAATAAGCCTTGTGTGTGCTTCCATTAGTTTTGATTGGTATGCGGTGCTTTATTGGCGAGAGGCGAGCCGCTGTTTACCTGCGACAAGAAGTTGATTTTTCGAAAGTCGTAAAACTCAAGTCGCAGTGCGAAGCAACACGTCAAAAACTCACCTGCTTGATATGGCGCTTCTGGTCATCGCAGAGCCATGAAATTTTGGCTCGGAGTATAACACATAGTAGTCTCACTGTGACATATGTTTTCTAATCAAAATACCAAGAGAGAAAGTGAATATTGAGTCCGTTCCGGTTTGCAACCGGTGTCCTATTTGAAACCGTCCCCTCTACCATGACCTTTTCTTCTTCCGAATCTTCGAGCAGAGCTGCCAACCAGTTGGGCTGGCCGGCCATATGCGATGGGTCCGTTTATTTTGCGAACTGCATGCAACTATTACTTCTGATTTTCGGTATGTTGCAGTGTTTTTGTGCACCGCCAGTGATTATGTACTGCGCAGCTGCCGGCATATGCATGCTGTGTGCATTACAAATACCGGAAGCCGAATCGTACTTTTTTTCTTTTTTAATAGCAAGTAACTAGTTTGCTTCCCATGATAACTCACAGAATGGCTAACAGTAACACCATGAGTACATAACCCCATGTACTCTTGGTAACACGACTTGAGTTGAAATTTAGCAAGATATTATTTATTTACAGATTTCATGTTACTGTACTTCCTGTTTTTAGGGATGGTCCAGGAGCGTCACAGACGAAAAGTCGAACTGTTATTATTGTTTCTTGTGGTTATTATTAGAATGGCTGGGCTACTTTTTTTGGTCTTCATGAAAAGCTGGTACAGTAAATTCCGCTTCATTCAAGCCAGGACCCGAAAAACAAGAAATGATTACATTATAATAATTATACTATATAAGCACTCTTGATATAAGCAAGAGTACATGAAAACCATGTACTCCTGATATAAGATATAGGCCCAAAAGTCAACCCATCAGGAATCGAGGCTTATCAAGTTATGACCCGCGCCGTTCGACATTGAACATCGCAACATTGCAGCAGGTCGTGTCGTAGTAGCAAGGAGTCGTCAAATACAGTGTATTTATTATAGCTTCAAGACTCCAAGTTGAAGTAAACAAACAAACATGAAACTGTGTGGCTTGTCTCAGGCCTACAATCACCAAGTCCAGATCAACCAACGTGACTGACTGTACCGGTGTCCGCAAGAAACGTGAGGAACACTTAGGCTAGACATGCATGAGAGCTGGGGCATCAGAATGCCACCAGGGAGTTGTAAACTATTCTACGACTCTGAATGCCATGATGACGTATGGCCAAGCCAATCAAACCAAAGGAAAGAATTTGGTGCTTCTATGCAGAAAGTACAAAAGAAGCCAAAGGCAGATCCTGAGAAGTGTCTGATGTGACATACATGTACACATGCAAGCCTAATTGGGAATAGAACTGTATATTAATCACTGAACACTAATATTTCATACGAATACTTGAAATACCTGGAAGACGAGACATTATCAACGCAAAGGTGCTTTAACGAGAAGAGGGGGAGAGAGCAGGCCCAAAGAAAGCCAACAAAAGCTAAATTTCATGAAAAGGGGCTTGGATATATGAGGCACACGACTACATGCGTCGGTAAGTATGACAATTTAAGATTAAAACAAAGGGGAGTTTGGATGTACAGAAAGGTGGATTTCATGAGAATGATGGCATAAAGATGACATTCGAAAACGATGCAGCATACAGGTCAACGGAACACATCGCTAAAAAGTACAAAACAGCCAGCAGGTAGCGGAGCATATGTACAGCATAACACAGCTGAAGAGAAACAGTATAGCCTGGAGGCAGACGCTACCGACTTGACTTGATCGGCGTGAACGCACCAAGGGCGGCAGGGAACAAGGCGTGATACTGGAATTCGGGAACAGGAGTAGCAATAATTTGCTTTCCTGCAGTACATGAAGGCACATGCAAAAGAAACATGAATAACATAAGATACATGCAGGTTACAGCAACATAATTATATCCTTAGTAGCAGTGGTGAGGCTTCCTGCAGCTTCATTCATAGGAAAAAAGGTTTCAGAACAGACTTGTTTGCATACCTGATGAGGGCAATTTTGCCGAAACATTGTAAAAATTGATTGAGAAATGAGTTCGAGTTTTGCAGAGTGAATGGGAAGACAGCGAGTCTGCTCTGAAACCGTTTTTCCCTATAATTATATCCACAACACTATGGAATATGATAAAGAACACCTTGGAATCTCATGCCCAGAACGGAATGGCATCAACGTGAACAGTTGCACAGAATCCTTACCAGCAAAGAATCGACCATGAAGACTCTTCATGGCATTGGCAGAGACTTGTCCGTCACGGCACTTCACATATACCAAGCCTTGCTGCGAACACATAACACAGAGAAGGAAATAAGAGGGAAGACAATAATTATCCAAGCAAGAGGTCAAAAGCTCGACCAAAAATTCAAGGCACAGACAAGTAAGTTGAACCTTATTTATAAGGAAAGAAACTTCTGTGAAGAAGATGTTCGTGCAACTTCGGCGATACTTGAGGAATTGTGAAGAAACTTTTACATAGAAAATAGAAGTTCTAATACATAACCATAGGCCACACCGAAACTCACCGGAGATTTGTCATCAACATGAATATGAATAACATCGCCAAACTTTGTTGCTTCCTCCAAGACATCATCCTTGATCTCTTGTTGCCAACCATCATCAATCTCCCTGAAAAGATCAAGTCAGAGCAAGAGACCGCATTTCAAAATAACAGACATACATGCTGCAGCAGAAGTGCAACGCTGCAATTGGGCACAAACACAGCACAGCTCCACATCAAGAAGATCTTGGGTACTTCAAGCACAAGCTCAGTAAAGAAGAAAGGATACCGTGAAAACAACTTACTTCGCCGGATCAAACATATTCTGCAAGTTGAAGCACGGTGCTGGCGCTGTGGGCGCAGCTGCGACTGCCGGCATAGTCGCTTGAAGACCAGACGTCAATCCAGCAGCACCAGCCAGACCTCCCAAACCACCCAGGCCTTGCAGACTGAACGTTCCAAGACCTGCCGATGCACCCAGAGCCGCCGGAGCTCCAAGACCGGGCATTGATGAAAGCGGATTGGGGAGGAGAGGTGACGGAGTTGGGGTGGGCAGCATTGCTGCTGCAGCGCTTGGGTTAGCAGCATACTTGGCCATGAGAGCCGCACGAGAGACATCCAATGACGTGCTCTCTGATACAACAGGAGTGCTGACTTGAGTCGGATCCTCTGCACCATAGGTGACTTTGATAGGACGACCAACCAGTTCAAAACCGTTGAGCTGATCCATGGCTTGTTTCGCACTTTCGACACTCTTGAACTGTATAACACAAAGTCATATTGGCAGACAAATGAGGAAAAGGCATGCAGTGGTAAAACACAAGGATAGGAAATGAAACAGATATCTCCAGCAGCCCGAAAGCCAAAAAACAGCAACCAGGAGCAATTGGTGACAAAATTGTATCCAGCCAGCAAAACACAAGGAGGACGAAAAGGATAACTCCAGAAGCTAGAAAAGCCAAACAAACACAACAACACAACAGTAAATAGGAGCGTACCGTGACGAAGGCATATCCTCTCGACTGTCCGTCATCATCATTCTGTACCTTGCAACCCTCCACCTGTAATAAGTAAAGCACACAAACACAGTATGCCCATTTCAACCCAAGATAGCAAGATACTCTTCAAGGAAGGAACATTTGTCATCGTTCATACACGAAGCAGTACAACACCAGCGAGAAGATCAACATGGCATCTCACCTGTCCGAACGGCTGAAAGACTGCAGAGAGCATTTCATCATTGATGTTTTGATGCAGATTGCCGACATAGAGACGAGTGACACCAGGCGGTTTCTGGAGTGTCTGCGCAGCTGCTGCCAGTCTGATGGAGAGGGCAGAAGTACAGTGGAGTTAGTGAGTGGGCAGCAAGAAAACAAAGACAGCAATGAGGCGCGGGGATTCTGCCCAAAGCAGCAATGCTAGTCTTCGGTTTGTAATAAAAGCAAGAACATAAACAGAACGTTCTGGTGAAGAATGAAATAGGACGGCAACTGCATTGCTATATCGCCATGTTCTCACCTGTTCTTTTCCGATTGGGTGGCCTGGACAATAATCGGGACAGCCTTGACTCGTTGACCGGTCATGCTAATAGCCTGTTGCAAAGCAAAAGTAAAAGATCATTTAACGCAGAGTGAAGCAGTAGTACCCAGACACAAGTTATGCATGGGATGCGGGCAATCATTAACCCAAATCGAGCAAGTCTGGCAATTCAAACCTAGATGCGTGTACTGGTTGACAGTAACTGCCTAGTAAAACACAGTGACGGCGGTGATTGCAAGGGAAATACCACTTCAGAATAATCACCACTCACCTTTGGAAGAGAGTCCGGTGTCTTGAACTCTACGTAGGCAATGCCCTTTGAACGACGCGAGTTCCTATCTGAGATAAGCCGAACATCGACCACAGTACCAGCTGGGGAAAAGAAATCCTCTAGGTCCTCCTCGCGAATACCCTTAGCTAGCTGCATGCAGAACACCGTGCGAATGTCACGTTCCTCGGGGGTCAGCTTTTCAGCATCCTTGAGGAACTCACGGCGTTTCGTGCGCTCGCGCTTCTTGTCATCATCACTGAGAAAATAAGGGCAATAACAAGATAGGCAAAGTCCAGAATAAATCAACACGCACACACATCTGTTATAAGGTGAAGAGAGAAAGTTGAAAAGACCAACCCCTGGATGTAGATACTACACACAGAATACATGGAGTGCCACAGAGGGGTATAGTTGGGTTTGTAGCGGGATGAGATAGTAAAAGCCCTACCGTACGCCACCCAACGGCAGGTGCCCTCGGATTTTGGTATTCAAGGCCCTGTGGGTTTAAAGTGTAAATTAGAACAAGGTGATCAACATCTCCCTACACTGCTAGCTATAGCGCCTTTCAGGTGTAATTTAAAATTAGGTGTCTGGGTTCTCTAGCAAAGATAAAATCACACTGATAATAACGGGTTACACAGTACCTGTCTAGCCCCAAATACATACACATTAAACTTAAAACTTACTGATCACGATGCCTGTCATCATGGCGGTCACGGCCACTGCCGCGGTCTCTGTAACGGTCATTGCCTCTGCTGCGGCTACCTCGATCACGGTAGTCTCTCTCTCTGTACCGGTCCTCGTCACGATCTCGATGGCTATCTCGGTCGCGATCTTGTCTTTCGCGGTGGCTATCTCGATGAGATCCGCGTGACTCATGTCGATCACGGCTGCGACTGCGACGTCGCTCTCGATCTCTCTTCTTGCTGTGAACAAGAAAAGAATGAAGAAAACTATTAATTACAAGTTAGAGGGAGTTGACTACATTAGAACTCCATCGCCAACGTTGTCCTACAAACAATACGTATAACCGGGGGGCAGGCAAGTACTGTACTTGTACCAGAAAGGTTCAAGAGGTTCGGGCAAGACTAAAAAATATTTATTTTTTAGAATATTTCTAGGCACAGATCAAGTGCAATGGTATATTCATGTATACAGCTTTGTTGTCTGTGCATACAAGCATCAACCCAATCGATGGGACAGGCATGTTCAAATTATCGGAACTGTCACATCTCGGGTTCTTGGAGAGATCAAAATACGTAAAAGTAGATTGCTCTTACCTTGCCTCTCGGTCAGATCCCTCATCGTCACTGTGTCTATGACGGTGTCTGCAGCCAACAGAAGACAACACAAAACCATTTCTCTCTATAGAGTGTGCACGTATGGTAAATTAAGACACATCCGCCATATCAAATACGAGCAGTGAGAACCAATTACGAAGTCTCCAGGCTACCTTTGGAGCTTCTTTTTTTTTGATAATACAATGTACTGACAATGAGTAAACACTGGCAACACTTACTTCTTTTTGTGACTGCGCGAGCGGCTATACTCCTCCTCATCAGTGCCCGAGCCTGAACGATTGGCACCGTTGTCCTATACAGAGAATGCACAGGGGTATACCAGATTAGCCTCAGTAGTAAATCAACATACACACACACGCCACATTCACGCAAGCACAAGCAAAACATGCACACCAGGTCGAATGACGGCGGCAAGTTGCGAGGGTCGAGCTGTCCGAATCTAAAGCAAGAACAAAGAAGATAATACGCCGGATGCCGTCCTTCGCCATGATGCTTGCACTTGCAACGTCCAGATCTTGCCATCACCGGGATGAGTCCAAGGTGTTGACGAACCCTGAGGCCACCCAAACGCCAAACTGATGAGTTGCGCCATTTCAATAGACACATCGACAGTGCTCTTTGCAAAAAATTGATTCTCAGTCTGAAATGTCCCACAAACAAGTGAACTGGGGGAAAGCTAGCTGAGAAGGAGGCTCCTATCTTATGTGCTTCAACTAGGACAACATTGCAAGAGAGGTCAGGGGTGTGAGTCCGGCATGCAGCAGTTAGGAACACTATGGCGAAACAATGAATGAATGACGAATGAACCATGTCAGGATCTACATGTCTTCGTGGGCTGATCATGTGCAAAAAAGAGAATTGCTTCGTCAGAACACACAAGTCCACCTACACCTCTACAAAAGCTTCATAAAGCAAACTAGCAATACATGCAGCAAGATACCACGTGACTGTCAGTGCCACGAGATCAGACCCAGTTCACCTTGGCCGCTTCTCTTAGAGCTGATGGAAGGTATCAATGAAGTCTACAACGGAAAATGAAATTTTGACCAAGTCAGGATTTAATAGTTGAACAAACTTCAGTGTAACATTCGACAGCAACAAAACGATCTCAAAATGACAACAGCAATCATCATTCATCATAATTCATCATAATTCATCACGAAACCCATGGGTCAAGCCATGCCAAGTGTGTCCTCCTAACTACCCGTACGGTAACACCATCTCCTCGCAAAAGTATTTTGGTGCAAAATCAAAAACAAGAAAGGCAAAAAAATCCGTGAACTGTGCTTGATCTTGCCGTGCCATCTCAAGCAAACATAATACCGGTATGTCTTCCACACTACAACTCAACAGGGAATGATTATTCGGTTTGCACTTGTACAAAACAAACCCCCGCTTAGTTCCGTAACGCGTGCACAACTGTTGAACAAGGGGAGATTGTTGTCTTACCTGCTTTTTGTAAGGAGCTTCCAAAAGTTCCTCCACATCAAAAGGGTCGTCCGCCGACATGGCTGCACTTGAACTAGACAAAGACGTATGGAAAGAATTCGCCTCACAAGATAGTCAAGAGCTCTCTACGAATGATCCAGGACAGAGTATCGAGACACGCGGTCGACAATCCTCAACAACAAACACTTGCACGGCGAGCTAGATGAAGAGATGCAAGAACTGTTGCAAACTGACTGTCGTTGCGTGTTGTGCGTTGGCGAGCCAAGGCCCAAGCTGTGCAACGCATCGACGTCGCGTTCAACACCAAGCAAGATGGCGCTAGATAGTGATCACTGATCACACATTCACAGTGATCAGGCTCCGCATGCATATGCAAGCTGCAACACTCCGCCAACACTAACAGACTCAGTGCAAGGAGCTGGATCATAGACATGGTTCCATTCATGGAGGTGGTGTATGATTACGTCACTTGCTTTTCGATTTCACGAAAAATCACGTCGTTGCTGAAAATGTGTCATCGCTCATACATGTACGTAGATCTACGTAGATCTACGTACATGCACAATCAATAATCATGATCAGTTCGAGTCGACTTTGTACTGTGTCAGGTAGTCAGTGTGTAGCAGGGAGTAGTAAAATACATTATTTTACTACTCCCTGGTGTGTAGTACAGTCGCGTTGCAACGTTGGTCAATCAAAACTTTCCGCTGAGAAAACAATTCTGATTATTGTTGAGGAGCATTCACCTATAATAAAGTCCTATTCTTCCCTGAACCAGAAGCTGTTGAAGTGAATTTAGTTGGATATTATCATGTGGCGTAGCCTTCGTCCCATGCAGCAATGCTGCCAAAGTCGGAAGCTCTGGACATCACCCCAGCGCTTTGCGCAGCAGCCACTGCTTGGTAAGGCTTGTAGCCCAGAATGTTTTATTCTGTATAAATGCAGTGCTTTTAGTAAATGACATCCGTCAGCGACGTGTAGTAAAGCACCTGATTTACCATTCAGCCCCAGTGGTACAACAATCAGGTGGCTAAACTAGCCCTGGGAGGACAGAAGTCTGATGTTATGTCTGCTATGGGCGAATCGTTTTTGTTCCAATCCAAATTAGCAATAGCAACCATCAAAAAGAAAGCATAAAGCAACAACACATGAAGATATGTATGGAAGAAACGCCCAATTCCCTACAAAGAAAAAGAAGGAAAAAAGAGAAAAAGGAGTGAGTGAAGTCTCACACACTGAAAAGTATGAAATATATAAACCACTAAAAAGCGATCAAAGAAACCCCACTGAAACATGGATAAAACATAGTCAGCACGTGTCCACAGCAAATCAAAGGGAAACATTCAACAAACAATAAATTAAGAACAACAAGAATGGATCTTGTTTGAATAGTGAAGTAATAAATAAAGTCAGTCCACGTGAAAAGAACATTGATGATCACAGTCAGGCCAAAAGATGAGCACGGGCCCGGCACTCCATGACGGAGCTATGAGCCTCACCACCAGCATGCACGATCAACATTATTTATCCTTTTGGCGTACTGGCGCTTATTCTGACGCTCAAGGTCAGCCAACTGGCTCTTTACTTGTGATCGCGACAACAAAGATGGTCTTGGGTGAGTCACTCGAACATCAAAAAAAGGCTTTTTGCTGCCACGGCCAAAAGCCACAAGCTCAGACATCCACACGAGCGCCATCGGTTGTGTTGCCTGACTCGGCCTCGATCTGCAATGGAGTTAGTGGGGGCTCAACCTCCTCGTAGCACACCACTTTCGCCAGCGTGTCAGCAAAGAAATCCCGCAACTGAGTATGGCGCTGAGTAGGTTAACCTCCGCTGGGGCACGTAACTGCATGATGGGTTGTCATATCACGGCCACAGACGCACAATGAAGGTACACTATCCAGAGCCAAACCATAGCGCAGGCACAAAGCATCACGAAAGTCATTCTTGTTGAATATACTGCTTGGGGTTAAAACCGTGTGCAGTGTACCCAGCCAGGTAGATACGCCACCATCGCCGGCAACCTCGACCAGAAGCCGCTACTGGTCTGGCAGAGAGGGCTTGGTACTGGCCAGAACTGATTGCTGCTGGGCACGACGCTCCATGCGTGCCACAGAAGTAAGAGTCCTACAGGATGCGATGACTGCAGAGGTAGGACCAGGGACGCGAGATAGCACAGACTGGACCATCGGCTCAGTCTACACACGGCACAGCTGATGCTCTGCCTCCGCTCACTGACCAGAAATGCCGACTGCCAAACCACCCAACTTCACGGGCAGGGACAACAATTTCCTAAGATAACCCTCAACAGGCAACGTGTGACCCGTCAAAGCGGGGAGAAGACTCTGGACAATAACAGCCTCCAGGGGCCCAAGCAATTGAGGGTCGGCCGCAATGACTCGCTGGAGGAAGGTCCACCTTGACTGAAGGGATGAAACGAACAGGTGATAAGCAGCCTGGGGGCTGCGTCATGGCAACTGTGGACAGGCGTTGAATGAGGCCAGCCCAATTCACCACACGCTCATGAACAATATTGTCACATAATTCTTGAGTACCGACGGCTCCTCCAAAATATCGCACACCGTCTGTACGAACTAGCAGCTCGTCATCCAACAGAATACTCTCATCACGGTCGACAGGATCCTGGTTCTTCTCCCTCAGTACATCGAGAACCGACCTCCCGTTGATCTCCTGGTCCAAAGGAAGAACGCACCCACCATCATTGTCTTCTAGATTATGGGTGGCTGTACCAATTCTTTCGCCACACACCATCTTAGCAAACTCAACTCCGTCCACCTCCGCCCGAGATTGAGTACGCTTGTGTGTGACTGAGGGGAAATGGGCTTGGATACACCGTGGTTCACCGAGCAAAGCCGTCGATTTGCCTGATTTCCAAAAGGTTAGGCGCTGGCGAAGGAACTCGTTGTTGTCAATGGCAGAAGATGTTCTAAATGGGCGCTGCAGAAGCGAATGGCCTGCAACGACAACAGCTGACCACGCAAATGGTCTGGCTTCAGATCCGTCGCTAAACAGACCGATTATTAGTATTATTATACGCTTGTTTGCGTTGACATCACCAAGCAAGCTTGGCTAGTCTTTGCATAAGCCAAATGAACAAAAGAAATGAGGAACGAGCGAGGCCGATGAGGTGAACACACGCGTGCACCTGCAGAACAGAATACAGAATAGATAGAACAGACCGATTAGCCGAGCCAATTCAGCCACGAAGTGGCCACCATCGTCGCCAAAAGGTACAACAAATATATTCCGTTTCCATTTGATCACCTCACCTACAGTACTAGTATAAAATCAATGCACCTGTACAGTACTAAACATTTCCCTTTTCAATCCCTCAAGCTTCCAAATTCTAAAGTTGAACAGGACTTCGTATACTTGACATGTATGAAGTCATAGACGAGTTCCTTGGGTCCATGTAGGACGGCGGGTTACTTGCTATTGGAGACTCACTGCATTGCTTGAAACTCCCATCTCTGAGTTCATACATTTACTGGTGTGATCCATAGGTATAGCAGTTGGAAACAACCTTCGGGAAGCTTTGCTTGGCACAGATGCAGCAACAGCCGGCATGGGTGGTGGATAGTGAGCGTTTGGCAGGTACACAATGTGCCTGATGGAATATCTGCATCTGGAGCCAGCCACATAGTAGTAAGGGAGTGGGAGTTGGGCGGGTGTGATAACTTGTACAGGACTTCAATTTGGTTTTCGCAACGAGCCTTCGTTCAAGCTACAGTTGTAGTCACCGACAAGTAGAATACGAGTTGGCCTTTGCGCTTCAAGAGAGAATACATGTACTGCAACGACGCCAACAAAGTTATTGATGTACAAGTACTTGATGCTTGTATGTTCACTGTGTGCATGCCGTGTGCATGCCGTGTGCGTTGCTTTACATACTGGCTTTTCCTCCATATCAGCCATGTGCACAAGGAAATTTTCTTTTCTCAGTTTCTCATCCGGATTCTTAGAACCGTGTGATTTTGCGCGAGACTCGTTAACGCGCCTAAGTGATACTACATGTAGTACATTTCTAATCATTCTCTACATGTGCAGTACATGTACATGTAACTCCGTCGTCATGAGTGTTTGTACCTGTGAGTAGACAATGTAAGACTTCATCTACTTCATCTATCAATTGAGCACTTTGTCTTCGCATCTGTCGAATGAGGTTCTACTGAAGCCCCCCGCGACACACACACACCTTACTGCTGACATATACGTCACCTGTAATTACTTCCTTCCGTTTCTTCGCCTCACATATTCACACCAAGATGTTAACTTCCTCAGCATGTTGATGCTGTCTTCATACATGTCATAGTTCCTATGCACATATGCACTGGATCTTTTTTTATGTGTGTCCAGGCCCGATAATTTGGTGGAATGTAAATTGATTTGCAGTAAAGAGATCGTTACTGGAGTTGGAGGAGTGAAGTTTTATATAAGTGGCACTTGTTCAATTATTCATAGGGTTGAAGGAGTTGAAAACGGGAAAAGATATCTTTAATTCAATTAAAACTCGGATGTTGAGCCATAAATAAATGTAGAAAGGAAAAGGACATAAGGATACGAGTTAAGAGTAACTCTCCATCACTGTAACTGGATACTATATACAGTCAGAAAGTGCAATAACTAGGCACAACACTGACAAGAGTACTGAGACATTCGACGTCCTGACACCTAGCTTCAACACATCTCTGTAGCGCTAACCGACAGCCTTCCAACTTGGAAGGTTCAAGGTTATGGAAAGACCAAAGAGGGGAAGGCAAGCGCAACGAAAACGAGCAAAAGCTACAGTCCCAACGGAACAAAGAATGTCGATTGTTACTGCACAATGTCATGCATGAGGAGTACTGTAGGAGTTTGGCTTTCGGCTTGTACAATTCGTTTTCGCAAAGCTTCCCCTTTCTTTACTTATCTTTGATATTTATGACCCACCCAAGTTGGGTGGTGTGCTGCTTTGCTGCTTCGAATTGTAGTTAGACCGCTTTGTCAAATATCGTACTGGTCTCGTCATCGTCCAGTAAAAATCGACATTCTTTGTTCCGTTGGGACTGTAGCTTTTGCTTGTTTTCGTTGCGCTTGCCTTCCCCTCTTTGGTCTTTCCAAAACCTTGAACCTTCCAAGTTGGAAGGCTGTCGGTTAGCGCTACGGAGATGTGTTGAAGCTAGGTGTCAGGACGTCGAATGTCTCAGTACTCTTGTCAGTTTTGTGCCTAGTTATTGCACTTTCTGACTGTATATAGTATCCAGTTACAGTGATGGAGAGTTACTCTTAAAGGGGAAGTTAAGGCGAAAATTAAAATTTCACCAGTTGTAGTCTTCGGGGTGCTGAGTCGAATGGTCTTGGTCCGAGAAAGCTGAGACGCTCCCTTCCTACTTGAATCCCAATCGAACTCGCGCACTTCCACCGAAACTGGGTGACTGCGCCCTACTAGATGGGGATTTGTATGCAAAATGTCACTAAAAACGCCATTTCGTTCTTATAAAAGCACGGATGACCGCGATTGGCCCATATGTTGTAGTCTTTTTGACGCTGAGTCGACTGGTTTTGGTCCGAAAAGGCTGCGATGCAGCGTTCCTCCTTTATTCCCAATCGAACATGGTTGAACAAGCGGTCACGTGCTCCTGCGTACACCAGTCACCTGGTCACCGTGCCTGCAGGGTACAACTTACTAGCCTGTTTGACCTTTTTTGGGTGCAGTCCTGTCACTCGAGTTGAACTCGAGTTGAACCTTGGTGTGAAAGTTGTCGCCTGCTGGCGTGGTGACCAGGTGATTTGGGCACCCAGGAGCACGTGACCACAACCATGTTCGATTGGGAATAAAGGAGGAACGCTGCATCGCAGCCTTTTCGGACCAAAACCAGTCGACTCAGCGTCCAAAAGACTACAACATATGGGCCAATCGCGGTCATCCGTGCTTTAATAAGAACGAAATGGCGCTTTTAGTGACATTTTGCATACAAATCCCCATCTAGTAGGGCGCAGTCACCCAGTTTCGGTGGAAGTGCGCGAGTTCGATTGGGATTCAAGTAGGAAGGGAGCGTCTCAGCTTTCTCGGACCAAGACCATTCGACTCAGCACCCCGAAGACTACAACTGGTGAAATTTTAATTTTTGCCTTAACTTCCCCTTTAACTCGTATCCTTATGTCCTTTTCCTTTCTACATTTATTCAATTAAACAATTTGAATTGTTTATTTTCTTGTGTTTGTGTCTTGTAGAACGCAGCACGCCTGGAGATGACGCTGAGCACCGGCCGCTGTACATGGACTTCCAGGCTACCACACCCCTGGTAAGACTGCCTTGCTCTCCACCGCGCCAGAACTGTATCACTATTCACTACTGTATAAGTACAAATTTTCGTTTGGAATTAACTTTCGCTATATTCGTTAGGGGGCACAAAATAACTAAAGTTTGTACCGAACTGAAGTTTTTTTTCTGAACGTTCGGGGTGACAGACCTCGACCAAAAACGAAATTTAGTACGTAACAAGCCTGCTGGTGGGGCGATCTAACGAAAGATTTCGTGAACGAAAATTTGTGCTTACCGTATTTTCTCTAATAAAAGCCCAGGTCTCCAATAATAGCCCAGTCTCCAATAATGACCCGGGGTGAGGGTGGTTTGAAATGATAAGAGCACAGTCTCTAATAGTAGCGCGGGTCACAATTGGAGTATGCAACAAGTATATTGACTGCATATAAAACAGCAGTACAACATGCCAAGAACATTATTTGTAAGGAGGTTTTCGGTCTACTGCTTCCTTCCTGGCGCCAATGATATTGTAAAACATATGTTTTGACAATATTCCTGAGTTTAGGGTTGAAAAATCAGTCTTGATATGGTCAGTTTATGCCTGTATAGACTGGAGTTGGCTTGATAGTTGACAATTGAAAAAATAAGAGCCCAGTCTCCAATAATAGCCCAGTCTCTAATAGTAGCACGGTGGAGCTGTCACTGAAAAAATAAGAACCCCGGGCTCTTATTAGAGAAAATACGGTATGCAGTATATGGTACTGTCGGGCGCCGAAGAACGAACAGACTAGAATTTTACCAAGCACAGCATGCCAATGTATACGCGGTGACTCAACTGTGCATAGACGGTAGTACATGCGAATAAGAACAGTCTAGGCTATGATGCCGACCCCCCCCCCCCCCCCCCCCCCCAGTTCTTTGGCGACCAACAGTACTGTACTGTCTCTGATGGTTTTCCAGTGGGCACTTGATAAAACAGTAGAGTTGAACATGTGTTTAGCCATCGCCGTAAGAAGTAAAATTCTACCCGTTGTATCACAGCATGAGACGTGTTATCTTGGACCAAAAAGCAATCTTCACAGTTCAGCACTTTTCACAGCATGATTTCTACACTATCGTCCTCAACACTGCTCAGGAGATCCAGGTTGGAGCTGGATGATACAACCACACAGTACTGATTTTTTCGAAATATCGAGTACTGTAGAACACCGATTATCCGGACGTCAACTATCCGGATGATCGATTATCCGGATAGCCGACGTGGATCGCCTGGTCAGGCTGGACAAAGAACATCAGCAGGTCTTTCGATCTGCAGAAGACGACGTGTGCGAGCCAGTGCATGGGCGCTGGACGACATGTGCAGCAAAAACAATTTTTGTATCTATATTCATGTGTCCATAATGTATGGTGATTTGGTTTACCGTAGCATACGTTTCACATGTACATCACCAGCACATTTGGCATGTTTCACGGTATTGTTATTGAGATACACTCTCAGACAGAACGATAATGAGAAGCATTGCAAAGAATGATGAAAAATGACGTGAATATGCATGTTTCAGATGCGAATCTACAAGTCATGTTGTCTTTTCCGAACATATTCCTTATCCGAACCCCCTGCACAACCCCTCCACCCCAAGTGGTGCGGATAATCGGCATGCTATTGTATCGAGAGAAAAAATGCTGTTGTCGGTATTCTGGAGTATTCATTGCATCATGAGTGTCAAGACTCCGCCTGTAATTGGCCGTACGCCCTGTGATGTGCCATGTCACACGGCATGTGACCAAGAAATAGCCTCTCCATAATTCCGTAATGTAAGCATACATACACATGTGTAGATGTTACGCAATAAGTGATGTACAGTCAACTTCGCTAATAACGACTGCGGATATAACGACAATTCGCGAATAACGACAGAATCTTCATGCCCAGAGCAAAGTCTCATCCAACTGTAACACATAATGAGACTTCCGAGTATAACAACACTTCGCGAATAAGGACACTTTTCTGATGCCCCGCCGAGTGTCGTTATAAGCGAAGTTGACTGTACGTAACGGTCCAGGTGAAGCAGGACATCATGGCAAGACCGGTTCATAAGTATGGCTGGTGCTTCCTTGGAAGTCTCAATGGGCACTGCTGAAACACAGCTGTTTCAGCCTTATATTTACTCTACATGTGTGTGCGTGTGTGTGTGTGTGTGTGTGTGTGTGTGTGTGTGTGTGTGTGTGTGTGAATTTGTGAATTTGTGATGTGTGACTTCACTCTTGTTGTCACAGGATCCACGTGTCCTGGATGCCATGCTTCCGTACAGTGTTTGCTACTACGGAAATCCTCACTCACGTACGCATGCCTTTGGCTGGGAGGCCGAGAAGGGCGTGGAGAAAGCAAGACAGCAAATCGCTGAGTTGATTGGCGCCGACTCAAAGGAGATTGTCATCACCAGCGGGGCTACGGAGTCAAACAATCTTGCCATCAAGGTAGGTGTGCGTGTGTGTGTGTGTGTGTGTGTGTTTGTGTTAACCATGGTGAATGGTGGATGCGGACCTTACTGCTCGCTTGGCACAGGTGTCCCGGCTGTTCGACATTCTCAGGTCTCCCATATTTCTGTGCGCACGTCTCTCGGTCCACACCAAGCGGCTGGTGTATCGTGCTATCGTCCCTTCTGCTCTCCTCTACGGTATTGAGACATGGCCCATCAAGGCGGGTCGTATTCCCCGGCTCAACATCTTTTTACCGTCAGTGTATTTGCACAATCCAGACAGATATGCAGTGAGAACGTGGTGGGAGGGATCAAGGTCTGACCTCAGAGTTCATGCTCATGGTGTGGAATAGCAGCAGTGCGAAATCGGGCAGCCCGCGCCTTGTTGGACAACACATTCCAGAGCCTACATTAAGGTCCTAGCAATGCGAGACCACCCCTACCCAGCTCTGTGTGGGTTGGTGGTGGCCGTAGGCCTATAGTGCACTGGAGCTGAGTAGGAGCGATAGTGGTTGGCAGCAGCAGCACTTTCAGTGTAGGGCTAGCATGGGAGTAGCGGCAGCACCAACCCAGGAAGATTCCAGCTTCTGGGTGAACATCTCCCGGACACGGTAGGTACCAAGCTTCACTTGCAGATTGCTGGCAAGGGTGCACGGCGAGCACCCGTACAGCCCTCGAGCTGCCCGAGCCGCATTACTTGGAGACGGTCCAGGTGCTTATCCGCCTACGATGCTGATAAGACACTGGAGCCATACTGGAACTTATGATCGAGCATGGCCACAGGCTTGAAATATTGGGTCCGGCTTTGCATACTGAGACAGCGATGTCTCCTCCACAGAACATCACTCAGCATCATTTTTCTCGTTTTCACAATTTTTTAAATTGAGTTCGAGCACACAGCACTCGATGCAACATTTAGAATGCTGTCAGTTCCGCCTGATTCTGTGGGTCGGCCATCTTACTGAGTGCAGCTGTCTTCTTCTGATCCGGGTGCAGTCCTGCGTCGGAGACATGATGGCCCAGGAAATCCAAAGCTGTCACACCGAACACAGACTTGCCATCATGGACAGTGACATGATAAGCCTTCAGTGCTGCCTTGGCTGCTGCTAGGCGCTCATCGTGCTCTTGCTGAGTGCCGCCAAAAACTAGGATGTCGTCCAGATAGATGACGATCCCTTGACAACCGGCGAGAATCTGTTCCATCTTTCTCTAAAGGCTGTTACACCAGTGGCTAAATAACTCCACGTCTCCAGCCACAACTAACTGTAGGGTTTCCGTGAGCCTGTTGAGATTGTCTTCATCCCGTCACGTGCGAGCATAGGTCCTCTTTCATGTGTATCGTGCCACAATGGCTCAGGGACGATTCTCAACTCGGGCCGGTTCCGCTGCTCGAAGATTTGGTGGTAAGAATTGCTACGCCATCTGTGGCCACATGGGAACTGGGTAAGTCGTCGTCCTTCTCCGTAAATCCTGACCATCACGCCAACCACAACCACTGTAACCTAAAAAAACTATGACACCACGGTCTCAAACTCGCCCCAGCAGAAAGACACAAACGACAACTCGCAAAGATGGAGAAAGAGAGAAGGGGGGGGGGGGGGGGGGGGTAGCGAGAGACCAGTGCAGGTACGCTGTCGTCTCCTGAGGCGGTGGGCCAAGAAGTGAAGTGAAACAAAGGAAGATAGCACGCATCGCATACAAAAGCACCAAAACCATTGGTCCGTAAGGGTTGGTTCACATATCGCCGGTACGCGCCGGGAGTCAACGGGAGCAAGCCTCTTGCAACCTCTCCCGGCGCATTAGGATTATGTGAACCCGTGCAGTCGTAACAAAATCATACGGTAAAATATCGCAAGGGACCGCCGGCAAAGCTGGACAGTGCCCAACTCTTGCGATTTGCCCCGGCACCGATCCCGTACGATTTGACCAAAAGTGGTTTGTGAACCGTTTGCGCCGGTGATCGCCGGCTGCCGGAAGCCAGACTTTGTCAAAATTTCAAACCAAGGCTCGTCCTAAAGTTTCCTAAATTGAAGCTAGAGACGAGGTTTGTTCGCCATTCTTGTAATCGCTTCAAGGTGGCAAATAAGTCAGCATACCAACCCGTCATTTTCGGATGATCTGCTTGACTGTTGTGCAACTTATGAGACAAATACAATTGAAACAAATAAAAAAAACGATGGATACATTGGCAAGTTCTTGTGACTTCATCAATGTTTGCATGCATAATTTCAACACCATTGCTTACTAGACTGCAATAAAATGTGTAGAAGTGGTTTCCTGATCTCCAGTAAAAGGTAGCAACCAGTGGCCATCACCGAAAGACCTTGAACTACTGAAGAAACAAAGAATTCAAGCTTCAATTGGCAAACCTGTCGTAGCATTTGGACACATTCTGTACTACTTTGTAGTAGATTTGGTACTCGAACCGTATGCCCAACGGTTCGGGAGCTGGCTCACCGCCGATGTCTTGCGGTGCCGATTTTGCTTATGTGAACCAACCCTAACATACTTGGCAGCTAGCTGTCAGCTGTCGGTGCTGGTAGCTTCAAAAATATTCGAAAATCTGCTCACAATAGTCTAGATCAACGCTCTGCGCACTCTCAAGGGCAGTGCACAGTAAAAACTCGGCAACGAAGGATGTCTTTGCACCAACGCTTTAGCCTGAATTCAGCACGCACATCCAACAAACGAAATAGTGTTCCTCTAAGTACTCTCTACGTGCTGGCTATAGTCGCATTTACTTGGATGCTCAGTGCATCACCACTTTCGATTTTTCGATTTGGCCGATGGACAATAAGTGGGATCAGTCCAAGTCCACCCAGAGTTTGGGGATTTGAGAGGTGTCAGCCGTTGGGCGGTTCAATAGCCAACTGAGTCATCTGTCCAAGACTCCTTTTGAATCTCTCTCCCCTCTCCTGGGGAGACCCACGTGACCAGTTTTGGTAGTGAGCAAGTACAAGTGTGTGTGTGTGCCCCCGTGTGTGTGTGTGTGTGTCTGTGTGTCTGTGTGTCTGTGTGTGTGTGTGTCAGTGTGTGTCAGTGTGATGTATCCTATTTAGCCCTTGTGTAGGTCATGATTTCCCAACTTACGTTCTGCATTGAATAACAGTAACTGTTACACGCCAAACTATTGATTCATATTGAACGCAGCTGTTCTCTAAAGACATGTAGAAGAGCAGACACACATCAACGGGAGAACTCATGAAATGGACTCGATCAGCGACTCTACTTACTTTTATTGTTAAGTAACAATGTTGTGATAGTGTGGTATTGGCAACACTCCATAGGTTTGTTGAATTTAACTCTAGCGTCATTTTCCTACTTGTAGCTTTCAAAAAATTCTTCTATGGGTGTAGTCTTCATCAGTGCATGTTCGACAGCTGCTATGTTCTTGTAAAAAGCAACAGGGATGTAACATTCTATTTTGGTTATTGTTTTTTTTACCCCAGGGTGTAGCTCATTTCTACGGTATGAAGAAGAAACATGTCATCACTTGCCAGACAGTAAGTAGTAGTTTCTCCACGTGTGCGTGCTCTACTAGCAATAGCTGCCCTGGTCCCTACTGTGTGCATACACTACTGTAGTACTAGCTGCCCTGCCCCTGGCCCCCACTGTGTGCTGCCTGCTGCAGCGGCTGTGGCAGTGTCTGGTTGGTGTGTTGCAATAGTTCTCACTTCATCGTCTTAGACTAAGCCCCGTTTCTATGTGGGAGGTGCACAATCGCATCAGAATCCGTTCACCCTGTAAATAAGCAGTCATGCACCATCATAATATCTCCACTCATGAGCTCTGAAGGAGTGAAACAGCTGTCTGGAGGGTCCGCAATAACCCAATCTCCTCTGTGCACGTGTCTGTCTTACATTCTGTCTGTCTGTACTCCAATGACTGTGTATCTCCAGGAGCACAAGTGTGTGCTGGATTCGTGCCGCTTTCTTGAGGCGGAAGGTTTCAAGATCACCTACCTGCCTGTGCAGACAAATGGACTCATTGATCTAAAGGTACTCACTTCGAAGTAGTTGTATTTGCGTTTGCACTGTATATAGCGTGGCTGTACTGTTGTCCACGTATGGTTTACTGTTGGCGGAACGTACTCTTTTCGCCTTGGCAGGCAGTCCAGTCCTATTTAGCTCGTAGCTACACTGATGAGGCCTCTTCATTAGGCCTCCGCGGAATATGCCGGCATAATTTCGGGAATTATCGGTGTGATTTTTAAAACGGGAATTATTGGCAATTTTTGTGGAATAATCTGTAAAATTTGAGCAATGCCCGCCTTTTTTCAATTTTTTCCATTTTAACACCCTGATTTGTACCAAAAAGCTTGTGATCCTGAATGAGTTGATCGCCCGGTATTTCAAAAGAGAAAGAAAAAAAAGTTTCCAGCCGAGTTTCACGCGAACCGTGATTTTTTTGCTCGTACAAGTGGCAAAAAAACCCGTTAAGCGGTACTGTATCTGCAAAAAAGGGAAGAAAAAAAGCATTATTGTGAGAATTATTGGTGGAATTACGGGAATTATCGGACGTAATTTTGAGCAATGCTCAAAGGAATTATCGGTAAAAATACGAGCATATTCCGAGACAGTTAGCTGCCTGCAGCATTGAGTTGGTGGGCGTGTGTTGCTCATGCCATTTAGCATGTACGCTGGACCCACTTAGCTGGGAGCATGTACAGTTTTTGCCCCGCATCAGCAACGGTGTTGGTATATTCGGTACTGTGTCACTTGGCACGTTGGGTTATACGTGCATCTACAAGTGCTCTGTATGAACGGAATAACCCATGCTGTAAAACCATGATGTATAGATATTGCAGTAAAATATGTACAGAACCCCTTGTCCAGATGGCGCTGACAATGGCAAATCTGCAAATGCAGTGTATTATATTCCTTTCTCCCTGGGGTTGTCTCTGAAGATGACTTGTAACGCCTGTTCCTGTGTCTGCGCAGGCTTTGGAGGAGGCAATCACCGATGACACACTGCTGGTATCCATCATGAGTGTGAACAACGAGATCGGCGTCATGCAGCCGATCGACCAGATCGGAGACTTGTGCCGCTCGCGCAAGGTCTTTTTCCACACTGACGCGGCGCAGGCCGTGGGCAAGGTGCCGATGGACGTCAATCGCAGCAAGATTGACATGTTGTCCATCAGTGGGCACAAGGTCTACGGGCCGAAAGGCATCGGCGCTCTCTACGTACGCCGTCGGCCAAGAGTGCGTCTCGAGGCATTGATCAGCGGTGGAGGTCAGGAGCGTGGCATGCGCAGTGGAACACTGCCTGCTCCGCTTGTTGTTGGTCTGGGCGAGGCTTGCGATATTGCTAATCGTGACATGGCTGTAAGTGATGATGATGTGTGTGTTCGTCCAGCATACTTCATTCTGGAATTACCAGCGTAGGAGTGTAGTGTGTGTGTGTAGGCGTGTGTGTGTGTGTGTAGGCATGCGTGTGTTTGTGTGTAGGCATGTGTGTGTATGTGTGTGTATGTGTGTGTGTGTGTGCGTGCGTGTGTCTGTGTCTGTGTCTGTGTGCACTTTCATGTGAATGTACATGTGTGTCCGTATTGGACATGCCTGCTAGTCATAATTTGCCCTTATGGGTAAAATAGCGATGGGCGCCGCATATGCTGAGGATCCTGGGCAGTGCACTCCAGTATGGCGTTGCTTTCCCCATGGGGCCAATTTAGTGGGTGATCCTCTATTGTACTAGTCCCATCCTGCCCAAGCCACCATTACATCTCTTCCTCCAGATTCCCAATAGGGACTGGCCATAATACTCGTGCACTCAATTGTGAATATCTTGGGGAACACTGTATCACGTGGCCATGGGACATTTTCCCATTTTGCTTAGCACATCAAGCTCGACAAAAATGGAGCCCATTCCTATCTTTGTCCACTTTACTTTCTCTAAAGGTCCATGTTTGAGAAGTGCCGATTTCCATGTCCTGCTTGGGAGTCTGGCCCAAGGGATATGTGAATGTGGTAAATGAGGGTTGGGGCCCTTCTGGATTATCACTTTACCCTAACAGCTATGGCGCTGCATCTGACACTAGGCATACGGGGTTGTGGTGTTTTGGGCTCTGTGAACTGAGAATACTACTTCGAAGTATTCTCTTCTTTGCCCCGGTTATGATACATGCATTGATTTACTTTCCCATCCTGTATTGCTATCATTGCCTTAGTGAAATGATGGACCGTCTGGCGCCTACAATGGAAGCTGTGTGTGCGTGTGTGTGTGTGTGTTTTCCCTTGCCCTTTGCAGTACGACCGAAAGCACGTGGATAAAATGTCGCAGCTATTGATCGACGGCCTGGAATCACAGCTGACACACATCATCCGCAATGGTGACCCCGCCAGCACCTATCCTGGTTAGTGGCAGTCTACAGACCTTATTTTGTAGTCATGTAACCTACACATCCACCCATACATGGAAGATATGCTTGGGGAGCATCCACATTTTGCTTTAAAACTGATCTCATGCTCAGATGAAATGTGCAGGAAGTTCCACATGAACCTCTGGTGTACACTCCCCTCTTTGCAATCGACAGTGGACGTTCTCTCTAATTTTGTGAAGGAGTCGCTTGAGGTGCAAAGTACATGCCCAGATTTGGAAGGTGAAAATACACACCTCACTGTCGCTTGAACCCTACAGATTTCTGTACACAGCCCCAATGCCATGATGATATTATAGTCCAGTACCTCTGCGAGTCCATGGATGTTGCATACGCGTGCTGTAGTACATGTAATCTGGGGGCAGGGGTGGGGTATAGACTCCTGCATCATAATGTAGTACTTTGGAGAGGGGGGGGGGGGGGGGGGGTATTGACTCCTGCATCATGCTGTAGTACTTTGGGGGGGGGGGGGGGGGTATAGACTCTTGGTATCATACTTTAGCACTGGGGGAGGGGATTTAATAGATGCTCTAGTACTCCGGAGAGAGGGCGTATAAACCATAAAGAGCCCAATTAGTTGTTGGGGTTTCCTTATGTGCATTGCTATCATTTCTCACTCTTTTCTGTACTTGTCTTTGTCCACTTTCTCTCCTAGATAGGCAGGTGGTGCTAATTCATGCGGTGTTTTGTGTTGCGTGTGTGTTGCCCTCTTTTTGTGTTAGGCTGCGTCAACTATTCGTTTGCGTTTGTGGAGGGTGAAAGTCTCCTGATGGGCTTGAAGGACGTGGCCCTGTCGTCGGGTAGTGCCTGCACATCAGCCTCGTTGGAGCCATCCTACGTGCTGCGGGCCATCGGTGCCGAGGACGATCTTGCACACTCGTCGATTCGGTGAGTGGCGCTCAGCTTGGCTGCATGTTTCGTGTCCAAGTGCGAGTGTATACTACTTGAAGCAGGGTTCTTAGCATAACATAAACACAACATTTCGGGGGATTTCCCGGGTCATATCAAGGGTTTTCAGTTCACAGACGTCATACAGTCGCCAGACACCATATATCCGTAGCCGCACGCAGAAGTTCACTGGTTCAGAATGTCAATAATCGAAGCTGTGATCACCAACACTATAGTCTGTTTCAAAAAGATTTACAATCAGGTTTGGGTCTTAAAAAGTATGAAGATAAGGGAAATTTGGACAACAAAGTACATAGAATGGCTTGTTAGGACACGGCAAATTGTTCTGTGAAGGTTTCGGAACAATTGGACCAACCGTTAAGGAGTTAGAATTTCGGCCAGGTTTCCGGCCTTTTCCCATGGTTTACAATTTGCCCAGGAAGCCAGTATCGATTTTTTATCAAAACCCACGATTTATCCTTTCCTTTTTGGCCTTGTGGTTATGAATGCTGTCTGCTGACCATGAAGTTGTGAGTTCAAATCCCAACCTATCCTCAAGTCAAACTTTTTTTCATTGTTTTGGTGATCAAGCTGGTACAAGACAAAGAAGATGGCTGCACCAAACGACTTGTTGTTGGAGCTCGCGCTTCCTGCCGAACTGACTGACACTTGACTGGCTCACGCCATGTGAACACACCCACAACACTGCAATGGTGTGAGTGAATTATAATGGAAGTCATCGCGCTGTAGCTTTTTTAGATTTATTTTAGTATTTCAAGATCGCCAATTTATTTGAATTTAGCAGTCAACGCTGTCTTCTATCAGCGTTCACAAGCGTCTGCTTTTCTCAAAATGTCGTCGAAGTCACACGGATAGCTTTGCCAAGTCATGGCCTTGGGAATGAGTCCGTGTCGATGTCGTTTTCGTCACACGGTGAGTAAATTGCATCGTAGCTCAAAGAAACTATTTTGGTCACAAAACGAATTGGGACCCATGCCGCTCGTCAACATTTACAACACTTTCGTTTCGACATGTCCTCTCTGACTCCATTATCGATACGAGGAAGAACTCGTTTGTTGTAAACCAGACGTACATGACTGTATCAACGGGAGTGAGTTGTCATTTTTCCTGCTTTCGCGCGGAATATTTCTTCGAGTTCACAGTGAGTTTTTCCAGGCAGCGCTCGAGTGCTCATACGGTAAGACGCCAAACTCTGCGGGCGATCGCCAGGATTGCAAATCTTTTTGAAACGGACTGTAGTGCAGCCACCATCACAAATAATGCTGCGTTATGTAGTGGACATAAGAAGATCGCGTAATTCACGGAAAGAAATAATACATCAGTGCTAAAATAAGAAAAAGAAATAATAACACCCGAAAGCGCTAAAAGACGAAATGAGGAGAAATGTAAAATTATAAACTGCACAGCGTTAAATTGCACCTATAAAATCGTAATTTTAAATTTAAGGAAACCGAAGCAAGAAGCCAAGAAATCATAACAAACAAAACAAAATTGAAAAAGAGAGGACCATGGCATAGGTTTACAAGCTATCCGTTTTGTCCAACACTAACGATTATAAGCAGGATAATGGTGAGTCGAAATGTGCAACAATTGGCACAAAACTGACTGTTGTGATAGTGACATTTAACGACCTGATGCTTACCGTAGTAACGCACATATAGGGCGCATGTGCCTGTATGCGGATATAAGCATGTGCCTGTATGCGGATATAAGCGCACTCTCACTTATAAGCGCATGCTCTTATAGGCGAAGCACTACCAATATTCTCACTTTGACACAATCACAGATAAAAGCCTGTAAACAGCATACAGAAACTATGAAACTGACACTACAAGACCTAGTCAAACACAAAGACTCTGGAAAACGAACTCTGATCGCGCATGTGCGCTTAGGTGAAAAACATTTCATTTTTGAAAATTGGATTCGTAGCAAAAATTCACTTATAAGCGCATGTGCTTACATGTGCGTTATTACGGTAGCTGCATCACGTCTGCAATGCGCAAACCAACAGCCTTCCAACTTGGAAGGTTCTAAGTTATGAAATAATCTTTCTTTAAGGTTAATTTTAATCCTTGGCTCTCCATCCGAGTTAAAACGAAACAAACCAATAATTTGTTTAATGAAATGTGGAAGCGCCATGGTGAAGACAGAAGACACACTCAGGCAAGCTTTACTGCATTCTGCTTCTCCTGCAATACCTGTGCGAGGTCACCCAGCTCAGCCTCTTTCGACTTCGCTGTACAGCGCAGGCTGTTGGACTTAACAATCCAAGCCAAGTCGCTGGATGACTCAGCACGCTCTGGGAACTTGTCAGCAGAGGAAAACAGCTCTGTAACTTCTGCACGGAGTTGCTTCTGCTTCTTCTTCACATCGTCGATCTCCTGCAGTAAAGCCTTCCGCTTGTTGGCCTGACCCGCGGCTTGTGCCTTCCACTTCTCCTCTTCGAGATGGGCTCGGTATTGCTGGTGAGCTGCTGTAGCAGACCGTATCAAAGCTGGAGAGATGTCGACACTCCCCAAGCCGCCAACAGAAGAAACATGGTCACAGACCAACCGCTGGGAAACAACAGACCGTTCGGACATGTTGTCGTCTTCTACTTGGCGGTTCACGGAAAAGTTGTCTGAGTCATCAGGCTACAATGCCATCAGGCGAACTTTCGTAATCCCTTCCAGGGCAGCAGGCTTCATGAAGTGTTGCATGAGCGGCCGGATGAGGGAAAACAGATCATCCGCCATGAATGGTAGCAGAGGCCGGTCATCGTGGTAGAGCGTCAGGAATGGCGAAACCGGCTGGCAAACAGATGCGAAGATAGCTATCTTGACCGGCGTCAAAGGGTCTCCCGAAAACGTCTTGATAGTGTCATACGAAGTGACGGTGGGCTTCGTAACAGTCTTGGCCTCAGCAGCTGCAACATACAGCTTGACGTTGTTAAACAGGTACAGCGCTCTCTGTCTGCCACCGGGCCATTCTCCACCCAGCGGTGAGCACAGAATCTGAGAGGGAAGTTCTTCGATTTTGTCGCCGTCTCATAGAGTCATAGTCCTCTCTCTTCGCTGGGCTCTCGTGGAAGAGGTAGTACATAGCAGACAACAGCTTGTTCGGCTCCCAGCCAGACTTCAGCGCACCCGGCTGGAATGCACCTTGAACATTGTGGAGACCATAGCTCCCGATGTCAAGAGCTTGTCGGCCAACGGTTGACTTCAAGTGCTCTTGGAGCAGCCGAAGAGTCTTCCAGTTAACGTTCGGTCCATCCATTGAGACCTGAGACAGCTTGCGGAGCTCCAGCTTCCTGGATATGTCGAGCAACGACTCCAGAACAACCTCCGCACTTGCATGGCCCAGAAATGAGGAGTCGTAGTAGCACGAACAAACTTGACCGTCATCCCACGTCCGGACATGCACATGGAGCTGCTTGCTACTGGTTTTCTGGTTAAAACTTTCATCAAACATCAATACAAATGATGCCCTTTGGCGAATCCTAGTGTTCAGGGCATCTTTGAAGAAGGGAGCCAGGCCAATGTTCGTGAGGTAGGCGTATTTACGCTCAGACACACCAAACTGTTGCGCAATTACGCTATCGGGAAACATTCTCCTGAAGAGATCGCCGATCCCAGACGAAGAGTTGTTGCTGAAATTTTTTTGTCACAGATTTCAGCGTGCACAAAACTTCGGCAGTAGACGACTCAGCACGTCTAGAGAAAGCTGCAATGCTTGTAGTTGTGCCAACGCTGGCAGCTGGGGACGGTAACTCCATCGCTGGCACTCGTCGATGCAGCAGCAGGGCGAACGAATGCGTCTAGATTCGCTCTATTGCTACACAGCTCCACGGAACGAGAATGCTCTGCGCCTCTCGCATGTGATTTCAAGCTGCCTTCACCCATGCTTGACACGTCGAACGACGGACAACAAACTTTCCATCTCGCTAAGTTCTTATTCTCAGGTACGCGAGCTAGCCAGTCATTGTACGGGTCCAAAGACAACCAGCGATCGTTGAAAACACACATGCCCTTCGGCATGGCGAACAACAAGTACAACTCTATCAAACTTCATCGGCGCTCCGAAAAAAAACTGAACACGCTTTGTCCTTTTGAGGGCAAAGCAAACAAACGGAAAAGCAGTTGCAGTGGCGGATTTCATTTTCGCTACAGTTAGGAACCGCCATTGTCGCAACTGTAACCAAAACTGCAACAGTCGACAGTCGAGCATACGTCGAGTACTACAAGATCTACTCAAATGCTCAAATGCAAAATACTAGTACCGTAAGACCTACACGCGTGTCGCGAGCAGCCCTTGAGGCCCTCGACTCACATTACCAGGTGACCAGACCGGTGCACTCGTAGATCTACGCGTACCTACCTGTCCCTGGACAGTCGCTGAGTAGTAGATCTACGTAGATCTACCTGGTCACGGCACTGGAAAACAAATTTCAGGGGAATCAAGGGAAATGTTTTTATAAAATACAAAATTTGAGGGGGGTTCTGGGAGTTCCCGGGGGAAGATAAATTTCAGGGTTTTCAAGGGTTTTCAAGGGTGCTGCAAACCCTGTTAAAGTAATAGATGTAGTTGTGCACAATATGACATCTCGTGCTCTGACATGCTGTTGTATGTTGTGGGAACTTCATTGATGGTAAAAGTGGGCTCATCTGCTTCATCTAGATTCTGCTGGCTTGACTTTTGGCATGCGAGAGATGTCGCTTTTGTTGGACGAATGCAGCAAACAAAATCATACCCACAGCAGTATGCAGTCGGAGTTTTATTTGTTTAAAAGCAACTGACCCAAACTCCTGATCCGCGAGATTCAATGTTCTCCACTGAGTATCGACTGGCATTACCCTCATGCATGAACCAAAAAAGAAAAAGAAAAAAAACACAGCATATTTACACGTACAATTACCAGCAACAAAAGCACATAGACATGTAGTGGAAGTTGATAACAGTTCTCCCTGAATCAACTCAACCTTGTCGACTCAGTTGCCCCCCCCCCCCCTCCCCGCAAAAAAAGAACTTTGTGTTTTCGCGATGTTTTGTGACATACGGCCCAATAATATACGGCGACATTCATCAGAAGCTAACTTGTGTGACTTGATCTGATACCTGGACAGCCATTGAAGGAAAATCCGCATTATCCGTGTTGGTCCTGAAGAGGTTTGACTCTACACGTAGCATGCATTGTGTGACCATACATGCCACGCCATCAAAAGTTCAGAATTGTTCCGTTCTTTTCTTGCGAGAAGCTTGTTTACTGTCTAGTCTGTCTCTTCACCTGGCATGAACAGGCTGACTGCAAATAGCTACAATTGTGGAAATGTTCTTATCTGACCAGTTTCCTGTAATGTTGTCCTTCTTCATGTCTGGTATTTGTTGTTTCTGTCAGGTTTGGTATTGGTCGTTTCACCACTGAAGAGGAAGTCAAGTATACTGTCGATCTGACTGTGAAAAATGTACTCAAGCTGCGGGAAATGAGGTAGGGCTTCGGGAGCACCGTGTTGCGAACAAGAGTACCGTATTTTCCGGAGTATAGTGCGCACTTTAGATGTGCTATTTTAGGCCCTAAATCGCAGGTGCGCACTATACTCCGAATATGAAATGCATGTACTTCAATGAAGATTGAAGTGCGCACCCCCAATGAAGATTGAAGTGCGCACCCCCAATGAAGATTGGGGGTGCGCGTTATACAAAGGTGCGCACTATACTCCGAAAAATAAGGTACGTATTTTGTATAAGAGTCTCCGGTGGCGAAAACTCGCATCACGTGGTGCAAAGCCGCTACAATCTCAGTGCTGGAGCTGTCACCAAAAAATCTTTCCCTCGTGTTTGATTTGGCTCCTGATGACGATGGTGTACTTCGTGTACTTCCACGATGATTGGAAGTGGGTGAAAACTGGACTTAAAGGTGCCCTAAATAGTCTAGAAGAACAGTGTGACGTTGCGCCGCACTTGAGCTCCACTCGTATATTCGTTGTCAAAACGAAGTCAAGCCGGTGTGCTGTACTGGCTGGGCGAGCTGTTCCGATGTACGATGCACGTATTCCTTGTGAACTCGGACAGCAGAGCTGCGCTGATATGTGCGTTCTGTTTCTTTTCTCCTGTACAGTCCGCTGTGGGAGATGGTTCAGGAAGGTGTTGACTTGAAGACCATCCAGTGGTCGCAGCATTGAGCGGGCAGCAGTCGTCAGTGCATTGCTGTTGCCATGCAGCCTGTGGTAGCAGTGATGTCATAACATCCACAGTACTGCTGGCCGTACCACCATCAGCTCCAGCATTCTGATCGGAACTAGCCACCATCCAAATGTCTGGCGATTGATGGTTGCCGAATCCTGGACACAAGGCTTGATTATCATTAATTGCCTATGCTGGTCATGAGGCAGACTGTGGTATTGACTGCAACATACCATCGCAGGTTTGACTTTCACTGCTGCTCGTTCTGTGTGACTAATACACCTGCCGCCGTTAAGGCTATTATGTGCCTGCATTGTGCTGGACCCAGTGCTTAGCTGCAAGGCACTATCCATTCTGCAGTGTGTAGTAGTAGCAGCCAGGTCTCACTGCACAAATTGCTTACCATGAGCTCATGCACGGCAATCAAATGTTGACCCAACGCACACCCAAAATAGGCATGCGAGTGCAAAAAGCACCTCCAACTACTGGTAGTACTCCCGAGAATGGTTCTATTAATCTGTTCTGTGTGCCTGGCCCTGCCCGGTGCACATAAAGCGTTTCCCCACCTTTCTTGTGATAGTGTGTTGATGACAATCTTTCCGCCGTGCACTCGCATACCATGAAACACACTACTCCAACAAAACTTCATCACATGCAATTTATGCATTACCTCATTCACGACATATTATCATTATTATGCCACGCTAAAATACTTTTCGACGCTATCATTCTTTCCTTACGCATGTATCTTTCTTTGAGTGTCACTGTCTGAAGTTCTATGCATGGGAGAAGTGTACATGTATCTCCATCTCACAGCGGCATTTGTTGATGGTTTTGTATGTGTTTGAGTTCAGCTTCTGGGAAAATTCGGTATCATGCAGTTCTTCGCCCAAGTTATCCCTTTGTGGCACGTGAGTCACACGTTACGTGCGTGGAGTTATAGTGTGTTTGCAGCGCTGAAGGCAGGCAGAGTAAGTTTAATGCGGCAGGCGTTGTTGATTATAATTCTGGTGTGCTTTCCTCTGGCGGAGATGGGCTGTGTGTGCGTGTGAGGAGGAGGGCCAACGTAAATCACTAATCCATGCCCCCCCCCCTGAGCTGGGCCCAAGTACATGTAGGTGCATGACTACAAAGAGTCATCGACTATTTCGAAGTACTGCTACTGCAATGGTACACTGTAGGTCTACTTTAGTGTCTGACAGTCACCCCATGCTTTGTGAATCCTGTAGGCTGTAGTGACTTTCCTCCGTCATGCTGTTGCTTGCTCTTGCATGATTTCCAATGGGCAATGAGAAGTGCTACTAGTACTAGAAGGATGAAGTCCCAAACCATCCCCTCCTTTTCTTTTATATACCCGCGCCGCCTCATGGTTTATGCTCCCTGCATGCCGGCAGAAGGGTCCCGCCTGGCATGTCATGACTCAGCTGATCTGTGCACGTCAGGTGATCATTATTTTTGCCTATGATAGGCCTTTAGTATGGCCTAGTCTTGCACACTAGCCTTGCACTGCAGCCTTGCACTGTCAGCTGTTCTGACCCACGTGGCTTTGGCATGTTTCGGACAGGGAAGTGATTCATCAAAAATAGGGCTTGAAAGTGATGACGTCAAAAACGGCCTGGGAGTAGTAAATTGACATCAGATTTCTATTTTGGATCCACTAAGGTGTGACTTTGCTATTGCCTCAGTATGTGGGTGCATAGCAACCCACTCATGTCGTATGCAGGTGCAACTTTTACTTCGCCACCAGTTGTCACCCCGCCCCCACTAGCCAAATCAGTCAGTTTCACTGGCAACATCACCTTGCTGTGAGTGAGACCGCTTGAAATGTGCTTGGATCCATACAAAAACTGGATCCAGGTGGATCCAGTTTTCGAATTTTTCAAATTGTTGCTATGCCATTGCTATGGAGTGACGTAGCACTTTCAAGCCCTATTGTTACACTCATCCACGTCGCCGTGCGCATTCCTGGCATCACCAGGGAGAAAACTTAGAAAAGGTAAGTACACATATACATGTAGAGGAGACGGCTCGATACCGGAACGTTTTGACAGCCAAATTTGTATAGACCCAAAACGATCATCAACGTTGATTTTTCACTCGAAATATGTTTGTGGAAGGAAACTGGCATGTTGAAGTTTGCTCTGGGGCCAGAGTCAATCGAACTGAGCCACTCCTTTGTGTTGACCCATTGCCTCCAAGTTGCCCAATTTTTCGCTTCAAAAAAGTTCAAATCAGAGGTGGCTCCAAACCGGACACGTTTTAGAGTGCCCGTCAAATTCACTCTGGGTCTGAAATTAGGTAATTGCTATCGCTCCACGACGGCCAGTACAGAGTAACAATAAGCCTTGTGTGTGCTTCCATTAGTTTTGATTGGTATGCGGTGCTTTATTGTCGAGAGGCGAGCCGCTGTTTACCTGCGACAAGAAGTTGATTTTTCGAAAGTCGTAAAACTCAAGTCGCAGTGCGAAGCAACACGTCAAAAACTCACCTGCTTGATATGGCGCTTCTGGTCATCGCAGAGCCATGAAATTTTGGCTCGGAGTATAACACATCGTAGTCTCACTGTGACATATGTTTTCTAATCAAAATACCAAGAGAGAAAGTGAATATTGAGTCCGTTCCGGTTTGCAACCTATTTCCTATTTGAAACCGTCGCCTCTACCGGTAAGTACATGTACCGATGTACTTACAAAAGAGTACATAACTAACTTCATAAAGGACGTACGGACTTTTTGATATTTCCAAGACGGCAAGAGTACAGAACGACACGTTATAACTCAGCCCTTGTGCGAATACGGGGGAGTTCAGGAAGAATTCGGGTGATCGGTAACTGCAACTGAGGTGATTTCGAGGAGACCGAAGAAAGGGAAGCTGAAAGACTGAGGAGTTTTTGGCGAAGCGGTTCGTGCTGGTGCGCAAGAACGACGGAACGCAAATAAGACTTAGTACTTACTTGTGTACCATAACAATAACATACAAAGTCATGGAGGTAAAGAGTAAATAACACGTTAGTTTTAACGTAATACTTCGAAGTCCAAGGCAAGGACATTGCATTTGAAGATAGCGGAAGGAAAACTGACGATTGACAGAACCAGAAGCCCAGTTCTCTGAAGCCTTTCATCTTAGCTGCCCTACTACCCTGTAGCTGTACTACTACAAACTCAGTACTAGTAGTACTAGCTGTAGCAGTGGTGTACCAAGTGAATAATAATGGTAGGTCTACTTCTACCAGACCTGTTCTACTCCCAGCTAGCCTAATCCAGGCCGCTAGAGCTGTGTCAGGCGGGCCGGGACGCGCTGAAACAGACCCGAGAGGAAGCCATCTGCATCAGAACCAATGCGGGCAATGCGCAATGGGAACAATGCGCGCGCTGTGTAGGAAAACATTCCCCGTTTCCTCACGTGCACGGGAAAGCAGGATCTGTTTTCCAGCGGCCACATGAATCATGATACACATGCGCCACTTTTCAGTACAGTACTCAGTAGCACCTTTTTTGTTGCGAGCTACAGCTTGTTTGTTGAAGTAGTTTATTAGCCTAGCTATCAAGGGGAAGACTGAAGTGATACTATTTTCAATGCTAATCACTAAAATCAGGTCGTCCCGAGGTCGCAGCTGTAAATTATTACTGTGCGAAATACCTGCTCAGCTGCTAATGTTATCACTACATGTATGATGTAGTCAGTAACCGTGCTGATCCTGACAGAAAACAAACACTGGTGTGTGAGGTACATGTACTGAGGTAGATCTACTACAATTATTGTGGGTGTTACTAGTGCTAGCCCTTTGCCTTTGCCTTTGGCTAGTTGTGGAGTTGCACACCAGAACTCCGCATAATAATACCGATACCAAGACAAGAGCGTGTGACTCTGATTCTGAAACACTGAATGTGGGTCCTACCGGTAACCCACCCGGACCCAGCGCGGTCATCAACTCATCATGCTTTTGGTTTTATGTCCATGTCCACAATTACACAAGTGCACAATCAGTCATACGTCAGTCATCAGGTCATGCATGCAGCATCCGACGTGAATATTATGCATGGTCCGTTCGACAGGCTGCATGCATGCGTAGATCTATGACTATGTGCCAGATGTACCGAGCCGACGAAGTCACGAGGTCACGAGATTTCACCTGCCTGTGAAGTGTGAACATGGTGAACGGGTGAATCTCTCGCTTGCACATGAGTGATGTCGGTCAATGCTTTGCTTTCACTGTTTCAGTGCTTCACTCGTTCCTAATAATATTATTATTTTTGGGTTTGACCATTCAGTCCTGGCGTTTTCTCTCTAGTATCTATAATTATAGTCTAGCTTATTGGTTTAGTTGACATTTGCCGTCGCGTCGACGATTAGCGTTTAGTCTTGTCCGTTTTGTTGAGCTGAGGGGAACGGTTCAACCCTTACCCTCTACCGCATATTCACCATCCGAATTCAGCCGGAGTTCGCTCTCACAACCGGCCTAGCCGGTGACTACACTTTTACTGCAGTCGCCCGTCGACACTGCATGCATCATCTGGAGGTGGGTGGCTGCGATTTATCGTTAGATTTCGTCACATAATTGTATGTAGGTCAGTCCTGGTCCAGTCAAGGAGTTGCTATCCTAGCGGTCGGAGGCGAGAACTCTGGAGGAAGGAGCGTCGCTCTTGGAACAAGTGCTGCGCTTGGTAAGCTGATTCTGGGCTTGTGGAAAGTTGTAAAATGTACACATAATTTTGACAATACAGTGCTCCGTGTACAATAGTTATTGCGGGATGCGCCCACACTGAGTGATATACTGTAACAGTCTCTGCATTTTCCTAGACTTGAGACTCTGTAAACAAAACAGCGTGGTGTAGCGCAGCAGTTTTCCGTAGTTATCAAGTGGTTCAATTGAGATCACAGCGGAAGCTGCGTACACACAATCACAAAAAGCAGCTTGATTGTACAAAGTCATGCTACATGCTGTGCATACTTTCAGGGCTACAGCCTACACTACACTACAGACATTGGCAGCAGCCATGGCATGGACTCACTCATTAGTACAACATGTAGTCGTGGTAGTGGTGGGGCATGATGCGTCTGAAGTTATGAAGCGGCAAGAGCCAGAGAGTATTCCCCCCCCCCCCCCCCCCCAACCGCCAGGAAAGAATGCCCATGGGTGTTTGTGTGCATGTGCGCATGCCTGTGTGCTTTGCCCCGGCTGGTTGTGTAATGTCGCGAATGTGGTGCATTTCTCAGTCTGAAACAATAGCATTCCGCAGTGCACGCACATGGAGCAAATGATGTAGAGAACAAGAATGCTATAGAGCACGTACACGCAGTTTACTGTTTATACTGAAAAAGAAATTGTATGACTCAATTGCTATGTCCGCTTTTGCTATCTTCTTCGACATGCAGGCTGTGGTGCAGTGAACAGAATGAGCCAGCAGTGGCGCACTTTGCCTGCACCACTCGTGTTGTCCATTGCTAGCGGAGTGCTGCTACTGCTGCTATGCCGCCATGCCAGCGGACTGCCAACCGGCGCCCCAACGGAAGCATGCGATAACATGACGCCGAATCACCGTACGCACTCGCAGGGTGGCGACGGCGGGTATCAGATTTATCACAACATCGGCACAGCGTACAGAGCCGGCAACAAGTATAATAGTACGTTCAGGTTCTTTACTTTCATGTTCTTAATGCTACGAGTTAGTGGAAGTGACCTCGGCATCATTACTAAGGAAGTTGGCGGTTCACAACGTTTTGGCTAGCACTTTCCCACTGGTACATACTTCTGCAGCTTGTGCATACTGGGTTACAGTGTCTGGTAATTACTTTGTACTGTTTGTGCAGGTCACGGCCCTGTCAATAAGGTACTGTTCTTCTATCAGAGTAGAAAATGAACACCTTTGGAGCGTGTTCCATTATGCTGGCCTGAATTGTTTCCCCCCGCGTGTGTTGCAGTCTCGATCAATGGAACTGAAAACCCTGAGTTCCGAGGGTTCTTCTGTCAGGTGCGTACGGAGGATGGCGACAATGCTGCGTCAGCGGTGGGGACCTTCGTCAACGGAAGCTTTGCACCCAACGACGGTGGAACGAGACTTAGCTCCTGTGCCCCGGCCAGCATAGGTGAGGCAGTTGCTTGCTTTTATGCCATCTGGGACCGAAATAAAAAAATGAGCTTCTGTCAGATAAAACCTTTCGGCAGGCAACGGAAATATTGTGCTGTGTTTGTTACAGTATCTTGGTAACTTGGTGAAGTTAAGCACATCCTTATTACTAATACCACACAGGGAACTGAGCTATCCATTTATTAGGCGTCTGGAAATGGTGTCCGAGTTTCGGGTTGAAATTACTTCGGCAGCACTGGGCATAACACTTTGTCACATGTTGCCTCTGTCGGAATAGCTAGGGGTCCAAAGCGCTCAGCTCATTTTTGATATGTTCTAACACTGGCACCTAAGACTGTTGGTTTGATGCTGGGCCGTCCTTGAAGATCAGCTGAGTATCCAATGTGTGTAGTCTTATTTTCATTCTATTTATTTTGAATGACACATTCCCTGCATTGACTAACAAAAAAGACAAAAAGAATCGAAAAGATAGATCATGACAAAACAGCTAGCTGTAGGGGCTGCCACGGCACATTCAGTCTCTGCCTTATTTCTGTACTTGCACACCTGCCTCTGTGTGTGTGTGTGTGTGTGTGTGTGTGTGTGTGTGTGTGTGCGTGTGTGTGTGTGCATGTGCATGTGTGTGTATGCACATGTGTAAAATACAGGCGTCACACACACAAACAATCTGGATAAGGAGTACCGCTCGTTCATCTGGCAAGCGCCCGCCGTGGGTACTGGCCCGGTGCAGATCTGGTGCTCATTTGTGAAGGTCAAGCTATTGTTCTGGGTGCACGTAAAGTCGGATGTGATCCAGGAGAATACCACTGGTATTACAACACAACCACCCGTGGTCGTAACAACTCATCCAACCTCCGGCGGAGTAAGTACTCGTAAAGAACACTGCTGTGGAAGTACAAATTTTGGTAGGAAACACTTTTGCTAAAAGTTGAATTCCTGCCTTTCGTCAGGGCCTCCAAGGTTCCATTTTCCCAGAAACGAAATGGTGTCGTTCAGGGTGGGTGGGGAGGGTCTGGTTTTTCGTTTCTCGAATAATTACTTATACCTTCCGCGTGTGTGTGTGTGTGTGTGTGTGTGTGTGTGTGTGTGTGCGTGCGTGTGTGTGTGTGTGTGTCCCCTCCGTTTCCTCAGTTCAACCTATCTGCATGCGGAGCGTCCATTGGGTGCTATCGTTCGCCCGCCGGTTGCTCCGGTGTTGCCGACTGTGATGTCATCGTCACACAGCAGGTGGTGGGTAGCAGCGGCAGCGTGATATTTGAGCTGGCAGCCAGCGCCGACGGCTGGGTTGCACTTGGTCTGAATAGCATTGCCAAGATGGTAAGGACATATTGATGTGGATGGTGGATTCTCCTTTTCTCCTTTGTGATGGTACGAAAGGCCTAGTCGAAACTATAATGGCTTCTGTGCTTCGTGTGCTGATTTGTTCCCATCCAACCAAGAATCTATTCTCTTGAGTTCTACAAATGTTTCTAAGATGAAGCATTATTATGTAGGCGTTGAATGTCTTCATTGTACAGTGTAACTGAATAACGTCCCTGTTGATCCTATTCGAATGCAATGTGCCCTAGAAGGGACAGTCAGAGCTGTGTGGCTCCTTTTGGTAATCTTGTGAAAGGTAGTTGGATTGTGTGTGTTGAATTTGGGCTTGTTCTCCATTGCTTGTTTGTTTATGTTTTCAGCAAGGTGCCCAAGCTATGGGCTGTCAGCGAGCCAGTGACTCTGGAGCTGAGGTTAATGTCAAGAATACTCACAATGTTGCACAGAGAACTAACGAGCCAATCGAACCAGGGGATGTGGTGAGCAGCAGCTTCTATGCGTTGTGTATGTGTGTGTGTGTGTGTGTGTGTGTGTGTGTGTGTGTGTGTGTGTGTGTGTCGGTGTGTGCATGGATGCGTACATGCATTTGTTGGCTGGCTGGGGAGGAGCGGTCACAGCAGGTCCAGTGAATATTGATAACCGGCGTTAACCGGATCATGAGTAAGACAAATAGGCAGATGTCATTTTTCACAAGTCACTGACCATGTTGACACTGGAACGATCATTGGATGATGGTCTGCACTGGCTCATTGTGTCTTGCAACGTACACATATTCACCAGGGGCGGATCCAGGAGGGGTTCTGCGGAACCCCCTTAACCTTTTGAAAATGTACTACTAACCATATGAGTGTCCATGTACATGGGTCAGCTATTCAGTTTTGGCTACACTGGAACCCCCTGTAGAGATCGCTGGATCCGCCACTGTTCACATGCTTTGTGCATCTGCCACCCTGGTATAGTCAGGCATGGTGGTGGCCTGGCATGAGCGAAACTTCTCTAAGCTGGTTGTATTTCTCAACAAACCGGTGGTAACGCGGATGTGCAAACTTTACTTCACTGACGTTGTACACTGAATGTCGTTTTCTTCAGCAACACGGTCTCACACTGCTTTCCAGTGCGTACACGAATGGTGTGATCCAGTGTCGCTTCCAGCGCAAGTTTGCTGGCAGCTCGACTGGCGAGCGTACACTCGGCCATGATGTCAAACTCCATTATCTGATCGCCATCAACCAAATGAGTAGTGGCGTGGGTGAGTGTCTACAGGACATGTGTGTCTGTGTGTCTGTCTGTGTGTGTATGTGGGTGGGTGTGGGTGTGCATGTGAGCTTGCGCATATGTATATGCCTGTGTATATGTGTGCATGCACGTGTAAATGTGTATGTGTTCATATGTGAGCGATGTCATAATGTTATGCAGACCTGTGGTAAGACATAGAAGCATCACTACCTCCCTGACAGCCCCATCCTCCCACTGGTCATGCAAGTGCCAGATCAGTTCACACGTGTGTTGTTGTCCAGTTGCCCAAGAAATATTCACTTTTCAGAATGTTAAGATGGCCTAAGTTTAATTGAAGTTACCAAACATTACTGGCCAGCTCTTTGAACAAGAGGTCTCCAAAAATTCCTCATCCCTACGGTCAGGATTGATATAAGGCACCTGAATAATTATTTGTCGGACCTGTTGTTTGTCTGTCTTGCACGATGGATGCTCAGCTCCAAAGGATAAGCCGTTTCTACTGAAGCATAATCTCGACCCCATCAAGCTGGACTCGTTTGCGGTCACCGATCTCATGAACATTGGCGCCACAGTTCCGACAACGCAGCCTCCAGTGACCACTACTCCAGGGCCCACTACCACACCCGCCACCACAGTTCCAGCAGCGCCCACGCCCAGTGCATCGCCAGTAGTTAATGTAAGATGTGCAGAGAATCATTGTGTGTGTAGTGTATACGTTTGTGTGTATGTGTGTCTGTGTGACTGTGTGTCTGTGTGGATGTCCACAAGGCTAAGGAAGTTTGCAAGATTGTGCTTATTATTATTCAGTATTAATAAGCATTCTCGCATTGAGGTGTAGCAGCAGTATGCTGCATCAACAGCTTCGCTTATGCAGAATGGCTTGGGTGAGAGGAGAGGGGAGAGAAAGCAGCGCCTGAGTCAATCAACATTGTGCTTATGTGACATAATATTTTTATAGTCTGGTCCAGATATGCTAAGCAGGATGGTCTTGACCATGATTGAGAAACAGAGGGTACCAGGTTCAAGTCCAGCTTGGGAAGCGGAAGGATATTTTCCAGCCGTGCTGCCTCGGACCCACAGTTAATTGGGAACTCGTGACCTGGCTTGCACGAGAGAAGCATAGATGCATTGAAAGTGGATTTTCGGACTTCACACCGTGGCGTGTCTGACCTACTCACCTCCCACCGCCGTGATCCATGCTTTCAACAATACACTGAATCACAGCCTTTATGTATTCCCATGTGTTCAGATTGACCTGGCAAGATGCGGAGAATCGCTTGGCTGCTATCGGAGTCCGGACGGCTGTCGGAGCGTGGAGGAGTGTGACGCGATTGTAACGCAAGAGGTGAACACGGCTGATAAGACGGTCGTGTTCTCGCTGTCGGCCAAGTCTGATGGCTGGGTGGCGCTCGGTTTGAACTCTGAATCTCAGATGGTAGGTTGACCGAGAAGAGAAATGTCTGAGAAGAGTGGCTACTGCTGCTGCTGCTGCTGCTGCTAGTTGTACTGCTGCCAGCTTTCTGTAACATGGCGTTTTGCATGGTGACTGTAAGGAAGGCTGCCGTGTACTGCTTCTGCTCTCAGCTTTGCTTCATGTCTGGTCTTGTGTCTAATGCAGGCGGGCACACAGGCCATGGGCTGCCAGCGCGAGTCGGATAGCAGTTCACACGTCAACGTAAAGAACACCGCCAACGACCCTTCGCAGTACGCCAACTTGCCGGTCGATGCCAACAATCTGGTAAGCTGGTCCAATCTGTGCAGTAGTGCATGTCGAGTTTGAACATGTCCCGATCTGTGCAGTAGTACGATCATCATGTTGAGTTTGAACATGTAGAACTTACTTGAATAAGTGACATCTCGACCGTATCCGATCAAAGTTGACCAAGCAGATCGATTGAGCAGGAGTAAATGGGGAGACGATTAAATTTTCCCATCTTGCGCATTACCATCTACAATGTACATGTACTTCATTCGGAACTGCAGTGCTGTGTGAGATGTAGTGAAGTAACCTTCACAGGCCCAACTGTCTGTTGTATTATGCTTGTCTACCATTTTGTTGATTTCGAACCCAGGCTTGTATGTAGGATCATGCGCTCTGCAGAACACCATAGTCTCTACATGGTTGATGCTCACTTAGGCGAAGATCCAGGCTTTCCATACAGAGACCAATACAGTCGACTTCGCTAATCACGACTGCGGATATAACGACAATTCGCGAATAACGACAGAATTTCCATGCCCAGAGCAAAGTCCAAACTAACTGTAATACATATTTAAAAGCAGAACTTTTCGGTGGTGTAATATTTTCGGTATTCTCCAAAATCGGCGGTTCGGTGGAGGGAAATTTTCGGTAAAACCCGTTTTCCAGGTAAGTGTACTAGTACTACATGTATACAGTACCGGTAGTACCGAAATTTTTGGTGCGTTTTATTTTCGGTAAAAATTGTCGGCACCGAAGTTACCGAAAATAAAACACCACCGAAAATTTCCGCTTTTACAGTATAAGGACACTACGCGAATAACGACACTTTTCGGATGCCCCGCCGAGTGTCGTTATACGCAAAGTTGACTATAGACATATTCCTAGTCGAGCCCTGCACTGTTCACCAGGCAAGCATAACACATGCTTCTCCTGTGTGTTGCAGCAAACTGGCTTGCTGCTTCTGGCAGCATCCTACCAGGAAGGTCGTATCATGTGTCAGTTCCGGCGTGCTTTTTCCACATCTGACTCCAAAGAGAAAGAGCTGGGGAGTGACAAGCCGTACCATTACATCATTGCCATGAACACCGACTCGTCTGCTGCCGGTAAGTTGGTCAGTTTGTCTTGTGTGTTGCCAGTTGTGTGTGTGCTGGCGTGCATTTGCTTACACTTGGTTTCAAGATGATGCCACAGGTGAGGCTAGGTCAGCACACCATCTGGTTTCAGCACTGACATGGTCTGTAAGGCCCGGCTATTCTTTGGCACCACATGTGTGTTCATCCTTACAGATACTGATACATTTATCTACAATTCTAGTAGTACTTCTATACAATCTGAGCTTGTTGCATAGGACAATGGAAGATAGGAAATACGGTATGACGTTCGCAAAAGCAGCAAGCAGTACAGTATACTTCCGTGAACATTTTGTGTCAGTAGAATTTCTATCACGAGTTGTATGTTCCCCTCTGTGCATCCTGCATCCCGGCTCAGAGCCAGCACACGTACCACTATTGAACAAGCACAACCAAGATCCCGTTGTCCTGGATCCCTTCACTGTCACTGACCTGATGAATGTTGGCGCTGGCAAGATGGTAAGAACAGCACCCCATGCCTGCTCGGCTGTGCTCAAAGCTGAAGAGCTTCAGAACATTTGTTTACTGACGTATGAGTGCAATCGTGTAGTCTGAGTGCCCTGGCTTTTTATGCAGGGCTGCTTGAAAGGCTCGTGGAAGATATGGAGTGAACCTCTTCTATACAAGCGCTGTCTAAACGTGACTGAAACGATCACTACCACCCCGGCCTCAGACTATGCAATAACGTGTACAGATGATCGTGAGCCTTTTGAAAGTCTTATGCACAACTACGTGCTTGTCTCAAAAAGCAACCACCCAGGGTGCAGTTGGGTGCACTGCAGTTGAAGCTGGTCGTAATTGCCAGTACGGTAACTTAACCTTTCTTGAGAGGCTATACAGTAAAACCTGTCTTGAGAGGCTGTACAGTAAAACCTGTCTTGTGGGACCACGATGGTAAGATGCCACCTGCAGTTTGAGACCAGTCGTTTCAGCTCACTATCTGTCCATGTGGCTACAGTCACACATGCACATTTGAACCTGCATGGAAAGACCAGTGATCTGTATACTCCGTGAGCCGCGGCCATAGGTCGATTGCTACAGTCATACAGTTTCATTGTGCATGGCTTGGTGGCTGAGATGACCGGGCTGGAGACATGCCGTCGCTTATGTCAGTGCTTGTTAACGGCAGATTTGATGCACACCTTCTTTGTAGTTTGTGTTAGTTCTGGCTATGGTCATGACTGTGATCCCGGCTGGCCTTCCTGTGTGTTGCACTGTAGGTTGACCTGACTGGCTGCGGTACGAGCAAAGGCTGTGCGGTCTACCCGGGAGGTTGCGCCAACTACGGCTGCGAGTACGCGTACACGCAGGAAGTGCAGGGCGACATGCTCAGCATCCAGCTGTGGGGACGATCGCAGGGCTGGTTGGCCATCGGGTATAATGACCGCAGGCTAATGGTAAGTGGTGGCATAATGGAACGCAGAGCCGGTCTGTAGCAACTGGGCTATCTTACTGGTATGTAGTGGAGCCTTCCTGCAGTAATTGTTCTATCTTAACAGTCAGCCCTGTTAGGTTTTCCAGTTCTTTGGCTGGTAGATTGCTGTTGAAGGCTTAGTAGTGACTACTCGCCATGTCACAGGGAGTCCATGGACGAGTGCTAGTGCATTTGAAGTTGAACCGACATTACATCCTTAATTTGTGCAGTCAATCAGAGCCATGGCTGAAGTTCTGCTTTTGTGGGCGAAAAACAAACTGTTGCTGCTGCTATTACCGTGTGGTCCACATCACTGCCATCAGTGTCCTTGTTCATCGCTGCCATTGGCCATATCATTGTCATTGTCATTATCCTTGTTGTTGTTGTTGTTTCCCAGGACGGTGCTGATGTTGTAGCTTGCCAGCTTTCAGATGACGGTAATGTCTATGCTAAGAAGGGACACAATATCAAGATTGGGGATGCGCTCAATAACACACTGGACAACTCGTCTGATCCGGTAAGTGAATGACATATTGCTATGAGCATGTTTTGAAAGTTGTGCTTGCAGCTAGGGTGACGTTGAACACTCTTGGCAAAGCTCTGGGGTAGTCCTCTTGCCTTCTCGTTGCTGGTTGTTGCTGATGATCCTTCCTCTCCTATCGGTGTGCATGGCTATGTTTGTGCAAGTGAATTGGGTCTTTGATACGATGGTAATTCTTCTTTCTCTTCTGTGTGTTTGTGCATGTGCATGTGCACATGTGTGTGTGTTTGTGTGTGTGTGTTTGTGTGAGTGTGTGTTTGTGTGTTTGTGTGTGTGTGTGTGTGTGTGTGTGTGTGTGTGTGTGTGTGTGTGTGTGTGTGTGTGTGTGTGTGTGTGTGAGTGTGTGTGTGTGTGTGTGTGTGTGTGTGTGTGCTTGTGTGTGTACATGTGCATGTATGTGTCGTGTGTGTGTACATGTGTGTGTGTGTGTGTGTGTGTGTGTGTGTGTGTGTGCGTGTGTGTGTGTGTGTGTGTGTGTGTGTGTGTGTGTGTGTGTGTGTGTGTGTAGACTGTGGGTTTGACTAACATCACGGCAGTATCACAGAATGGTTACCTTTACTGCACGTAAGTGACTCAACGGGAGTATGGATTATGGATGGGTACTGTGTAGAGGTTATACAGGGGCTTATTGTTCCAACTATGACAACGGGACAAATGAAATAACCACTGCCATGGGTTATCACTTACGTACTTTGCTCGCACTGACTGTTACGTGTCCCCATCCCCTCTCCCGGTCTTCTTCTATCTCTCTCCTCTCTTTCCTCTGTCTGGCTGCTGTCTGGCTCTCGGTCTGTTTGTCTGTCTGATTGTCTCCAACATTGTCTCTCTTTGTCTGTCTTCGCCTTGTTACTTCCAGGTTGAGTCGTTCTCTGACTGGTTGGAACGGTATTGACATCACCAAGCCGCTCTACTTGATGTTTGCCAAGAACGCCAACGGTACAGCTCCTCCGGACACCGGCGTGCTTCACAAGCACACGGATACACCGGCGATACCCAACGACAAGTTCAGCACTGCCACGCCGTTCAGCATTGTGGTGAACGGAACCAGTCAGGAATTCACGGTACGTTGACGGAGGCCGCTTTGGCCTTATTCACCTCACAGCATGTCCAAGGAATAAAGGCCAGTGTGTTGGGAGTGCATACAATACAGTGTTGCTGTGGTTGAAGTTAGTTCTGCACACTGCATACCAGGTGTCTGATATGTCTACAGATAGCAAGAAGACATTTATTATAAAACAAATCTGAAGAGAAGGAAAACACAACTGAAGAGGCAAAACACATGAAGCACGGAAGTATCTCCCAAGCCAAGCAAGCATGCCGTTATGGTGCGAGGTCATACAACTGTGGTACAAATCTAGTACGGGAGTACATGAACTACAGGTCAAATATGGCATGGGGGAATCCATATACATCACGCCCCTTCGAGATAATGCTGAGAAAACAAATCCAGTATTATCTATCAAATCCAAACAAACAAAAAAATAAGTATGGCAAGCAACGGCCTATAGCACACGGCGGAACAGACATAGCATGCCACACAAGGATACAGAAAGATACGATATGAGAACAATCCTCAAGAACATGTATACGATGTGTCCAGAACAAATCAAGATGCATAAGACTGTCCACGGGTGGAGGAAATGTTCAAACGAGAGGGTGGTTGGTGTGCTCGTGTGCTGCGACGCAGAGGAGGAGGCGTAGCAGGAGCAACGACAACAGACGGCTGTGGTGAAACACATGGTGCTGGTGACGGCACGGGTGGAGAGAACGGACGAAGAAAACGGCGATTTCTCCAATAAACTCGACCACTAGCCAACTTGACGAAATAGTCACGGTGCTGCCCAATGGCCACAATCACGCCACGGGTTGTCCAACGCTTCGTCTTCGGATCCTGGACGTCCACAGGAGTGCCGATACGGAGAACGGGAAGAGAGCGGTGGGTGGGAGTACTGGCGGAAACAGGTGTCGAGGGTGGTGACTGTTCTTCACGCTCACTAGCGACGGTCGACCACGAGGAATCAAACTGCGTCCACTCAGCAATGACGAAAGACCGAAGTGGATGCCCGAGAAGATGCTCAGCTGGGCTCTTGCCAGACGGACCGGGCGTATTCCGCCACTCCAGTAGACCACGACGAAATGCATCTGTGTCGAGATTGCCATTTGACGAGGTCTTGAGCAGCAAGCGCTTCATGGCTTTCACTGCGGCTTCCGCATGTCCATTACTCTGGGGATAATGCGGGGAAGAGGATACGCGTTGCACTTGCCAACGGCTACAGAAGTCGGCAAACTTCTTCGATGCAAACTGGGGGCCACCGTCGGTGCACAGTACAGCAGGCACACCCAGATCGGCAAACCAACGACGACAAGCGAGAATGACATCGTGTGATGACGTGGTCCTGCCGGTTCGAACAACGCACGGCCAACCAGTCAGACGGTCGACATAAACAAGAAACTCATAGCCTTGGCAAGAGAACAGATCAGCGGACACAAACTCGAACGGTAGAGTAGGATGACGGTCATTCATCGGTGGTTCGGCTGACTGTGACGACTGGAATTCTCGACACGCGGAACAGGCACGGACAAGGGTGTCTATGTCGGCGGTGAGACCAGGCCAGTACACGAGCTGTCGGGCGCGAGCCTTGGTACGGACGAGACCTTGATGTGAGGCATGAAGATTAGCGAGAACACGTTGACGCATGGCCAAGGGAACGAGAATGCGTTGGCCTTTCATGACGATGCCCTGGTCCACTGACAGGTGTTCACGTCCATTCCAGAAGGGTTGTAGTGGAGCATCCAAATCACGCTGCCGAGCGGGAAAACCATGCAGAACGCACTGGACAAGAGACTGATAGACTGGATCAGCTGAGGCGGCTGCTCGAAGTTCAGCAAACTTCAGGTTGGGGTGAGGACCATCATCACGGAGCATGCACACACGGATGCTGCGGCAATGAAGAGCAGGGGCTTCGCCGAGTTCATCATCTGAAGACGGGATGCCGACGGGATTGCGAGACAGCGCATCAGCAAACGCGTGATCAGAGCCTTTTCGCCAGGAAGCGTGCACTTGAAACGACTGCAGCTTCAGGCGAAGACGGAGAAGGCGAGGATTCTCGATCTGATCTAGAGAATACGCGTTGATAATCGGGATCAACGGACGGTGATCAGTGATCAGATCAAATAGGGTGCCGGATAAGTACAACTTGCACTTGTGCACAGCCCAAACGACGGCGAGCATCTCAAGCTCAACAACAGCATAGCGAGATTCGGCGTCAGAGAGGTAGCGGGAGCCACACTGGATGATTCGCCACTTATCATCCTGCTTCTGCCACAGAACGAAGCCGAGACCACGTAGTGCAGAGGCATCAGTCTCCAGACGGAGGTCGTGTCCATGCTGGTAGAAGGCCAGGATAGGAGGAGACAGCAGAGTAGACTTGGTCTTCTCGAACGCAACAGTGTGGTTGGCATCCCAGACAAACTCACGGGTCGTCTTCAACAGACCACGAAGCGGAGTGGTGCAGGCGGCGAGGTGTGGTGAGAACTCGCTACACTGGTTCACCAGGCCAAGAAACGAACGCAAATCAGTGCGGTTCGCAGGAATGTCAAAATCGCGAATAGCCGCTGCCTTGTCATCGTCAACAACCCAGCCGTCTGGACTGACAATGTAGCCGCAGAAATGGATGTGACGTGACGCAAAGGTGAATTTGGACGGGCTCAGAGTAATGCCATGCTGTCGAGCACACAGCAGGATGTCACGAACATGGGTGACATGGGAGGCAAAGTCGTCATCATAGGCCAGGCAATCATCTACAACCTTGGCGAAATTCGGGATTGCATCGAACGCAGCATCAGTGCGGCAGTTGAAAACATCCCCGGCGGAAATCAGGCCTTGAGGGTTGCGTAGGAAACGATACCTGCCGTATGGGGTGATGAATGTGGTCATTGGACATGCCTGCTCACTCAGTGGGATTTGCCAGTATCCGTGCCTTGCATCAAGCTTGGTGAGGAACTGTGCCGATCCAATACCAGAAACCACATCGCGAGCGGTGCGAACAGGGTGGGCTGGTCTCAGGACTTGGTCATTCAATCGTTTGAAATCGACGGTGAGGCGTTTCTCAGTGGTACCTTTCTTGTCGACGAGCACAATCGGGTGACACCATTCACTAGGCTCACTGACAGGCTCGATTATGCCATCGACAACCATTGTGTCCAGTTGTGACTTGACCTGGTCACGAAACGCGTACGGAATCGGGCGTGTGGTATGGACACATGACGGCTTAGCATCTGGCTGAAGTTGGATGTCCATCGGAGGACCTGCCATCGCCTTCAAGCCAGTGTCGGAAAACACGTCCGAGAACTCCTGCAGTAGCTCATCGCGAACACGAGCGATATCAGCAGAGCTAGGATTGACAACAGGCTTTGATACAGCACGGACCTTAGGTGGCGCGGCAGCATTAGCAGCAGGGTACTGTGCAGGCCAATCTGACGGGAGGAGCTGGAGTGCACTCAAGGACGAACGTGATAGAAGAGCATCGTCCAGACCCTTGTACACGTGGATTACGGTGCTGTGTTGTACTTCGCCAACCTGAAGTGAAGCACGAATACTGCCGACGTTCTGCAACTGCTCTCCAGATGCCGCTAGGACGCACTCTGGGTCATGGTCGAGGTTCTCGGGGAACCCGCCAAGCAGTTCGAGATGATGCTCGCCAATGGCATCGACGTCACTGCCAGTATCAGGGACCCAGGGTAGCGTGACTGCCTCATCCTCAGTGGCTAAACGGGTGGACACACGCACTGTAGGCTGCGCAGCAAGACGAGTACGCTGCAACTTCAGTTGGCCCACATGCTTCACGTTCCGGTCCGATTGTGACGACGACCTACACATAGCGAGAAAGTGACCAGTCTTGCCACAGCCATTACATTTCTTGCCGCTGGCAGGGCAACTAGACTTTGTGTGCGGGCTCCGGCCGCAATTGGGGCACTTCTTGTGTGTGTCGCTTCCTGACGAGGGAGCGGATGCAGATGGCAATACAGGTGCAGACATCTTGCTGCCAGGCTGTCCCTGTCGGGATTGTTGCTTACTGCGTTGGTACGCGGACCGCCGCACAGCATTGAGCTGGCTGGTGGACGGGATACTGCTGCTCGTCGTGGTAGCCGCTTCCTCCGCCCGGCAAATTGTGACTGCATCGTTCAGGGTCAAGTCCTTGGCAGACAATAGCTTGTGCCGGGTAGCGTCGTCACCAATTCCAATGACAATCCTGTCACGCAGGGTGTCAGCACGCACACGTGTCAGGCTTGTGCGACAGGTACTACATGTGTGTGCTGAACATTGTGAGCACAAAACAACGTCCGGAAAATCACAGCTAGTGTGTAATTCTTTCAACGAAGTGTAAAAACAATCGAAAGACTCGCCTTTCGACTGACACCTGTCGTAAAATGCGATACGATCCAGGAGTGGGTTGCGCTGCCGTCGCAAATATTCCTTGACTGCAGAAATCACATCGTCCGCATCGGGATTCGGTGGAGTCACGATAATACCCTCGCGGAGAAATCTGCGTAGCTCCTCATCCAGAGCTTGCCGCAGCGAGGATACTCTGGTCTCACGGCTCTGGGCTGACAGGTGCTGGCACTCATAATAGTCTCGCCACATTTCCTGCCATGCCGTGAAGCCGGCTAATGTCGAGGACGACAGTAAAATCGGTCGCTCCGCAGAGACAGGCTTTGGAGCTGGTGATGTGGTGCTGGGTTGCACGGGTTGTTGTGTTGGTTGTGTCAGTCGTTGTATAGTTTGTTGGAACAGGTCAGCCATTTTACGTTCCCTCTCCTCTGAGGACTTCATTTGTGCCGCCAACATCGCGGTCAGGGCAACAATGTCAGGAGCAGGGTCTGAGTCGGACATCGTGGTCGTAACCTACGCAAATGCTGGTATCACGAACAAACTACAAAAAAAATCGGCCAGTGCGCAACACAACGAGGTGCAAACACAAAGCACGAGAAACTAAACACACAGGTGAGTTCTACAAGGAACGAACAGTTCACTGCGCCATGATATGTCTACAGATAGCAAGAAGACATTTATTATAAAACAAATCTGAAGAGAAGGAAAACACAACTGAAGAGGCAAAACACATGAAGCACGGAAGTATCTCCCAAGCCAAGCAAGCATGCCGTTATGGTGCGAGGTCATACAACTGTGGTACAAATCTAGTACGGGAGTACATGAACTACAGGTCAAATATGGCATGGGGGAATCCATATACATCAGTGTCGACTGTCCTGAACCTGATGTAACGTTATAACTTTGCTTACCATTACTGGGTGCCAAATTGTCTTTTCCTGGATGCACTTGAATGGTTTGTGGAAAGAGATGAGTTTGCCATAAGCACTATCTCATTTTTTTACCTGTGTCCTCACTTGATAAGTTGATATATACGTGTGAGTGTTAGTACTTGTGTAATTAATCACCTACGGCTCTATTTGACTGTGCACGTCTTCTTGCAGAAAATCGATCTGTCTGGCTGTGGCTCGGTGAAAGGCTGCCTGCGTCTGCCCAATGGCTGTGATCTAGATGACTGTCATACTATTTACACGCAGCAAGTGCGGGTTGAGGGCTATTTGGACATTGAACTGTACTCCGTGCAGCAAGGCTGGGTTGCAGTGGGCTTCAACGACGCAGCGGAAATGGTAGGCTACTGAAAATTTCCGTGCCCCCGACTACTGTACATCATTGTTGTGTGGAAACTTCACATGCACATCCACATGCATATGTACATGCACTTCAGACCAACATCTTAGTTAGAAAGGGCAATGCCTGATAGTGAACTATGTGGAAGCTGCAAATGCACATGAATATGCATTTCGAACTACCGGCTTAGTTGAACGAAGTCAATGTTAGTGAACTGTGCTGCAGATGTAGAAGACCCACTTTGGCACTGCACCGGTCACCAGCTTTCAAGGCTGAAAAAGAAATTGGCGCCAGTGTTAAATTCGGCCAGGTGTATGCTCACAGCCCGTGCATCTTTACTTGTGATTCTTTTGTATTCGTAGAGTGGTGCCGACGTCATAGGCTGCCAGAACTTCAATAACTTTGTGACGGCCAAGTCGCTCTACAACCAGGGTCATGCTAACATGCTGAAGGACCCAAGCAACGTCGCGGGAAACCTGTCTAACATGGAGACGACCTTCACCGGCCATCATATTGCCTGCCGTGTGCGTCGTGCAATCCGGCCGAGTAAGCCCCACTACCGCGACCTCAGCCAGCCGTACCATGTCATCGTTGCCTTTGCAGATGCCAGTGCAACAGGTGAGGTGCACGATTTGTGACTTCTTATTTTCTTTCAGATGTCCATCCATGTAGCTAGCAATCCATTCATCCATCTATCCATCTTTCCAGGCTTCCTTTCCATCCATCCATCCATCCATCCATCCATCCATCCATCCATCCTTCTACTTACTCACCCATCCATCCATCCATCCATCCATCTATCTATCCATCCATCCATCCTTCTATTTACTCACCCATCCATCCATCCATCCATCCCTCCATCCATCCATCCATCCATCCATCCATCCTTCTATTTACTCACCCATCCATCCACCCATCCATCCATCCATCCATCCTTCTATTTACCCATCCATCCATCCTTCCTTCTATTTACTCACCCATCCATCCATCCGTCCGTCCAGCCATTCATCCATCCATCCATTTTTCTATTTACTCACCCATCCATCCAACCATCCATCTATCCACTCATCCATCCATCTATCCATCCACCCATCCTTCTATTTACTCACCCATCCATCCATCCATCCATCCATCCTTCCTTCTATTTACTCACCCACCCATCCATCCGTCCGTCCGTCCGTCCATCCATTCATCCATCCATCCATTTTTCTATTTACTCACCCATCCATCCATCCAACCATCCATTCATCCACTCATCCATCCGTCTATCCGTCTATCCATCCATCAATCCTTCTATTTACTCACCCATCCATCCATCTATCTATCCATCCTTCCTTCTATTTACTCACTCATCCATCCATCCGTCCGTCCGTCCATCCATCCATCCATTTTTCTATTTACTCACCCACCCATCCATCCATCCATCCATCCTTCTATTTGCTCACCCATCCATCCATCCCTCCATCCATCCATCCCTCCACCCATCCTTCCATCCATCCATCCATCCACTGATCCATCCATCCATCCATCCTTCTATTTACTCACCAATCCATCCTTCTATTTACTCACCCATCCATCCATCCATCCATCCTTCCTTCTATTTACTCACTCATCCATCCATCCGTCCGTCCGTCCATCCATCCATCCATTTTTCTATTTACTCACCCATCCATCCATCCTTCTATTTGCTCACCCATCCCTCCATCCATCCCTCCATCCATCCATCCCTCCATCCATCCATCCATCCATCCACTGATCCATCCATCCATCCATCCTTCTATTTACTCACCCATCCATCCACCCATCCATCCATCCTTCCTTCTATTTACTCACCCATCCATCCGTCCGTCCATCCATCCATCCATCCATTTTCTATTTACTCACCCATCCATCCATCCATCCATCCATCCACTCATCCATCCATCCATCCATCCACTCATCCATCCATCCATCCACTCATCCATCCACTCATCCATCCACTCATCCATCCACCCATCCATCCACCCATCCATCCATCCACCCATCCATCCACTCATCCACCCCATCTCATCCCAGCGCTCTATTCGTTTGTCACAAGCTGGTTTATTGAGGCAGAGTCCTACCTCAGCATTGCTGGCATGGTTTTGTTCTTGCTGATAACGTCTCTTCTTCTAGCCGTAGAATTTGTTTCTACTTCTGCCTCTCATGTTGCAGTCATGTTAAAACAAGAGCCCACTGTTGTTTCTTACCTTTGCCACAGCTCCAGCTAGCAAAGCTCTAACTGTCAAGCATACCACTGTGCCAGTTGTGTCGAAAACAAAGATGGTGGCATCCGATCGGACCAACATCGGCTCCAAGTCCAACACGTGGCTACTGAAAATACACGGTACGTGCACGTTGATGTTACTAATGTGGGGTGCATGTATATTGCCAATCTCCCCTCCTGTTCCACCTAGCTGGACCAGCGGAAACTCCGGCGTAGTGTAACTTTGCTCATGAGCTTTCCATTTGTGGAATCCTCTCTCCTGATTGCCTTCACTCATAGTTGTGATACTCCAGATAGGTTTTGGCAGTGGGTCACAGTGTGTGGAGTGTGGAGATGATGCTATGCGACTGTGTCTGTGTGTACGCAGGTTCAGTGATGATCTTTGTGTGGATCGGCCTGAGTTCAATGGGCATTGTCTTGCCCATTACGTTCAAGACGCGGACGTTCAGAGACGCAACGACCTGGTTCAAGGTGAGTGGTCCCATTCAGGTACTGTATATAGGTTATGCGATAACGTCAAATTCACCATATATAGGAGCCGGTTGGGGTGGCAAAATGCCCAAAGCGGGTACAGAAACCCCTTATATAGAATAATTTGGGGTGGCAAACATACTATAAGACGTGTATCGCATAACCTCTATATGGTAGTACTGGTACACACACAAGCCTGTACCTGCTGACTGGTGAAAGTATACTTAGGTGAAACTTGGTTTCAATGACCAGCTATGGGGACCGGCGTATTGGTGCCTTCGCACCAGGGTGACCATTGTACATTCGACTTTTTTGCTACCATAGGAACTGTGGCCTTCCAGGCCAGGTGGCCTCTCGACCAAGTTTCACCTGTATACACATGACATCATCGTGTTGCTGTTCGGCTTTTTTGTTTCCTAGCGTATATAGCCTGTGTGGATAGTTCTGGCTCTACTGTACCCACACCGAGTCTGTATGCTCTTGCTCTGCATGATCTCATTGCCATGACTACAGCTTCACCGCGGCACCATGGTAACAGTATGGTGTTTGACCATGGTCGGCGTGGCTTTCCCACTGATCTACTCCACCAAAATGGTGAGTTTGAAGGCAGTTTGGCATCAGCAATAAAGTCTCGCTAAAGATATGATTGTGTTGTTTGTGTATGTTGAGGTAGGCAATTATTGCTGTGGGAAGCACCCTGCGTGCATTACACTGCGCCGCATACGGTTCATACAGTTGTTAGTCTCTACTATTGACGGAACTGGTGTCTTAGCTAATTCATTGTGTTGCTTGAAGAACTGTCAGCGTTATCCTGCCAGTACCTTCTGTTAACTCACTCAAACAGCGACAATGCCTGTGTGTGGCCGCAGCCAATGCCTGTGTACGTGAGTTCAAAAAAAATCATTTTTCATTGAGATCACAAAAAAACTTCACACTCGATCGCGCGAGCTCAGCACCAGCAGTGACGTTTGGGTGGAAATATTTTATTTGAAAAACTTTTGTCAGGCGCGATGTCGCTGATTGCTGGTTGTGTTTGGAACTTGTCTTACAACCATTTTTGTCACTTGCAGCACCTGCCGTATCCCTATATGTATTCACTGTGTGTCTGTGTGTGTGCTTTGGTTGTGTTGTGTAGGTAATCTCCACACACGTCATACTGGGCATAGTCACCGCCTCTCTGTGCTTCATACAGGTAATAGTCCACCTCTTATATTATGCATGTACTAGTTGCATGCATGTGTTGCATGCATGTGTTGCATGCATGTGTTGCATGCATGTGTTGCATGCATGTCCACATTCTTCTGCGGTGTGGTTCGTAATCCGGTCCTTGTTCTGTTTGCTGCCTGTCTTGTTCATTGCACAGCCATTCTTGGCGCTACTGCGACCTCACCCCGGAGAACCTCGGTATGTGTGTGTGTGTGTGTGTGTGTGTGTGTGTGTATGTGTTTGTGTGTGCATGTGTGTGCGCGTGTGTGCACGTAAGTGTGTGTGTGTGGCGTGTGCGTGCGCGCGTGAACGTGCTCTTGTCCGATAACGAGTGCATACTTGCGGTGCCTGGGCCTAGCCACACCCGTACATTAGCCTATGCCTATTTGTGCAATGATAATTATGGTAGAAACGTAGGCTGTTGCATAATGGTTCATAGACTTGTGTGCATGTTTGAGTGCTGGTGCATGCTTAAGGTGAAGGGATACTCGTAGCTGAATCTAATATTATTATGAGTGTACCAAACTTCGACTCGTTGCCTGTACATTTGCTCTATAGGTGGTTGCTTTGTTATCGTTGTCACACTTTTTCTATGCCGCCCATATGCTGATATTTGATGGTAGAATGTTTCATTGTGTTCGGCATTCTGTCCTGCGCCTGTGTGTTTATGGCTGTAGACGAACCGCTTGGAATGGTGTGCACGGCGTTGTGGGAATATCAGCGCAGACAGCCGCCTGTAAGTGTCGTCGATGGTGATCGACAATGCTTCCTGTCAGCCCCTGACATTGCCGTGTATCTGCATGCAAGTTGCATCCGTACATGCACGCATAGAGCGGTGTATGGAAGTGCATCCGTACATGCACGCATAGAGCGGTGTATGGAAGGCTGTGGGGTGTATGGAAGGCTGTGGGGTGTATGGAAGGCTGTGGGGTGTATGGAAGGCTGTGGGGTGTATGGAAGGCTGTGGGGTGTATGGAAGGCTGTGGGGTGTATGGAAGGCTGTGGGGTGTATGGAAGGCTGTGGGGTGTATGGAAGGCTGTGGGGTGTATGGAAGGCTGTGGGGTGTATGGAAGGCTGTGGGGTGTATGGAAGGCTGTGGGGTGTATGGAAGGCTGTGGGGTGTATGGAAGGCTGTGGGGTGTATGGAAGGCTGTGGGGTGTATGGAAGGCTGTGGGGTGTATGGAAGGCTGTGGGCCATGGGGGTTGGGGATAGGGGTGTACAGTTAACTTTGCGAATAACAACGGCTCGGATATAAGACAACTGGCGAACAACAACACTATCCTCAAACCTAGTAACACCATTTTCACTGGATACCGCTACCTCTACTGCTGCTGAATCACTAGGTAATGTGCGAGTAAGACCACTTTTCTCATGCCCGACCAGGGGTTGGTATTTGCAAGATGGACTATATGCGTGGATGTGCTCATGAGTGCAATTTGGTGCATGCCTCTGTTTGCCCTCTCCACTTTCTTACTTTACTCTCTCTCTTCTCTCTCTCTCTCTCTCTCTCTCTCTCTCTTTCCTCTCTCTCTCTCTCTCTCTTTCCTCTCTCTCTCTCTCTCTCTCTCTCTCTCTCTCTCTCTCTCTCTCTCTCTCTCTCTCTCTCTCTCTCTCTCTCTCTCTCTCTCTTTTTCCCCACTCTATTTCTCCACTTTCTTTCTCCACTCTCTTTCTCCACTCCATTACCGGCTGCACTCTCGTACTCCATTCTCTCTATTCATTCTCTTGCTCCACTCTCTTACTCTAGTCTCTTTCTCAACTTTCTAACTCTATCTCCCTGGCGCTCCTTCCATTCTATTCTGCCAAAGCTTCCCTTCACACTTTAACCACTGCCATCCGATCTGACTCTCTGGTTGTGGTGCTTGTGCTTCCAGTCTTTGCCATATATTTCGGGTACAACAAGGCATTCACACAATTCTTCTGCTACTCCCATATCGTCAACGATGTCCTGCTGGCAGCGATTGGAATCAATGCTGCCTTCATCGTCCTGGCGTTTGCCACGCGTATTTTGACGGAATGGATCACTGACGACGCTGAAGGTGGTGAGAACTTCTGTAGTTCTGTCTTGTAATTTCCAATCAACGGCAATCATCCGATTTGTGTGGACAGTCCCTGGCCTGTATGGGTAGCACTGGATATGTACGGGTAGTTGGGGGGGGGGGGGGGGGGGGGGGTCTACAACGAGTATAGTGTATCAAGTTTCCCTGGACCTCTTTGGCCCTTGGGAATGGTTTTACCAAGGAAACTGCATCAAAGAGAGGGGGGGGGGGGGGGGGGAGTGAGGGGCCTACAGTGAGTATAGTCTATCAAGTTTCTGCAAAGGTCTGATTAGATCTAGACTACTATCTATACTGAAAAAAAACATGCTCTGCAGGCAACGTTAGTGCTAGCAGTGCTCAATCCCACACACGACACTCATTCCTTTGTTTACTGTGCTGTGTGTCCAGGAGGACTAGAGAAGACCCCTCTCGTTGCCGAGGGAAAATCGACTTCATCATACGGCCCGCCGGCATCACGCGTTACCGAGGTATCTGCTGGGGAGGTGAGTGCTCCACTGGTACATTTTATATAGCAGATGTAATGATTTTGTCGTCGGGTTGGGACATGACGATATTGTCGTCAGGTTGGAACGATGGGCTCTGCCGCTGCTACCCTCAACCACCACACACCAAGCAACAATTTTTGGAGTTTTGTGGACGGAGTTCATGAAAATATTGAGACTTGATGCAATCATGTATGCAGTGGTGCAACTTGTGCACAGTCCACGTGCAGTGGCAAACCTCACAAGTACAGCAAAGCCAAAAGGGGCACTCATCCAATGTAGAGTGCAACGGATAACAATTGTATGTACGAAAACTGTTTAATCTACTAAAATGATGTAAATTATCGTAGTGATCAAATTATTGTGTTGATGATGTAATGATGTAATTAAGATTAAAAAGATGAGCTCTGGCTCTATTGAGCTTCCGTATTTGGTGATTTTCGGGTGATTTTTGTGCCACGAAAACAATTTGAAAAAGGGTCCCAACAGATCCCTCAACTGGGGTTCAAACCGACAGTGGAGTGAAGCGGTTGTACATGGCTTTTCCCCCAATTCAGTGCTTTTGGGACAAACCCTAGCCGAAGTTCTATTCTTGTTACAGCTTGCTTTTGGAGACTTCAGAAACATAACAGCATTCACTCCATGGGGGATTGAACATATTTCTAAAAAAACTCAGAAGTTTGACCCATTTATGGCCAAAAGCCTTATACGAATGGACTGTAGTACATTTACAGCATGTGTGTGTGTGATTCTAATGGCATAATATGAGCTTTACACCGCATACGACAGGTCTGATTAGATCATGCTGTCCAGTACCATGCATGGACATTTTGATGTATTGAATTTGCATTCAAATGACTTTTGTGATAATAAAATCTAATCAATGAAACTGCACTGACCAACACCTCTGTCATAATCAGTCATTGTATCTATCGCCTATGGAGTATTGAATGAGACCCATGGTACAGTCCGGGCCAGAGAAAACCTACCTCATGATTATAATCATGAGCGGCCCTGGCATCACAAACACCACTCTGCTCATATGAGTGCGGTGTTAAAAGTTGCTTTGTTCACGAGGTCGGATTTCTCTGGCCAGAACTGTGGTGCACCTGTATCTGCTGATGTGATTATGTGCATGAACTGCACCAGGTGCGGGTCCATGTATTGCCACACTACAAAACTGGCATGCGCTCAGTATCTAGATGTATATCTAGATGTATGTGTTAGATGTATATATCTAGATGTATGTGTTAGATGTATGTATCTAGATGTATGTATCTAGATGTATGTATCTAGATGTATGTATCTAGATATATGTGTTTGTGACGAGGTTATCACAGTCTATAATTTTGACTAGTACACGGCTTGATGTTCACAGGCGCAGCGGCATTCATCCTCGATTCAAAATGGCCGTGTTGAGCGTCGCAGCATGTGCAAACTGATGTGGATCCTCTTGCACACCATCCTGGCGTTGGTTCTCGCTGCCGCCCTGATTCTGTCAGTGGCCTGGAGCCGGGAAGCCTGTGCCGTCCTGTAATCTAATGCCTCTTCTTGCCTGTGGAAAGAGATGATGTATTCCCTAATTGCCTAATCTCTTTCGGTCTCGTTGTCTTGCTCGCACTCTCTGCGTACACGCCACTCGCGTATTCAAACACACACACACACACATACACACACGTGCGCACACGCACACACACGTGCGCACACGCACGCGTGCACACGCACACACACACACACACACCTCAGACCTCAGACGTGCCCATCGCGGAAGCGATGATAGCGAACAGCTATGACATCTCACATCCATCTCTCTCTTTCTTCCTGCATTCTCTTATACTCGCTCTCCTCTCATGCTGTATGGTTGTGTGTGTCTCGTTATGTTGTTGTGCACTTCTAATTGCCGGTGCATGCTTAGTTAGGCAGAAATTAATAGAAATCCATCCAGGTAGGTCAGAAACTCCTACTGCATGTCACTGTTCCAACATTTTTTGTTTTGTCAAAATGCCTCGACCATTTCCTTGAGAGAAATGTTGAAGTATTATAATGCTTTAAAATATAAAATGGAACTTAGTCCTCTGCTTCTTATTGCAGACAATTCCTACCCTAATTTTTGTCAAATGCCTCGACCATTTCCTTGAGAGAAATGTTGAAGTATATTGATTCTAAAACGAAATTCTCTATTTTCTTTCATCTTGACATCGACCATCTTCTAGTGTAAGATGTTGATGGGCTGGTCCCTCTTCTCACAATTATCTGGTCGCATATTTATACAATTGTTTTTGGTCTGCTTTTGTGTATGTGTCACGATTCTCTCCATCATGTTTTTTAATGAATAACTGATAACAACTGAAACGCAATCAATGATTGTGCATACTGTGGTCACCAGCGTGTGCTAACATGTGCTAGCATGTGGTAGCATGTGGTAACATGTGCTATGCTAACATGTGCTAACAACTCAAGAATACACTACTGTGGTGTCTTGTTTAATTTAAAGCCTGCCGGGCTCAGACAATACTAGGTTTGTTGTCAAAACAATGTACAACTTGCCTGGTGCTGAAGATTGGCACTTACAACTGGTCAAGTTGTGTCTAGACTGTAGTGTTTCCATGCTTGAACCTTCAAGTACATCAATTATTTACGGCTGTCAACATTATCCAAGAGTCTGAAAATGCACCGGACTTGTGCCAAGTGACATCCTGCAATGGACACTGTACAAAGTTTAAAATGTATTTCAACATCCCGTGCATTCAGTGCGGTACAAAGGGGCAGGTGGCATTTTTCTTCTTTACCCCAACCATACCGCTGATTTTCAGAGGAATACAAGACGGCAAGTCAAGTAAACTTGGCGTAGGTGTCTGCTTATAATTACCGTAAAGTACCGTTGATCCGCCCCCTCTCTAATTCCCGCCCCCTGTCGATTTTCTCCTTGTGAAGCGACTTCGCCGTATACAACGAAATACGATGTTGAACCGACGCATGCACTTCTGTACGCAATACTTGCCAATCCAGGATCAAAATGTGCACAATTCAGCACATTGAGTCTGATCCTCTACGTTGTTGTACATCGTACTGCACTTGACAGCCTTGATCTAATTCCCGCCCCCTGCCGAAAACCCAGCTGGGAAGCGACATGGCGTGGGGGCGGATCAACGGTACTTTACGGTATGTATAATTATTATGGTATGGTGAAAAAGGAGAAGGACAAAATGTTACGAGTTATGACTAACTGTCCATCAACATAACCATTTTGTCGCACTCGCTGACTGTATAAGATCTGGTTACGTTGGTGGACAGTTAGTCATAACTCGTAATATTTTGTCCTCCTTTTTTCACCATAATTTAATTGGCTCACCATCCGAGTATTATGTTATGGCTAACATTATACAGTGTAGTACAGCTAACAGTACTTGCTAAGGGTTTTGATGCAAAGCGTGATTGCTTGTAGCGCCAAATTCGGGATACTGAAATTTGAGGCTCAGTGTCCTCAAAAGGCCAGGTAACATCATACATGTACTTTTACAACATTTCCCATTCAAGCTAGACCAGACCAGAAGGAATTTGAGCGAAATGCTACACGTGTGAGGGTGAACTGCAGGCCAAGCGACATTGGAATTGCCTGGCCCATTACATACACCATTGTTCCAGGCCTATACCACATGAGGTTTCCTCAACCCTAGCTAACATTATTAAACACGGACACTGCAAGAGCTAGAGGATCTTGCTCAGCTCATCCATGGACTTCAGCACCGGCCATGCATGTGTCACGGTCCTGAACCGAATGAGCTCACAAAAACACTTACGACACGTATACCCACATACTGAGACTGTATGTGTGTCTGTTCACAGCAACGCGCTGGCAAGCTTACCGTGTTCATGCTGCACATTGTCACGTCCGTGGTCATCGCCGGTTGGCTCATTGTCATGGTGGCACGCGATGATATCGGTGGTGGCACGTGTTGATGCGGACCTGGTGGCACTCGTCCGGCATTCTAAATTATCCAAACACACAAGCTTTGCACTATGGTGCATGTACATATACACGTGCGCGCACGCACACACACACATGCACACACATGCACACGCGCGCACGCACCCATAAGAACCCACACACACACATACACGCACCAATCGCCATGCACACAAGGGATTGCACCGAGTGTCCATTGGACGTCTCTAATATAAGTCCCGTGGTATAATCATAATTTTGTATGTAGCTTAGTATAGTTTTTTCAAGGTTTGTATGCTAGTTTGTTGCTGGTCAACTATTTTGTGAATCTTGGGGCTACCTCATTTGCCCGGAACTATTATGCCAAATTTCACGATCTGTTACAATTGTAGTAGAGAATTGTATTAGCAGGGTGTAAACACCTTTCATCATACTTCTCTCTCTCTCTCTCTTAGCAAGGGTTTCTATTACACTACACGTAGTATCCAGACATTGGACTGTGGGGTACCTTCTTTACTTTACAGCGAGCGGTCCGTTTTGTCACATTGTCACTGATTGCTGCGCAGCCATAGCCAGCCCAACTCTTTAGCAGTGATTGTTACGAATCCCCAGTAGGTTGGTCACACAACTCCGGAATCGTACCTTAGCTCTGGTCAAACACCACGCCATCTCCTTGAGAGAAATATTCCAAAACAAAAATCTTTTTTTCTTTTCATATTGATATCGATCATCTTCCAGCGTAAGATGTTGGACGCGGGCTGGTCCCTCTTATCCGTTTATTTTATTGACATCGACCATCTTCTCGTGTAAGATGTTGATGGGCTGGTCCTTTATCCTTCCATCTAGTCATTGCAATTGTATAGTCCATGCTTTGTGAAGTTCATGTGTATTGTTGGCACTGCATTTGTGTGATTGAATAAATTGAATTTACGGTGATAGCTTCTGCCATAAAGGCACTCTCAAAGAGAACACCTGGGTGGGCTGAATGGTTGGCTAAAACACACTGAAAATTAAATAGCCCTCTCTGGACATTATTTCCAGCACCCATTCACTGCCATACGTCTTGAAGAGACCGAATGCCCGCTCGACTGCAGCACATGCTTACCAGTAGTTTCCTCAGGGGATGACCAGTGATTTCCACATTTACAGTTGGTGTTTCAATTGGTTGACCTGGGAGTACTCAGTCACTCACCGGGCTGCTTGAACGAATCTGCAACATCACAAAGAAAGGCTTGACCAATCATTCATGTCAGCAGCATTCTGCCCGGCGGTGCAATGTGATATTCCCAAAGGCATGCTGATGGTTATCCCACTGGATGTGATTTCAACACATTCCGATTTGTTAGTCATGCACGCAGTCCACCCAGATGTCCACCCAACTTGGCAGAACAAAACAGCAACTGTAGCACATGAACATTAAAAAATCAGAAAATACGGCAAAGTAGTGCAGAACGGAGTGCCTCACTGAAGACAAAACATATCTCCCTCAGTTGACATGTGCATGATGCTTCACTGTATGCACACCCGAGCCACCTGCATGCCAGATCCGCATTCAACACATGCCATGTAGATCTACATGACATTGTATTTAACTTGGAAAGTCACAATATCCGAACCCTGTGCCGAAGAATACGCAGCAAATAACAAACTACAACTGCTAACTCTTACCGGAGGCTGCTCACCCGAGTCCGTGACTTGTACAGAACATCACAGAGTTGCAAATCCACTGACACATGGTAAGGAATCCAGGCCAAGCACGGCAAGTGAACCAATCCCGGTTGGCATTTTCACGCAACCTGTCAGAACCATCATTGATATCACTGCAACGCCTGTGCTGAAAGAGGGATAGTCATCTTGTCAACATGCACGTCAACAATCAGTTCAATATCTCTAATAGACCATCACATGCAATCTTCCAAACTATATACATTCAGCCGGGGCACTCGGTCCATTTGAGGACACCAGATTTCAATGACGAATCAACTTGAAAAGTAGCATAGAATTTGAAGTCTCCAATTCCTATAAACTATTAGAAGTGATAATTGCACGTGTAAGGGTCATCGCGAGCGGAAAATTAGAGTGACACCAGGACTAGTTGCCAAGGCGATAGGAAATAATCAGCAAATGGAAACGTAAAGCTCAAGGCCATACGGCAAAAATCAATGTACAAACAGAGTGAGGAAGCAGGTCTATTCTTATTATGATTGTACAAGAAGTAGTATTCATTCAGAGTCATACTACAGTGTATAAAAGAGACAGTGATTCAGGTTCATGTCAGAAGATCTACATGTACTGGGCCGTGGCAACCGTGGCAACAAGATGTACAAATAACGGGCCAGCTACAGTGCGGGTCGCGTAACCAAAGTCAATGGCCAGCTGTCAATAATTTACCGATGTCTGCCCTAGAACCTTGGCTTGAGCAGCTCATCCTCGAGTCAATATATTACAACTTGTCAACGCACATGAGATTAAAGTAGTTACTGTGACAAGAAATTGGCTAGTAGAAAAGCTCACCCTCCGCCATAAGACCAACCGGAGCGTCCATAGGCAGGCCATAATCTGTGGGCTCCTCAGCCATCATTGGAGCATTGCTTGCCTGTGGCGCTGGTGCAGGCGGAGGCGGGGGCGGTGGTGTAAAGACTGGAGGTGGTTGGTGCTGTGCTAATGTCGATGCCGACACCTGAGGCCTCGGCCGGGAGATGTTGCCTCCTGGCGTGGCCGATGTGTCTTGATGTGTGTTGGCAACCTCGTCTTGTTCATAGCTGTGTTGTGTTTGCGGTGTGTACGCCTGGAAGTTGGCTTGTGCGGCCATGTTCATGCCTAATGCGTTCATAGGCTGATGGCCGCTGCTGCCGCCGCCGCTGCCGCCGTAGTCTACTTGCTCATTAGCCAGGTCCTGCAGGGCTTCCAGCTCCTCGTGTTGCTGATGTTGCTGCTGCTCTTCGTACTGCTCCTGTTGTTGTTCCTGCTCTTCGTACTGCTGTAGTTGCTGGTCGTCATACTGCTGTAGTTGCTGGTCGTCATACTGCTGCTGCTGTTGTTGTTGCTGCTCAGCACCATTGGTTGCAGTGTACTGATCGTCCACAGCCTGCTCATCATGTACACTAGCACCCAGTTCATCCTCCGCACCACCATCTCCTCCATCCACCTCGTCGTCATCTCGTCCTTCATCGTACCCCTGACTGTATGCATCACCATCGGCCTCATCATGCTCATGCTCATTATCATCATATTCGCGATCAGTATATCGATCGTAAGGCTCGCTATTCGCACCAACATCATCTTCGCTGTCCACGGGCTGATCAAAACCGCCGGCCACCTGTGCAAAGAGTGGATTCATTCGCACCACACCCTCGTCCTCGGTCAGGCCGGGTATGCCGGAACCGGAGCTGTGGTAGCGCGTCATCGGTGTCTGCGAGAAGTCAATGGGGAATGACGGTGGTTGTACCGTGCTAGCTTGCCTGCTGGATGACTCGCTCGCGTAGCCCGACTGGTGCGAAATGCGTCTCTCCAGGCTGTTCTCTCCCATGATGTTGCGCGATGGCGACGGGATCACAGAGCCACCGGGCTCCGACGAGGTTGACTCGTTGCGCAGAGGTTGGAAGCCGGCCGCCGACGTCATGCTCCGTCCAATGCCACCCAGTGAGCTAACCTGGCGGCGCGCTGCCATGGTAACAGGTGCCCCTGGTGACTGCGGATAGGACTTCTCGCTCAGTGAGTGTGTGCTGGTAAGATGTTGATAGAGGGCAAAGTAAATCAAGAGCAGTAGCAGTGTGAAGACGACCAGTGATCCCAGGATGATACCGACTTGTTCTGTTGATGTTAGACCTGAGCAGTGAACAAGAACAGAGTGCCAATGCTCAGCCGGACACTACTTAATAACTACATCCACTCGCATTGCAGTGATGGGAGTGTATGTGCGCAGTCCATGCAGACACGGATCAAGAGTGACGACTTGCGAAATTTGGATGGGTTTCAGAGCTATTGGGTTGCTACCCATTGGCATACTTTCATAGTCCGGGACTACCCGGCCTTCGTAAGTGGATGCATGTAAATTAAGGACGAATGAATGTAGCCACTGGTCATGTTTCTATTAACCTAAGAGACTTTCAAGTTATGTCAGGATGGCCGAGTTGTCTAAGGCGCTGCGTTCAGGTCGCAGTCTACTTCTGTAGGCGTGGGTTCGAATCCCACTTCTGACATGGTATTTTTTGCACCTTTTTTTCAGACTTGTGATTTGGGGGAAATGTCTGTACAGGCGAGGGGAATTGGCCAACTGCTTACGGGACGCACTGCACTCCGCAGGGCTTACTACTAGGGGTGTGCACGGGTAGTCGGGTACCCGTGCTACCAAGAGTACATAAACCAGAGTGTGCAACTGTGCATATCAGATCTGAAACAGCGCAGTTCGTGCACTACGTCACCCTGATGAGATCAGCCAAGCCGCGACTTGCGTACAGCTCAAATTTTCATGTTTCATAGCCCGGAAATCAGCCAAGTTTGCTTGATTTTAGACGTCCTGTTTCAGGATTTCGGTGTTTTGTGCGACTGTGTACGCTGCGTACATCCACCGAAAAGTAAAGTCACCAGGCTATCCGTCTCCAAAAACCCGAAATCAGGACAAACTCAGTGCACTGCACCACCGCGACTGGTTACGCAACTTTTCACCGTACCTGTGGCTTACCATGCCGTCAGAAATGACGTAGTGCACGAATTACGCTCCCACAGGAACCATCCCGAGTTGCACACTCTGGTTTATGTACTCTTGGTGCTACCCGTAAGGACCTCGGGTAGTCGCGTACAGAATAGTACCCGACTACCCGAAGTCGCAGACGACATCATGTGCAGTGCATGTGTACAAATTCATGTAATACCCCGCATGTCCACCCAGTGTGTAAGGGAAGGGGTGCAGTGTGGTATTACCATGGAAACATTACCCGATCGGGTATCCGTGCTACCCGTGGAAACCTACCCGAACCCGATACCCGAAGAAAACGTTACCCGACTCAGCACTACTTACTACGCGTGTCACCAAGAGTACATGAAAACCAGAATGTGCAGCTCGGATGGGTTGCCGTCACGGCGGAATTCCGTGATTACATCATTTTAGTGATGTAGTGCGTACAAGCAGGATTCAAGCAGGTCTCTTTCTGCACAACTGCAGCTCAGTTGTACGCACTCCGCCATTTCCCGCCTCAGATCTGCGCCAAATATGATGTAATCACGGAATTCCGCTGTGACAGACACCCATAGCAGAAAAGACCCCAAGCTGCAGCACACTCTGGTTTTCATCACGGTATTCTTGGTATCCCATACAGTCAACCTCCAGAATGACATTGGTCAACCTCCAGAATGACATTGGGAATCTTGACACAACCTCCAGAATGACATTGGGAATCTTGACACAACCTCCAGAATGACATTGGGAATCTTGACACAACCTCCAGAATGACATTGGGAATCTTGAAACAACCTCCAGAATGACATTGGGAATCTTGAAACAACCTCCAGAATGACATTGGGAATCTTGACACAATCTTCAGAATGACATTGGGAATCTTGACACAATCTTCAGAATGACATTGGGAATCTTGAAACAACCTCCAGAATGACATTGGGAATCTTGACACAATCTTCAGAATGACATTGGGAATCTTGACACAATCTTCAGAATGACATTGGGAATCTTGACACAATCTTCAGAATGACATTGGGAATCTTGACACAATCTTCAGAATGACATTGGGAATCTTGACACAATCTTCAGAATGACATTGGGAATCTTGACACAATCTTCAGAATGACATTGGGAATCTTGACACAATCTTCAGAATGACATTGGGAATCTTGACACAATCTTCAGAATGACATTGGGAATCTTGACACAATCTTCAGAATGACATTGGGAATCTTGACACAATCTTCAGAATGACTGGAATCTTGACACAATCTTCCCAGAATGACATTGGGAATCTTGACACAATCTTCAGAATGACATTGGGAATCTTGACACAATCTTCAGAATGACATTGGGAATCTTGACACAATCTTCAGAATGACTGGAATCTTGACACAATCTTCCCAGAATGACATTGGGAATCTTGACACAATCTTCAGAATGACATTGGGAATCTTGACACAATCTCCAGAATGACATTGGGAATCTTGACACAATCTTCAGTCTACTAGTTCGTGGCCATTTTACAGCATTATTTTCAACCTCGTGAACAACTACGCTTTCCTCATGCACGATCAAGGGGGGTCAAGGGGGGTCATGCCCGATCAAGGGGGGGGTCGTTATTCGCAAGTTTGACTGTACTATACTTGCTCATAGCTTGGTAAGAAAACAGGATAGAGGAGAACCGATAAGCAAGACCTGACTCTACGTGGACGGCAGCCCAGACTACTGCTCCAAACTATCACCAACCTCCATACTTCTGTAGTGAGCTATCGGGAAATTAATAAACTGCTATTGCTCAAAGTACCTTTCGAGGGCGCCTTGGTGCCTGGAAAAAGCAAGGAAACACACAGCAACGACCAGAAATCATAATATTAATGCACCGCATGTTTAATAAGCCGCACTCAATGGAGTATACGCCGTACCCTGCAATGCCATTTGGCTGCTAGCATTCACTTAAAGTATGTTGGATCTTTGTGCGTTCCTGTATTTTAAGTTTCAATTCAGTGCAATGAATACTTGTACGATCAGAGTCATCTAGAAGACAGTTTGTGATTATGTTATTCCATGAATGCCCCCCCCCCCCCCAACCTGCAGCAACTTGAGTGCTCATACAGAAAGCAGATCACTTCACTATGGATGTTCACCTGTGGATTGCGGCAGTTGCGTTCCAACCGTAGGTGCCACCGATGTGTCCCGGTAAATGGACGGCTCCTTCAGAACGGCCGGGCAGTCGAGCGATGTGACTTTGGGTTCAGGTAGTGCGGGCGCTGGTGTCTCCTCACCTGTGCACAGTACACCACACAGATATCCATACGTCATGTGATAGTCATGATAACACCATACACATATCCACACGTCATGCGATAGTCATGATGATAGCACCACCCACATATCCACACTTCATGCGCCATACGCCATGATAGCACAACGCACATACCCATACGTCGTGCGATAATCATGAAAGCACCACACACACACTCCCCCTCCCCCCCCCCCCCACACGCCATGCGATAGTCATGATAGCACCACACAGATATCCACACATCATGCGGCACCCGTGCTGATACCGATGCACATAACGATATTGACATTATAGTGTCCGTGTGACGTGCCTACCCACCTTGCCTACACGTGACACCCTTCATCCAGCCAAGCCACACTTCGTCTGTGATGTTCACTCTTTCTATCATATTCATCACATGGCCAAATTCACTGAGCACCGGGCAACATTGAAAGAGGAACAAATAGGATAAACAAACCTAGAAGAATCACACCACAGGTTCATAACAGTTTCCTTGGAGAAAAAACGCTATCTTCTTAGAAGGACACAGTTCAGGTTTTCACTTTCAAAATGTTGTTCCAGAACCTGATGTGTGTTCTTCCTCTAAGGTAATAACCGAGGTAGTGACGTCGGCAAACAGAGGAATCAGTGTGTGTTGCTCCCTACGTAGGTGCTCGCCTTTTTCCTGCCAGCTCGACTCCTTTACTGACTCTCGATTGGCATGATCCAAAGCACACAAGACCTCCATCGAACCTTCCACTCGGCAAGCCTGCAAGACAGCGCCACTCCTTGCTCAATACGCCGTGCTTCAGGGAATTCGACCCTCAGTACGGTAAAAGTCAAAGATATTCCCCGAGATGGCTACAGTGTGTGGCAGAAACAAGACAAGTTGAAACCTCTTTTGGAAGTATCCGTAAACTCCAACCGTGACAGCCACTTATGCGTCTTTTCGTCTTGCAATATGGCTGTCCGCAGCCTACTCTGCACTATTTATGGCTGATGTGAGGTGTGAGAAAGAACTAAAATTTTCCTCCGCTTAAATTGGCAGAACGTTACAGACCTTATGGCGGGCACTTCCTTGAATTCTGCTCCATTTCTTTATCCACATACCACACATGCATGAATCGAAACACAACAGAAAAATACCAAATTGTGTCAAGACAGTGGAAAGAGTGGCAATGATGCCTTCGTCTTCAAGGATGGCCAAGTAGTTTGCTTACAGAGGAGAGTTGGGAATTTTGAAGTTGTAACCAGGGTCACATACTGGAGTCGAGCACAAACACAGACACAGCAGGATAGCTCACGGTTCACACTCAGAGATCCTCGCATTATACTAGGATGCACCCTTGGCCTTGGCTGCCATGGGCACCCGAGGTTGCAATGGGCACCCGAGGTTGCCATGGGCACCCGAGGTTGCCATGGGCACCCGAGGTTGCCATGGGCACCCGAGGTTGCCATGGGCACCCGAGGTTGCCATGGGCACCCGAGGTTGCCATGGGCGCCCAAGGCTGCCATGGACACCCGAAGTTGTCATGGGCAACCGAGGTGTCCATGGGCATTATTATTATTATTATTATTATTATTATTATTTATTCATATTTTGATAGGGCAATCCCCACAGACTCAAGGTCTTCTTACGGGGTACCCTAAGAATGAAAGTAATGCATGGCGAAATAGGATGAAGCTCGAAGTAGCAACCCCATCATAAGTTACATGGTCTTCTACTAGTCTCGTGTGAAACAACAAGGACTCGTAAGAAGCAGCGATGGAGTAAAAACAAAAGCGATGGAGTAAAAACAAAAGTCCTAAAAGAGTAAGATTCAGTAGTTATGTTAAATTTAACATTCTGGGCCCGCGTTTGAAAATTCTTGAATGATCAGAGTAAGTGGATTACGGGCATGATGCGATAGAAACAAATCTGGAATTCGCTGTGAATGCTACGCACAGTCCACACAAGGAGATGAAGGAAATGGCGCTAAGTTACATCCGCCGACTTACTTTCCTCCTGAATGCCAAACGGATCGGTGTACGTTGGTATATCAAGAAACTGAGATGTTGGGTACGGGAATTTGGCGGGTGACAGCCTCCAGGCAGCTTCACCAACTACATGTAGAAAGGGATAGAATCAACGAGAGTTACGAGCTTAACACCAGACACAGTACTGGTTCCTTTATAGGAAACCGCTTACCATTGACACAGAATCCATGACAGAATAGTATTTGTCACAACGAAGCAAAAAGGCAAGACGGAATGTATGGCTGAGAACAATGAAAATCCGATTACAGTGATTTTGACCTCCCTGGCCAATCTCAAGGTGAACCAAGCCAAGCCGCAGTTGCATGTACGCTGTGTATCATCACCGTTTATACTTCAAAGTACTGTGGGAACATAAGGGTGTGCCTCTAAGCACGCACGTAAGCATATACATGTACACACGCACGAACACCGCTGTTCGAACACAAACACACGTACACACATACACATACACACACGTACACACGTTCACACACACACATACGCACACACGTACACACACACGTACACACATACACACAAACACAGTGAAAAAGAGCAGGACCTTACTTTGGTTTCCAGAGCGATCCCAACAGAGAAGATAACGCAGCTCCGTGCAAGGGATGTTGTACCAGTCGTATCGCCGAGATGACTGAACCACACACGCACAGACATACATACATACACACACATGAATAAAGAGAATGCAAGACAGACGGACTGAAACAAGCAAACTGGAATTGGCAAAGCACATTTTGGGACATACATACTTCATGAAGAGCATCCTAAATAGTAAAAATTGCACCGACACAATATTTCTGTAACTGTTACACACTGCGATGATGATCCAAAATCTACATGTTGTACAATAAATGTCCTGAAAAGATTGAGAACTCCTAGAGCCCTGTTACACTTCCCTCCGAGGTCTAGACAGTCAGTGACAGGACTGGCACACCATCTCTCTGTTTTAAAAGGGGAAGTATGACCTGACATTTCACTGCTTGTTGTCTTTGAGGTGCCGAGTCGAATGGTTTTGATGCTTCCTTCGTTCTCCATCTCTCGCGCTTCCCCCCAAACTGCGTCCGTGTGCCCTAAAATAGATTGAGATGTGCGTGTGGAAATTTTCACTTAAAGCCACATTCAAAAAAAAACTTGCGCATTTGCCCTGACAGGGTTCAGTTCCAATGTTATGTCAGGTCGAAAACCCGGCCCGCAATTGGAAAGAGCTCAGGAAATTCTCGCTCTCGCTCACCAAAGATGGTCTCCTGGACAGCACTGTGCACATCCCTGGGTCACAGAATGCTGTGTGATTCTCCCTATACGTCCACACACATCCTGCAGCAGAGCAACAGAGCAACATCACACAGACATTATCTACTAGTACAGCAGGTTACAAAGCATACTGCAGAACCTAGGGCCAGTGTGTGTAAAAATAGTCCTGGACCTGGAGCTACTGTCCTTCGCTGGGCACACAGCTTTCACAGCAGCAGGTAGCAACTGCCTGGAGGTGATGACTACACCGATGCTGCTTGCCGTGCTGCGTGCGATGCCATTTGCTAGTGTGTGGCAAGTATCCGAGACCTTCTATAACGGTATCACATCCTCCCTAGGCATGTGACTACCTGTAACGTTGAGGCCCACAACACTACCAAAACAAGACCAAAATCAATACACGCTGGATTCAGTATACATGTAGTACCGCAGAATCCCACGGATAAGCTAATCTGTTTCACAAGGACATTTCGGTGGGCTTTTACAAGAACATGGGCTTATACGCGGGCATGGGCTTATACGCTGACACCAGAATTGTGCTATTGAAAAGTACCAAGGAAGTGAGAAGTACATTGCTGAAAGCCACTGTTCAAACAAAAACAACCCATGATTTGTGTTGAAATGTACAAAAAAAAAGAAGAAAAAAGCTACATCTACTATGTACATGGTACGACCAAGAGTCCATAATTTATGGACTCTTGGTACGACATAGGCCCATGGGCTTGTGCGACGAAGCTAGGCGATGTTCGAACTTGGCCTGGGCTTATGCGTGGGCATGGGCTTATACGCGGGTGGGCTTATCCGCGGGATTCTACGGTATGTGCCTGAAGGCGTACTTACCCTCTGTAGACGTCTGGTCAAAGCCAGCCATCATCGGATTGAAGCCACACTGCATGACTGAAAATGCTGTAGGTTACACAGTTTCCCACATACACAAATGTACAGACGCACAACCACGAACGCAAGCGCACACGCAGCAACACAACTGATCTGACCAACTGCATGCAGCGCGTATGGCCACCGGCATACCAAAGCATTTGGAATCGGACCCAACATGCTGTCCATCAGTGTGCCTGTTGTATGATGGTTTCTTAACCTGCTCCCAGCCTTGTGTCAACTCCAGACTCAGACAAGACGACTAGATAGCTACAGGTACATTCGGAAGACTGTATTTACGACGAGACGACGACGGAAACACAACTGGACATGACGAACTCA